TAATGTATATGTTAAATTACTGGTGTACAGAATAAGTGATTTATTTAATTTGTTAGGTTAAGTTAATATTTTATATTTAGTTGATAAGTCTGGTACTTGCATAGCATAATGTTACATATTTCACAAAGTGATGTAGATAATTTTAATAGTTCTGCACAGTCCTTAATTAATAGTGTAGAGTCTGATCGCGGTGGTGTTAGCGTTCCACGACTAGAGTCATCATTGGCTTCGTCTTTCACAAATTGTCACAAAACCTTTAATGCTGTGCATATAAATGCGCAGAGTATCCCAGCTCACTACACTGATTTAATTGCATCCTTCTGTTCCAGTCCTGTTCACGCTATTTTAGTTTCAGAATCTTGGCTAAAACCATGTCTGTCCTCTTCTATGTACTCGTTACCGGGCTTTAATCTTATACGGAATGATCGTGTTGGCCGTGTCGGTGGTGGTGTGGCTATTTATTTACGTTCTGATATCGTATATAATTTACTTAGTGCCTCTCCTCAGCCGCCTCCAGCCGATGCTGCAGAGCACCTTCTAATCGAAATTGCTCTTTCCTCGACAAAACTTTTGCTAGGAGTTTTCTACTCTCCTTCTTCGCATGTTAACTTCTTTTCTTCCTTTGAAAAGACTATCGAAAATTTCTGTCCGCTTTTTACTCACTCTATTATTATGGGAGACTTTAATACTTGTCTTTTAAAGAATGACTTCCGCAGTAAAAAAATGAACTCTATAATAGCATCTTCTAACCTTAATTTACTACCTCTTCAAGCCACTCACTTTTTTCCAGGCGCTTCTCCTTCTCTTCTTGACCTTATAATAGTATCCTCTATCAACCATGTCGCAAAACATGGCCAACTATCAGCCGACTCCTTTTCATTCCACGACCTGTTGTTCCTCTCATATAGCATTCGTCCTCCGAAGAAGAGGCATAAGATTATAATGCAGCGAAACTTTAGCGCCATGAATGTTAATGACCTAAATAATGACGCTCGTTTGATTGATTGGAGTGATGTTTTAACAGCTGATACGATTGACAAAAAAATAAACTGTTTCAATGAGTATGTTAACAAGCTGTATGACAAACATGCTCCTATTAGGCCTGTTAAAATTAAACACTCCCCCTCTCCCTGGTTAACTGAGGAATTAAAAAGCCTTATCCATATTAAAAATTGTGCTAAGGCTAAGTTTAAGCTTAACAACAATGACGCCAATCAGGCGAGGTATAGGTCCCTCCGAAATGAATGCAACAGAAGGTGTAGGAACTCTCAGAGGAGATATTTTTATAAATCCGTTGAGAGTGGAAACACGCCCAAGACTTGGAAGTTTCTCAATTCCTTGGGTATCGGCAATCGGTCTCGCTCTGTTTCAGTGTCTCCCAGTTTTGATCTTGAGTTACTTAATCAGCACTTTACTTCTTCTCCTACTTTTGATCCCTCTAAAAAATCTGAAACTCTAAATTTTCTCAATTCGCTCTCTAATCCTGGCTATCCTCAGTTTTGCTTCTCGAATTTCACGGATGAAGACGTTAAGAGAATTGTCATGTCGGTTACTTCTAATGCCTTGGGCTGTGATAGCATTGGTCGTGCTATGATTCTTCCTATCCTTGACGTATTATACCCTATCTTAACACATATCCTAAACCATTCCATACGTACAGGAGAGTTTCCTTTCATCTGGAAAAAATCCTACATTATTCCTCTCCCAAAAGTTAATAGTCCTACTAACTCAAACGATTTTCGCCCTATTTCAATTCTACCCTTCCTTTCTAAAATCTTGGAAAAATTAATTTTTCAACAGCTTTGTCTCTTCCTCAACAAGAACTCTCTTTTCAATTCTCATCAATCGGGCTTTCGCGCTGGTCATAGCACGACTACTGCATTGCTCAAGGTAACTGACGATATCCGAATGGCTATAGATGATAGACAAGTCACAATTTTGACTCTGGTTGATTTCTCTAACGCTTTTAATACGGTTGACTTTGATGTCTTACTAGCGCAATTACGCTCTCTTAACGTCTCGTCTACAGTTCTTACTTGGTTTAATAACTATCTAAGGGGCCGCCAGCAGCGCATTCGGGTGGGTGATACTACCTCATCGTGGAGCACTGTTACTTCCGGTGTACCTCAGGGTGGTATATTATCTCCTCTTCTCTTTTCTATCTTTATAAATTCAATCTCTTCTCTATTCTCCTGTCGTCATCACTTATATGCCGACGATCTCCAAATCTACACTCACTGTTCTTTGGAAAATATCTTAGATGGGATCAAATTAATTAACACCGATACTCAGGTAATTGTAGATTGGGCAAATTCACATGGCCTTTTAATAAATCCGATCAAAACGCAGGCAATTATTATTGGAAGTCCCCAACAATTATCGAAAGTAGATTGGAACAATCTACCTCTTATAAGCATACATGGTGCCAAGATTCCTTATAGTAAGTCGGTTAAGAATCTCGGGATCTATATTGACGCCACTCTGTCATGGAACGATCAGATAAATAAAGTTAGTAGAAAAGTATACGGCGTTGCAAATATGCTGCGCCGTCTACAAAACTTTTTGCCAATTCCCACTAAAATATTACTTGCGGAGTCATTGTTGTTATCCTTACTCGATTATGCCGATGTTTGTTATTTAGATCTAACTGAGGAACAAGTAAATAAGTTGGAGAGGCTTCAAAATTTTTCAATTAGATTTATTTATGGTTTACGGAAATACGACCATGTGTCTGAATTCCGTGGTAAACTTAAATGGTTGCCTATTAGACTACGACGAAACACACACATCCTCTGTCTTCTTTTCTCTATTCTCTTCGACCCACGCACTCCTACCTATCTTAAACAAAGATTTATATTTATGGGTTCTTCCCATGAACTTGACCTTCGTTCCTCATACAACCGTCTCCTTTCTATGCCTGCCCATTCATCTAAACGCTATGACTCTTCTTTTTCTGTACAGGCTGTCCGCCTATGGAATAAGCTGCCACCCGCGATAAGGCTCTCACAAACGCTTAACTCCTTCAAGACCAAGGTCAAACAACATTTTCTTGAAAGTATTGTTCAGTCTTGATGTTATACTTTTATTATTTATAAAGTTGCATCTTTGTAAGATAAAAATTTAATCTTAAGTTTTTATTGTTTAGTGTAGCATTTTTCGTTGTGTAGGTATTTGATATCATTGTATTTTAAAATTTATTGCATTTTCCTCTCTCATTCTCGTTGACTTTTACTCATTTACTGTTATTTTGTTTTCCTTTTCATTATACAAAGGTTGCCTGGAAGAAATCGCCATAGGCGATAAGGCCGCCTTTGCACTAACTCTTTTATGTAAATATTTATTTTAGTTTTACTATATTTGTATTGTATTTGTTTGTGCAATAAAGTGTTTTATTATTATTATTATTATTATTATTATCTACTATCCACCAGAGGCTGCAGGAAGTGGTATGCTAAGAATCTGCAATATATGACATTCTATCATGTTACCTCACCTGTGTTATTATTAAACTTTAATATTCCCAAAATGTATGTATTTCAGCGTGGTGCACACTGCAGACATTTTTAGGCATATGATCAGTTTCTATTTATTCTATTGGTAGTTTGTTGGATAATTAATTTTAGGCATCGCGTTTATAACGAACTGGCTATCGTAAATTTCGCTTATTATCGTAAAACTTACCCAAGCTAGTTATTTGTCTCAGATAGGTATTAGACGTTTACCCGCGGTACGCAACTCATTATAATCTTTTAATTTTCCATTTAGTAAAATCAGTTTTTAAGTGAGTCATTTTTGTTATTAAAATTAATTGACTTGTTTTGTGCATGCTTATCACTTGCAAGGCATTTAATAGTCCATTGCATTAAGAAAATTTTATTAAAACAGCAATAAAGATAACGATATAATGAATCCTACTATAATATGTAAGTAGTCCTATTAGACTTTCACTCTTTCTAGTCCTTAATATAGTTTTTGACTGTTTTTTAGTAGATTAAGATTTTTTTATGTTATTAGTTATTGTATCACAATTTAAATTCGTGGATGCAATGAAACGCCCACAAAAGACAAATCTGACGTGACATTAAAAATTTAGTGCTGGCTAAACTTTAATCTTTTTTCCGTTCCTATACTTTAAACAACGATTCCTTATTTGTAAACAATTAATTCAATATTTTGATTTTCCAATAATTCGATTGACGTCAATGCCGAAAATATATATTGCTAGTACCAGGAGCGCACGTGTAGTGAAGAGGTGTGTTTGGCAATGTTCCAATGAGGGCCACAAATGTTGATACACCGTTGTTTATGTTGTCCTCATGTTGATTATGTGGATCTGCAAAATAATTATATTATTTCACATCAAGTCTTCATTGTCTCATACCTAGAAAAAAAATTGTTTTACTTCACTAAAGCAGTCGATGTGAAAAAATATCCAGCTGCAAACAAGACATAGATGTTTTTTGGAAGATCAACACAGTTAGGGTAGCGAGTTCATGACAATCAATCTCTGTTAGCGACCCATTTTTTTCCCGAACAAAGACTTGTCTTACAGACATGTCTGTTTGTTTATTGTATAGCGCCAACCTCATTATGTGGGGTGAAGGGCGTACGTGATTCATTGCGCTAGCGCATTCTTTGTTGCAATATCGATGCGTTTTTGATTTGTTTTCTTGGCAATTTATGTTCCAAATTTAACAACTTACGTGTATTTGTTTTGATTTTTTCTTTTATACAGTGTTAGAAAACCCATTTGGCTTCCCCAAATAGTTTTAAAAAATAGTCTGATTATCTGTTGTAAACACTGTGAACATTTTACCAACTTGAGAGTTTCCGTTTTGTTTGCTGCAGAAGTGTGTCTCTTTAAAGTTATAAAAAAGGTCTGCATATATGTTGAAACAAACAGATTGGCTAGCTAATTACTTTCTTTTTAATGATAGAGTTAAACAGACGAGCAATAGGTTCACTTGATGGAGGGTAAAATATCTTGGCTATATCGAGAGCTATTTGGCGATGAAGACGAGCCCGTCAAATTCTATCAACACTTGGCACTTGAATTTTCCTGTACTGTACAAATTGAGGAAATTGGTCAAAGACGCATGCATCCTCATTCCGGTTGATTGGGTGTTCGGTAATGGCGGAACTACGTGATCGGTTGGTCGTCGCCGCGTTACGTCGCTGATACGTGGTTGATAACACGTAGGTGTCGCGTAGGTGCGCGTACTTTTAGAACTAGTTAACTTAGTCTGTATAACATTGCCCCATTTACGAATTTTATGCGTTAATCTTCTTCCCATTTCAGCAATTTGAATAGCCCCATTCTATTAGTTTACAAAATGGCTTTTAAAATGAGAGTAGCAAAAGAATCGACGGTGACACAATAACAGCACCCACCATGACCTTGCGTCAGCCTATTGCTTACGATGTCAACTCTTGCGCATCTTATCTGATAATACATCGTACAGATGTTGTTTTGTAATTGCCCATACTAATATTGTAAATGCGAAATTGGCTTTGTCTTTCCTTTACGATCTAACTAACTTTAGTTAGTAGTAACTATGGTTAGAGCATATGATGTTTGATAAATTATATTACTGAAATTCTGAATGCTTTATATGTTGTATTTTTAATTGAAATTGCACTATTACACGACAAAGTTTACTAATGTATTGACAATTATCATTAGAACAATGAGAATATATTTTTTTAATTACATTTGTTTGTCATGCGCAGGTTGTATGAAGGCTGATTGCAATACACATGAGATCGACTCATGAATGACCAGTGTCATTCCATATTCTATTCCCTGGTGGGATTTTGCAATACAATCTATTTTTAGCATTTAGATGCGACTAATACAATGGAAAATAACACCGATAAAAACCCTAAATCTATCCTAATATGTAAAGCTGAAGAGTTTGTTTATTTGTATGTTTGAATGCGCTAATCAATCTACTAGTTCTAATTGAATAATATTTATCGAGGAAGGATATAAAATATAGCGCTGTGACCAAAGGAGTAAAGAAACAGCGGGAAATGTGGAAAAACGGGGTAAATCATTCATCTTTGTAGCTTCCCGATGCGTACGCTGCGAAAACGGTTCAAGATATCCAAAAATAAAAAAGTAAACGTGTCGGTGTACTACCCCGCCCTCTACAAAAACTCCAGGGCAACTACACTTCCCTTCACTAATGCCAAAACCGATGCGTCACAAGTGGCAACGCGATGCACCGTACATTCACACTGCGCGCACGCAGCGCTTTGTTTACGTTTGCGGATTCGAAAATAGAATAATTACGCCAGTTCGCATCGGCAGCTCGGCGCGCGTGGATGCGCGGCCGTTATTCCGTTTCAAAACAAACTCTACTTTGTGCGCAATAGATTCGTGTTTTGTTTGATAATGTACGAGCCGAAGTGTACAGTGGCGGTTGATGAACTGGGTAATTTCATTTTCTTAGATCGAAAGTGACGCAATGTTTGTTAAGTGTGGTTTTCAAATGATCTATATGTGATGTCCGTCCTTTTTGAAATGGTGGCGATTTCGATACGTCTGTATTATCGGATATACCTTGTGCTCTTTTGCAAGAACAATTGAATGCTAGTTTACGGAAATTTCAGGCGTCAAATTCCACTATTAAACACATACATCTACCACTTAAAATAATAGCCTACAATATTATTCATTTGATTCAAATGTAAATGTTACTAAACTTATAAGAGTCTGTTCACGCAGTGCTATGTGAAAATAAATATAATTAGTTTGTCTCCCCGTGACCACGGCTGCTGCAAAGCATCCGAAACGTCGGGCCGAAGTTAAAAATCATTTTCAAATAAGTTTAACTAATATATCGCGTTTTAAACCGTTAAAGTGTTTTATTTAAATGTGTACTACTCGCGTAAACTATAGACAGTATATAATTAGTTTGATCAAATACGGTTTAATACAAATAGTATTAGACCGTATTTGAACATAATAGCAACTTATCTCGTCTGTTCTAGTTCACTTTAGAAATGGTAAATTTGATTCCTAAGTGACGTGCATAAATATATAGCGAGGTATATATTATTCAACAATATTCAATCCACGATATTACCAGACAACTGACAAGTAAAAATTTACAAAGAGCGTTCTACCTGCGGGGCACATGTTAAGTTCATCTATACTAATATATAAAGCTGAAGACTTTGTATGTTTGAACGCGTTAAACTCAGAAATTACTGGTTCGAATTGAAAATTTCATAATGTGTTAGAACATTTATCGAGTAAAGCTATAAATCATGCAAAAACAAATTTGGATGCCCAAATTAACTATTCTACGCGGACGAAGTCGCTGACACAGCTAGTTCTAGATGTCAATATACGTTAATTATTAAATTTGGCAGAACCTGTTATGCGTGAAAGAGTACCACACACATATATATAGAATGTAGAGGTTTGATTTTTGGCTTTTGTAATAAGTAGTTATTGTGAGTATTGGAACAAGTGTCCATCTGTTTAGTGGAACGTTCACGATCTATGACGATAAAATCAGGTTTGCAACAGGTTTTGCGATCTCGTGGGAAATGGTAAACGGATGCTACACAATTAACGTGTACGTTCATATTAAATTTTTCAATTTACTAAAAATCTCTCTAAAGGGTTCATCTATTTTAGACACCAAGATAAAGCCGGGAATTTTTGGATCGCAAAAAAGCCTATTAATTAAGATAAAATTCAAACCGATCAATAAAATATCTCGGAGTTTTCAACTTTATACATTTCAATACTTCCAATTTGCGTGTTGCTAGTAGTGAAAATAACCATGTTATTTGATTTATTGTTGCTAGTAATTATTACTTGCACGAAATTCTACAGGTTCGTCGGAGTACAGATTAAAAAATACTACTTTTCTCTAATGTATTAGATTGAGATTAGGCAGTGTTAGTTTTTTTTTCGTGAAGTAGTTATATCTAATCAACCTAAGCTGAGTTTGTTTACACAAGTTAAACTCAGAAATCACTGATATATAACAAAGAAATCCTGTAGTTTTTGTCATAGTCCTTTGTATTAAGGAGCAATATAAGGTCTCCCCGTGACCACGGCTGCTGCAAAGCATCCGAAACGTCAGGCCGAAGTTAAAAATCATTTTCAAATAAGTTTAACTAATATATCGCGTTTTAAACCGTTAAAGTGTTTTATTTAAAAATATAAGGTACTCTTAGTCATTCCGATAGCAGACAATGTGAGATAAAATAAAAATGAGAGTTCATTTTAGAGATGGCAACTTTCAAATTTTAGCAGTTGTTTTTTATAAACTGACTAGAGCTTTGGTATATTGCTATATCTACTTTAGTTTAGAATTGCAATTTTGCTCGCAGCCTTGACTTTGTCTCGTTTACAAATGCGAGTATAATCTAAATAAACGTAAACCTTACCGAATGTTGAATCGAACTGGTTTTTTAGCGGCAGTCGCGCTTATTCGAGTTGGAAAGGGTCTAGCTCATAGGTCAGGGATGTCAGACGTAACTTATAAATAAATGCTAGAATGTTTTTAAATAATAAAAAAAAAACCCTTTTTACTGTTTGTAGCTTAAGCGAGTAGTACACGTTTAAATAAAACACTTTAACGGTTCAAAACGAGATGTATAGTATATAAGTGTATAAAATTACTTTAACTACGGGCCGACTTCTCTGATGCTTTGCAGCAGCCGTGGTCTCCCTGTGAAAATAAGTTAAGAAGGCACTCGAACAGCAACAAGGCCTTAGATTCGAATTCTGCCTGTGTTAAAATAAGAGTACTAACTATTGTGCTTATGGTGAATACATTTCCTTGGCTGTCATATCAGTTTTTTTTGTATCCCTTGTATTTGAACCCCGGATGTCTCGTGCCTAACTCAATATTAGGCTAACCATTGAGCTATGGTGGCGGTCTTGTATAGTATGTATTTATTATGTATGCGTGATAAAAACACAGAGGAAGTCGGCCATCTTGATAACAGTTACGGTCAGTGGTTAAAAAACAAATGAACAAGGATTATCGTTATTAGAGCAATAAGCGTATTGTAGAAATTTGTAAACTGCTTTGATTAGACTAAGTATAGTGATACATTATAATTAAGCATTATTTAAACAAAATTTTATACATAAATAGCATAAGATGTATATTTCAATAATTGTGTTATTTAATTACTTTTGCTAAAGTAGACTTTTAATTTAAATTTACCTCAAGGTAACGGAAAAGACATTAAGAACTAGTAAACTAACTGCCACAACAAATGAATGTTGGAAATGGTAACAATTCTGCCTTTTGTTGCAGAGTCCTGGGTGGAGCTGAACTCTGGTGGGCTCAGTGGTGCGGAGAATGAGTACATTCGACTCCTGCGCGAGGCGCAGAGGGAGAGTCGCGACTCGTCCGTCCGACATTCCAGGGCCTCCAGCATGAAGGGAAGGTGAGGCTGATCATGTTACACTTAGTGCTTGAAATATATTTTGTAAAATACTGTCTATAGTTTACGCGAGTAGTTCACATTTAAATTAAAACACTTTAACGGTTTAAAACGCGGTATATTAGTTAAACTTATTTGAAAATGATTTTTAACTTCGGCCCGACGTTTCGGATGCTTTGCAGCAGCCGTGGTCACGGGGAGACAGTCTCCCCGTGACGTAATGCTACCATGGCACCAACCAGTTCGTTAAAGTGCCCAGCAAATGTGGTTGTAGCGGTTGCAGTTAGGTTCAAGATAAAGGTGCCTGTTTACGCAGCGTACCTTAACGTTAGCGTAACTGTCCTTATTAATCTAAAGAAATTAATAAGCTACTGAAGTGAACTTGTTCAAACAAGCTATTAAATTTCAGATTTATATTAGTCTACAGTTTTTATTACAGTGTCTAATGTCGATAAATAAAGTCCTTCCTGTCCGAATCGGTTGAGACTATTTTTGTCGTGATATCTAACTGGGCTGTTACGGTCGAGAGCTTTGTAATTTGATATATTTTTTGTAACACAAGTCGAGCGCACAATGCTGATACTGAGACAAGTGAAATACCATGGTTTTGCTTACAATTACTTTTTTTTTACTATGATAGAGGGAGACACAAACATAGCTCACTTGATGATATTTGGAACAAACCAGCCATATATGCTGTCGACCTATATTAGCTTTGGATATTCGGAATATACAGTATATTAATTTTTGAAACTTAATATACTGTATATTTCGAAATTCGATGTGAACGAGAGCTCGCTTTGCTTCGGGCGGCATACCGGGGTCTAAGTTCGAATCCCGGAATAACATTGTAGTAGGCACAAGCAAAATACATCAATAAAGCCTGTAAATAAAACCGATCATAGAAACATACATACATTTGAAAACTTCAATATTTTTTATATATTGCACATGAAGGCACTATATATATCAAAGCAACATCACGGAACGCTGATGTCGGTTCAAGTCCTGCCCGAGTCAATTTTTTTTTCAATTTATTATAGATTTTTAAATTACATACATACATGTAATAAATGTACCAAATGTAAAAACAGGTCAATAGCGCATATTGTTTGGCTAGTGTAAGTTGGCTTCCTTTTGGTAAACTGATGTTTTATTTTCCTACATTCCTGTCAGACCAACGTCAATGTATGTAATATTATAGTGTATGTTTAAATCTTTTGTTTGTTTGTGTTTCAGTCCGAAATCGCCTCCCAACAGTCCCAACTTAGAACCGTCCACTGAAGATGAGCTCAAGGGCGTCTACATCAACTGCTGGAGGGTAAGGGTTCTTCATATTCAATCAGATTTAAAACTCCAAGTAGACTAGAAGCCCGGAATAGTTCTTCATAAAATTGGAAAATACCTATACCAATAATACCTCAAAATACCTGCGAAAGCTTAAAGTTATAAATTGTAAAAAGAATTTAATGGTTTTAATTACTTAATGAGGTATCATGACTTTCAGGACGACTCCAACGACTGGGTTTGGGAGTGGAGCAGCCGGCCGGACCAGATGCCGCCAAAGTATGACAAACATACATTTTATTTATTTATTTAGATCTTTCAAAATGAACATAATTGTAACAATTAAAGGATAACACAAGTTGTTTAAAGGAGTACCTAAAATGTTATAAAAATCTATATATGTAAATTGTAGAAGGTCATTCTGCTAAGCATTCGGGGTGATCTGATGATGAACTTATTTCGAAATTATTTTAACTACGGCTCGGCGTTTTGGATGTTTTGCAGGAGCCGTGGTCACGTGGCCGTAGTTAAAATAATTTTCATATAAGTTTAACTAACTAATACATAACGCGTTTTAAACCGTTCAAGTGATTTATTTTAATCTTGTTTAGATGTTATAAGGCATAATTTCACCTTCCATCGAGTGAAAGCTATGCTTGTCTGCCCTCCTCAATCGTTATAAAATCCGTCGATAGTGGATTAACCAAATTTGTGATGCTTTGCAGGGACTGGCGGTTCAAGCACCCCGTGAACGCGCGCGGTCCACCTTCGGCCACTTCATCCATCGAAGTGTTGGAGCAACAGGCTAACATGCAGCAGGTGAGAACACACAATTAATATTGAACCTTATATTAATTCGAAAAGGTTTTTAGAAAGTCTTAAATAATTGAAAAAAAAATGCGCCATGTTTTCTCGGTTTTTTTTCTAAGATAGGTTTTCGCGGTAACTAATTATTATTATGATTTCCAGAGCCACTGTCTGTCCGTCCGTCGTACGTGCCTCTTCAGCCGGGGGGCGATAGCGGCCGTCCTCGTCACTAACATTGTCTCGCTGTTGTTAGGCGCCGGTATTGGGTAAGTATTTATTCAAAATGGAAGTATATTAGCACCACAAGCCAAAAAAATTAAAAATATATCCTTTAAAAGTATCTACAAATACTTTTGTAATATACCTAGATATGTAAGATACCTTGGTGGTAAATGACAATGGATTACTTATTACAGCGTGTGGCTGAGCAAAAAAGGTATGCTCCCACCCAGATTGATCATCATCAACTGAAAGAAAAGAAAGAAAGACTGATACGCTGGATACATTCAGGTATTTCCCAATATTTTTTTATATACATACAGATTTTGGCGAAATTTTAACCTGGAACAAAATTCGTAGTATTTAGTAGTAACATCGATAGTAAAGGGTGATAAGTATTTTGATGTGTAACAACTTTATTATGGAAAAAATAAAATTACGTTAAGTGATATATTTTGCGTAAACACTTTTGTGTTTTTTTATACTTTTATATTCTATACGTGTCAATCAAACAATTCTATTTCTATCTAACTATTAAGACTTAGATAGAATATTAGCCCGTTTGAACCGTACTTTGGCGAAAATCCAACTGAGTATTATTTTTTTTCGTGTTTAATTGGGAAACTGTTTTATCTCAATGTCTATTATATTTTTAAATATTAATCTTAAAAATTATTGTTTCAGATTGTAAAGTTTAGTATTTAAAGCGGTGGCGCCGTCTAGGGAAGATTAATAAAAAAGCAAAAAAAAATAAGAAAAAACATAATCTTTGTATCTAGATATAGTAATTTTATATTGGCGTGTGGAAATTTATGTAACTGGTTTTTGTTTTCTTTTTTTATTTTCTCATTTCTTTGTTTTTGTTAGAATTTTCTTTTTTTTATTTATTATCTATAAACTATTCTTTTTTTATATAAATTATTCATATGTTTACTATTTTTTTAACAGGATCTCGTTTGTTTTCAGTTGCATCAATTTCCACTAACTTTTTGTATGTACCTAGTATGTAAGTTCGTCAAAGTAATTATTAAGCACACAAGGTTTTTAAGTTTTACAGATTTTTTGCATTTTTTTTTGTGATTTTCCATAAAATACTGCAGTTAGGCGAATAATGTTAAAAGCCAAATTAATTTCATCTCCTATTTATATAAATATACATACATATATGTAAGTACAACTGTATGTTTTTAGGATTTCACTATTAGAGGTAATACTACTTATAAATGATTTTGTCTTGGTTTTCTGTTGCCACTTTTAAAATTTTCATTCATCGCTAGAATAAAAAATGTTTAGAAGTTTATTGAGTGGCATAGCTATTGATTATTTAGTTTTCTAAAAAGTCTGTGATGAAACAATTAAAAAATATTTCGCCATATTGAATTGGCTGTAGCTGTGTTTATGTAGAGCATTTGTAACCGTGAAATGGTAAAAAACGCAAAACCTCGAATAATGTATGGTGAGTTATTTTGTTACAAACAGTTTACGGTAATAAATGTTCTTTCAAATAAAAATGACGATTTTCAGCGCGTAATACATAATATATTTTATCATTCCCTTTACCTAAATATTGTTTTATATGTTGAATCCGTTTTTTAGAATTTATTAATTATTGTCTGTTTCCATATCTGTACTCAAAAATATAAATGTAGTCTACGAACAATAAAACAAAAGAAGAGATGTCATCGACCCCTGAATTGTAGTGTTGTCCTACTATACCATATAATAATCGGTTTACGCCTCATATATATTTTTAACCGACGCAAATATTAGAAAATTTACATAGAGACAAAACTCACATCTCAAAATGTAATTTAATTAAACAATTATGTTTTATTCATAGTAAATAAATATCGATAAAGATACATAATTTTCATACAGATAAAGTGATCTTTTAAAATAGAACTAATAGAAGTTTAAGCTGAAAGCGAATCAAAAATAATGTCTTATATGTTTAATTGAACTGTTATAACGTCCTAGTATACTATAGACGATCTATCTGAATATTGTATTAGTTAATATTTATGTTTCATTGTTGTCATAGTCAAAAAAAAAAACTTTCAGTATAAATGGAGTGTGACTCTTAAAATATTTTTTATTATTTAATGTTAAGTACCTATCAAAATTATTTTTCTTATTATATTCTTTTTGACTATCATAATATGTACATTTTATCACGTTCATAATCAGTAATCTTAAGCGCTTGAAGTAATTTAATAAATACGCATTTTAATATCAAAAAGTGTTTTATTTAAGTTCTTAAATCCTTATTAGTAATTCCTCTAGATATCGTGGTATAAGCGAAGTTTGTAAACATTTCCATTGATGCTTTAAATTTTGAAGCAAAACCCAACCAAATCTGTTTTTATAGTTCTTCACAACATTGTATGTTTAAAGGTTAAGCATGCATCTTGGTAAAACATTTCTCTTGTTTTAATATTAAATAACTAAAAGTAAACAGTAAGTGTGGTATATGATACTTACGAAGTGAAAAATTTAAAATGAAAATAGCCATAAAAAATTATATTTCACTAGCGCCTCTATCCGACATTTCTAGGGAACTAACACTTGTCAATGAACCCACAGATTAGATTAGTTTTAATTTTTTCTTTGGCTGTCAACAAAAAAGTAAATTGAATAATTTAACATACTATAGATGGAGAAACATTTTTTGATGCCCGATATATTAAAGAATTAATAAACCGGTTGTTGGTCATTTTTTATTTAGACTTTCTCTACTGACCCTAGTTCCGATTTTTTGGTACTATTTACAGTCATTTTTATCCATAGCATTTCTTTGTTCTGGGATGTAACTGACACAAATAATATTAATAAATACTATTTTAAATATTATCAATATATAAAATCCGATCTATTAACCGGTATACGGTTATCGTCCAACCGTCAATAGCTACGACACTACACGTCACTTTCCAAAAATCATTGCATGGCGGATGGAAAAACAATCGCTGCAAAACAATTAGTGCATTAATATCTGTGTGAGATTATTAAAAAATGTCGACGGTCGTGTCCGATTGTTTCACGATCGGCAGTATAGTTGCGACGAGAACTTGTTATAATGAACACATCGAGGGCGAAGTGCTAGCATTCGATCCACAGACGAAAATGCTAATATTGAAATGTCCCTCTTCCAGTGGTAATCCAAAGCGCCACGATGTTAATATTGTTAATTTATCGCTAGTAAGCGATGTACAGATTAAGAAAGAAGTAACAACAGTGCCAGACCCGCCACCGTCGCTAAATTTACATAGGTTAAACACAAGGGTTCGCAATTCCATAGAAAACAAGCGAAGGCTGGTACGTACTCATTAAACTTTCTAGTAAAACGCACTTTAAAATGATTTGGCGTTAAGGCTTGTTTTAAATTCAGAAAAGAACAACGGTAGTTCTATGATACCTATATTCTTCAAGAATGTTTGACTGACACACACAACAAAATAATTAATTTATATCAGTCATAAGTACAACTTTACTGTGTACATGTTGCAGATATAGAATAGAGGTATTTTCTATATCTGCAACATACCTTTTTTTTATTAATATAATACTACTAAAGTAGGCCAAGGCCAGAATATACCCAGTAGTCGCCTATTTCTTTAACTCATTGATTAACATATACTACAACAAATATCTATAATGAATAATTATTAATTGAAAACTAGATCACTTCCTTAAACTATTCCGTCTTATCTTATCTCAACTTGCTTATAAACACAAGTGTTTTGTTATGTTATCAAAACAAACATGAATGTAATTAGGACACTAGTTTTTCTTACATAGAACATATTTTTCTTGGCAAGATTTAGGTAAAATTAAAATTCTATTTCATTTACCTGGGGCATAGCACAGACATATTTTTTTTTATAATTGCTCTTGTTAACAAGCAAGTACATGTTCTGACTTCTCTCTAACTGTATGTTTGTGAATGGGTTATGCCAGGAAACCAATTAATATTAATTTCACATTATGTTTAGTGTTGTAGAGCCTAAAGTGTTTATTCCCAGTTCTCTGCCAATTTGGTTTAGAGCAGTATAGGGTACCGAGCTTTCTATTGAAAGAAATCATAATATCTATTGACAGGTTTCAGCGTTATCTGCATGCCTGGATCCAGAAGGCCAAAGGCTATTCATGGCTATCGCTAGAGTCATAGAAGATGTCTCCTGGGCTGGCCAGAGCATTAGAGTCTACAACCAGATCACCATCACACCACCATATAAAGTGAGTTGAAATAATATATGTATGTGTATACACAGCTTTAATAGTGTAGGTCATAGAATAGCGGCTCGCTGTAACAACTAATAAAAGAGTTTCTTATCAAGAGTATTTAGTAGCATATAGCATTTGGTGCGATACCCGGCCAAAACTATTGCAAAGGATTTAAAAAATGTTTGTTGACTTGGTAACATACCTTAGTTTAATATGTTGTGATAAGATAGGACTTTCTGAGTTAAACGCAGTATTAGGCAACACATAGACAAATAATTGTATAATCTTATTCCCCACTGAGGGTAAGTGAGGAATTGGGTGAAATGGTGAACAATAATAATGTAATTTCGTTATTGTTTGTAATTTCAGGTAGAAAATGTAATCGGCGATCACGACTCAAAGTCGTGCAACTACATAAGAAAGTTCGTCGAACGCCATTGGCGGGAACAACAGTTGCGTGCGCACGCGACAGATTCAAATGCTCAATTGGCGCCACCAACCCCAGCTAACACGCAGTAGATCCCGCAATATACCTCTTAACCACGTTACGTTATTAGTTACAACATGAATACAGTATAAGGGCCAATGAAACGAGATAAAAAATCTTCAATAAACAACATTGTGCAATTTGGCATGACTGCTTCGATTAACAGTAAAAAATTGCTATCAAACAACACAACACAATATAATTTATATTTTACATAATATAACAATTTATACCCGTTACCCTCCCTCGGTTTTAGGAAGTTTCGATTAAACATTTTATTGAGTAGTAAGTTTAGTTTAATTTAATTTCTCGTAGTAATAAAAACAAGAAAAATAGAAACATAACCAATGAAAAATGTTTTAGCTCGATTCGTTCATAAATAAAAATATATGGCAAGTAACAGGCATCAATTTCAATTCTTATTGACCGCTTCTATTATTCAAGTCTTAATTAATTTTGTTGAGTTCACAAATCAGCATAAGTGAAATGTATACAGATATTTACTTCTCTGTCTGGTGGTAACGAAAAATTTGAATTGCATTATATAAATAAACATATTGTAGCTATGGTTAAAAGGTATATATTTGCTTGTAAATGTTTTCATATTTAGTGACCTTTGTAACTATGAGAAATTATTGCATCGGTCACGAAAAGATATAGATTATATTAAATCCTCAATCTTAATAATATCACCGTAATCTCTTGAAAATTTGGACCGGTTCAAAAATATACAAACTTAATATAGATATTTATAATGAGTTCGTATAATAATATCTTGATTTAGGTGTTCCATACTAAAAGCTCTGGGCTGTGTTTATGTCACCAGGCTGTATCTACTTAAAATATTAAGAAAAAACATACAGTTGTTTTCCCATAATAACACAATAAAATAAATATTTAAGGGTGGGGCTTCAATACCAAGCGCCCTATAGAAACTCGAATAAATTATATTTCCCATAGTTACAGAGGTAAGCTATAATTTATTTCCAAAGATATTTTGCGGAACAACAGACGATTATATAAAAGACATGTATGTTTGAAGAACCTTATAATTTTGGTTGTGACAGGTGTCAAGTTGCTTAACCAATAAATTAAACTTTTTATTATAGAATGCTGCGTTTGACAGTTCACGCCTATGAAGTATTGCATTTTTCGGTGTGAAAATAGGTCCCTAAATGACTATTTACCACCGCTGTTTGTAAATTGACGAACATTATATGGTTAACGAAAACTTAATTACAATTGCAGCCAGTATAATATAAATTTATCATTTTTTCCAGTATTTAATTTTAATAAGAATTGTTTAATTACATACATTTATTTGTGAAATTTTGCAAGGTTTACCGCGTTGCGTCTGATATTGATTCACATCGGTTTAAACCCCCTTTCACACCCTTGAAACGTCCTGTATAAAAAGTCGAAAATCAAAACCTGTGAAATAAAGTTTGGTTTCAAAGAGGAGTTCATTTTAGCGAGATCAATTTTATTCCTTCATTGTAAAATGTTATTTTATGTATTTTAATCAAATATTTTATTTCTAATTCTATCGGAAAAAGTTTTGTAGTTCCGTAAAATGATCATATGATTTAAATAAATGTACATATTTATTACATAAGTGCATTTTCATTTATTTGGCCAATTAAAAAACTCAGGCGCAATAAAACGAAAGAACAGATTCGATTTCAAATTTATTTCTACAATACAACATTAACAACGTCTAATAAAACATGCAGCTTAGAATGCAATAGAGTATACTCTATAGATAATTCGAGTTTTTAACAATAAATATCTTAAAAGGAAAACTTATACAACAACTAAATACTATTTGGATTTCTGTTACAATGTAAACATTTAGCAGTTTCCCACAACATAAGTACTGTCTTGTTGATACTGGGCTCAAATGGACTTAGTTGATATCACTTATATAATTTCAGCGTACAAGTTGTGTGGTAACGGAATGTTAAAAATACAGTTTATAAATAAGCATGATTAGTTTATTACATATGTGCATAATTCGCTCGATCAAAAGAAAAGAAATCAACAGAATAAAATTGTTCCTAATTACCAGTCTGAAAACAATTTGTAAAATGACATAGTTCTTCCCTGGAGTCAGACTGATTACCAGCGCAAAGCAAAACATTTTCGTGTTACAAAATTTAGTCACACTCTCCAAGACATGTGCTTCCTACGTTGCCATTTAACATTGCCACTTCAGTGAACTTGGAAAATACATTATGCATTTTCATTATAGCTTATAAAATGATTATATACTAACATAGCAGATATATCTATCATGCTGAGAAAATCTTAGGTGGAAGAAACAATAAATATTTTCGATTTCATCTATATCTGTCGAGTACTTTCTGCGAACAATAAATAAGCGTAGCTACGGTTAAACTATTTAGTTGACTAATTTCGTGACGTAATTGCTCGGGAATAATCCAGTCATACCACGAAGTTCACCTAAAAAAAAACATATTTGTCAATTATTTACTATTTAGTAGAGATGCGCCGGGAACACTTTTGTCGAGTAACGAGTACCGAGTTTTACTCGGCTCATTCAAATTGCCATTTCGCGCCGGTCAAGACGTCGGCTCGCTTTAATACACCCCTTGCCCCGCCCACGCCTTTCGACTACCAATCACTTGATTGTTTGCAAACGCGTTTGTTAACTGAGATTTTCAAAGATTTCCTAAATTACTAAGAAATACTTTTGGATTAACACTGTTGTTTTAATTAACTCTGCCTAAATATATTGCTTCTCTTAAACAAGGTATACTCGTTATCAAATAACAAAGTATAACCGAGTTATTCGGCCGTGTACGAGTATCAAACCCTCTCAGTACGCAGAGTACCGAGTACTCGGCCCATCTCTACTATTTACAAATATTGAAGACTAATGACAATAGAGTTGAAGTTTTTATTTATCTAAGCACGCTGATTGGACTGATTGGAATTCTTTGACGGTTAGGTAGCCCAAATTGTCTGATTATGAAACTAGGCAATATACAGAAGAATCTATTTAGACAGTAAAATAATATGGGACAACTGTAAGCATTACCTTGCCACCAAGCTGGGTCCTGGCTTCGGTCAGTCACAGCTATAATGTCGTCCTTCTCGAAACTCAATTCGTCAGCATTTTGAGCAGTGTAAGGGTACAGCGCTATCACCTGAAAATCATCATTAGCTTTCGTAACTGTTATATGTACCTATTACATGTAAAAGTTATAAAGATTTAAATAGATTTTTTGTTCCTAAATAAATACACTATAATAATAATAAAAAAATATTCAAATGAAACACTTTAACGGTTTAAAACGCGATATATATTAGTTAACCATGTTTGACGTGTATTAGTACCTTGTCTATAACTGTTTCGGAGGGCATTGCGTCCATCTTTGATGACACCGGTGTCGTACGACCAGAGGTACGACCGCTCGACTGTAGAATCTGAAATCAAAACGGTAATTTTAGTCTCTAGTATACTAAATGTCAATTTTTTTATCGTGTGATCCCTAACACAATATATGTGTTATAAATGTCCTCCGTCAATAGTTATGAAAGAAAAAATTTAAAGCTACAAAAATACTAAAAAGTCAATCATAAAACGTAGTTTTTAATAGATCTACTGTCTAATAAGATTGATAATCAGGTAAATGCTGCACGAATGGAAATTGTACATTGCTGTTTTTGAGCTATAAAAGTAATTAAAACACTGGCCAAAGCCATCAAATTAAAAAGAAAAAAATTGAGGAAACCAACTAATTCACTCAATGCAATATAACTGCGGCGTACTTTTCCGGCACTGATTTTTTACAGTTATTTTTTACCCACCTTAACGTAACTGGCGGGGAACCAACCGCTCTGCCTATTCCTCCCCTTCGCCTGTAGCTCCCCCTCCCACCACCCGCTGTCCGCCTTCTTCCTGACTATCAATAGCTGTCCCTTCATGAGTGAGAGTTGTTCGGGGCTGAAAATATTAGATAACACTACGATAGATGACTAATTAATTGAGATCTTTGAACTCTTATATGATGGAAGTGTGGACCAGTTGTATATTGTGAAGATTGATTGACAATTTATTGTTTTAATAAACTTTGTCCGGTCGGGCACAACTAATTGACACTGTAGGGCAGAAGACATGCCTGTAAATAAAAGCGATTAATGAAACAGAAAAAACGTTCATCCTATATCCCACCGGAGAAAACAGGTTTTTACTTAAAACACTTCTAACGGTTCAAAACGTGAAACATATTCGTTACTCAATTTTACTACAGCAATACGTTTCGAACGCTTTGTAGCAGCCTTGATGGGGGACGGGAGCAAGTTAGATATTCGCGTAAACTACAGATAGAGACTTTATATGTCTATTTAACTCACCTAGTTGCCGTGTAGTTAGCGAGCGCTTGCGCAACTTCGTGCTTGCGCCTGCCTGTGACCGAGTCGCGGCCGGATTCGGAGGTGCGACGCGCGGCGGAGGCGGGTCTCGGCCCGCCCTGTGCTCCGCTAGACTCCGTTATATTGGCGACCTCTGACGATATGGGGGTCGAGGATTTTTGTTCTTGCTGAAAATATAAAACAATTAATTAATTACAACACCAACATACGCCGTCTTCGGTGCGTTCGAAACACGCTTTTGTCATAGACCTTTTTCTTTCGTTTAAAGAGCCGTGAAGGCTTTTTTAAGAAGAGAAAGTGAATAGATGAAAATTTATTGATACACATGAGCGAAGATCTGTTTAGAAACTAGTTTTAATCCAGGTTTCTTTCCAATCCAATGTTCTTTCGAACAAAATGTTTTCGAATTCAACATTCCTATATACTCGAATGTAATTTTGACAATAGTAAATTAAGTGGGAACTGGAAGACTATGATTTCCAATATTCTTTCCCTGTCTGTCTGTCACCTGTAATTCTGTAATCGGTTCCACGAACTGTTCAGGCGGCTGCTGCTGCTGCTGCTGCTCCGGCTGCGGTTGCTGTTGCTGTGGTTCTGGTTCCGGTTCCCTCGTCTCCGGTATACTCGACATCACGTCGCCGGTTGTACTGTCTTTCGTTACGTAGTTCGATGGGAAAATACCAGTTCTGCAAATACAGAGCAGAGTTTATTGATGTAGATTGTGTTTTTCGATTATCTAATACAGGACGGGAAAACATTTTTTTCAAGCGGGCCGATAAATTAAAAAAAAATAATGCCGCAGGCCGGTCAATTAATATCATTCAGGGCAAGGCTACAAATCAAAAAGTTTTAAAACATTGTTTTTTGAAACTAAAATATTTTTTTTTATTTTTATAATTTTCATATAAAAAAATTTGTCACCTTAACAGTATTGTTATAAAAAGTACGAGATTTTTATGTTTTTAGTGTAGATAAAATATTTTAAGTTCAAATTAATGTGGTAAAATTTGAATTTCTGATGTTAAAATTATTTGCGAAACATTCGGCGGGCCGGATTACAACCTCTGACGTGCCGGATCCGGCCCGCGGGCCGTAGTTTGCCCATCCCTAATCTAATATGCAGTAACGGAATGGCGATATAAAGAGACCCAAGTTCCTTCCTGAGCCCTCGACTATAAGAAATAAAAGCCAGGTAGACCGACACTGCATTGGTGGGATGGAGTCGCTAAGGACCTGGGAATCAGAGGTAGGATAAATCGCGATGGCAGAAGCGATTACAAGGGGCTAGTACTCTACAAGAGGCTGTCCACTCCTTGATGATGATTTGCCCAAATTATAATTTTCTTCGGATCATTCACAGTTCACCTGATCACTGACTCACCGTATTCCGATCCTGCCCGTCCACCAGTCACCGTCACGCCTTACCACCTCGATCCTTTCGCCGGCTTCGAAGACCAGGTCACCGGGTTCCGTCGATGCGTAAGGGTACGCCGCTATGTAGAAGTCTCCGCCTTCTGACAAAGACATCGATGATTCATATCCACGTTATGTATTCATGTAAATGTGACAATAGTTTCGTATTTTTTTCCGACCCAATAAAAATATTAGGTCAGGAAGACCGACAAACTTATTTTTTTTTATTTACTTAAACACAGTACAAATAAATATTAAAACAGCCAAAAGATCGAAAAAAATATAAGATTACACATATAAAGACACATATATCAAGTTGAATCGAAAATCACTTAAGTGTTGCCCTTAAAGTACGACCCAACATCGGGTGCTTTGCAGCAGCCGTGGTCACAGAGGGTCTGAAGGTGGAGAGTGTAACAAAAACGCAAGCAAAATATCCTGGGCTCTATAGTGGAAACTTACCAACTGGTGGCATGGCTCCGCCCAAATCGCTGGCTACCTCCGGTTCCGGCACTTCGGCTATGCCTGAAATTTATTTAAAGAAGGTCAAAACAGAAGATACATTTAATATTTAAATAATAATTAATTTTCGCAATAAAAAAAAATGTAGAAACAATATTTTCTTTACAGAAAAACCTGAATGACATTCATGAAGCTTTATTTTAATTATCAGACAGAGTGTTGTATAGGTAATCTAATTAACTAAAATAACTTAAGAGAAAATGTATCTAATCATCAATCTCATATATCAAAAGTCCGACTGTGAGACGGAAGTTGTCGTTAACAATTTTCAATATTCTTTCACCGAAGTTAAAAGTAACTCAATTGACAGTATAAAAGAGTTACCGACACAATTCGGTACAGACGTACTGTAAAGTGTGTAAAAAGTAAATTAATGGCAATCTAAGAGTTTTCAACAATATATATTTTTTATCACTTGCTATATTATTGCTACCTACCCTCCAATTGTGTCTTGGTCTCTATAGGTTCAACTTGTTCGTAAGATGGCGCCGCCGTCATATCCTCTACATAGGACTCAGGGAACCACCCGGATTGACCTGGAAAACAATTCACCTACTATTAAACACTGTCTGCAGTTTACGCGATATATATAAGTTAAACTTATTTGAAAATGATTTTAAATACGGCCCTTGTGATGACGTTTCTGATGCTTTTCAGCAGCCGTGGTCACGTGGAGAGGCTAAAGATGGAGGGTGTCTCTGACGTCAAAGTAAAAAACTGCTACGCTAGCGCAATCTGTTCCGTCGAAGTTAGTATCTGGCCAGCCAGTTTCGATACTATCACCCACACAAAGCACTTGCTATAGTAACTTTGATCACTGCGTCGGTGAAGTAGCAAATAAACTATTTTTCGATCATTATCCAAACTGTTAAACCTGAGTTAAGATACACAATAATAGAGATTATTGCGAGATAGAGTTAAGAACTTAAAGATGGCGTATTCGTTTATAATCTTTTACTTGTTATTGTACGTGAAGGAATTATAAAAACATTAGTTAGATTGAAAATGAAATCAGCAATTCAGCGCAACATTGAACCTCAATACGTATGTGTTAAGGTTGAAATTACATTTGTGTGTGGTGGATGTACCAATGGGTTTAAGAAACACTATGACGCGTACAAAACTGTCGCTCAATTCACAACACGGGAGGATGTTGTGGATGCCGTTTCGAGGTCCGCCCGTGTTGTCCGTTTTTCTGATATTTTATTTAAACGTAAAAGTTATTGTATACTGACCTCTAGCAGAGCCCCACCGCCAGCCTGGTTCAGCATCCCCTCGTGGTGCGTCAGCTTCGAAGACCTGGCAGAGTATACAAGCCATTGTATGACCGTTAAACAGTACGCGAAAGCATGAATCGCTCCTTTAAACTAATCTATAAACAACATAACCGATTTTAAGTTGGTTATAGTTTGTCCGCTGTAGTGTGGTGTGAGTGACTTTTAGTCTACAAATAAAATCAAATTGATAGTAAAAATAAGAAGTGCTATACGTATAACATAACGCAATAAACGTCTTTAGTAAAGGGATGTATTCCTGCAATGCGTAGTCGATATTTTGATAAAAAAATCGTATAACAATAATGAAATATATTATTTTTCAATACGTATGTAGTTTATGGTCATGGCCCAAGGATCTCTACTCCAAATGGTAGAAAATAATTATTTGACGACAAACTAAAACGTATATATGTTGTATAAACAAGGAATTAGTGTATCCGCCATAAAGGAGTCTCCTAATAGATGCCAATTTAATATGTTTTTTCTTATAAACTACATTAAAGAAAACAAAGTTTACGCTAGGAGTGTCGTCGGTGATAAAAATGAGTCCCTAAACGTTCTCGTAGTCATGTGGTAATGACAGCTGTCAACGTCAAAAGGGCAGCTGTCAAACGCTACTGCGTACCTACTAGCGTATAGGTATTGTTTGTACACAACTTGACTGATTTGTGTATTCCTAATGTAAAAATATCTTACCAAATCGCCGGGCTGCAAGCTCAACTCGTCCACTGTTCGTGCCGCAAATTCGTACACGCACCGCCATCTTGGCGTGGACGATGACGTCACGTTATCTACAGCTGAAAGATCAGAGTTACCACGTATATTATTATTAAAAACTCAACGTTTTTTCGTGAAAATAGTTTTTTTTTTATAGAGGACAAGTATTAGGGTACATGATAGACATTTATGGATTGCTTTAACTATTCGATTGGTATAGTAAAAGTACGCAGCATGGCTTTCTAAATAAGTATTTTTTTAATATTCCAATTAATGTACTTATTCACTTTAATACCTGTGGTTGCTGGAGCGTCGCCCCAGTCAGCCGTAGTCGGGGCGGAGGCCCAAGCGTCGTCTGACGGTCCCCACGCGTCTAAACAATATTATACACTAAATCAAACTGGCATGTCTATAATTAATTTTAAAAAAGGTAATGTGTTCGGCCTTAATCGGTTAAAATTCGTAAAAAATGTTACCGTTATCAGTGTTAAGTATAAACTTATACTTAACACTGATAACGGTAATAATAATACTAATAAACGGTAAATAGTAAAACAGTCACATATGTTGATAATTGATTGAAATAAAAAACCGCAATTCAAAATAGCATTTTTAAACATTTGTCTCCATATAAATAATATAAAGTACAATTTAAAAAAACAGCCAAGTAGCCTTAGCATATACATTGCCGAGCCAGCCATTTTGCCCAAAAATGGGTTATTTGTTTTTAGTTTTCGCTGCAGTGGGACCACTTACCGGCGCTATCAGCCGGCGCTGTGCTCCTCTCGGCTTCGTACTTCTGCTTCTTCTCCTCGTATAACTGCCACACCTGTCCGCACTTGTTTATCAGCTCGTCCACTCGCGCTGTCACGTCGGCCAACTGCTGCTGATTGCTGTCCAGGTCAGATTTCTTCGCTTCCACGATCGCCTTGGCCGCTTCCACCTTTACCACACACCATTGTCAATAATTGTACAGTTAAATAAAATACTTTTGATAATTTAAAACCCAAAATAGTTAAGTTAATTTATTAACAATATATTTTGATCACACTCCGACTTTTTGGATGCTTTTCAGCAGTGTCAGTGTTAAACACTTAATCCAAAAAATAGTATACCGGTAAACGAGACGACACTGTGAGGCACAAAACAGATGACGCTAGCGTAGCAATTTTTACTTTGTCATTAGGGACCATTTTCAGTCCCCGGTGACCACGCCTGCTACAGAGCATCCTTATATACAACTTTAAACCATTCCCACCGTTGAGGCTCGGACCTCGAATAGGTTTTAAATTAAATTAATCCAGAAACAGACATGCTCATCAAAGCCATGATTTTAGACGTTTCATTATTAAAGGTTTTAAGATATATTTATTTCTTTTTACAATAAAAACGACCAAAAGTGGTAAAAAATAGGTTAAATATAAATTACATTAAGACGTTCTGGCAACATTAGACAATTCTTTTAACATGGAAGACCAATCATACCGATTTGTTATAAAACATACCTTATCTCTGAGTTGTTTCAACGTCACTTCCATCATGCTCAGTTTTCCGTCGTCGCCAGCGCCCTCTGACGCCTTCGCCTGAAATTACATTTTATTAAAACTTTGAGTCTTGCTCACTTCTACCACAATGGATGTACGAGAAGAAACTTTTTCTCGAACACAAATATTGAACAATGAGGCCGCAAGAGGAGGAGTGGCCTAATAACAAAAAACGATTTTCAATAAGGAAGAAATAAAAATGCGAAGTTAACTTCGGCGAAAATGAATTTGAACTATTATGTATTAGGTAACTGTGTTCTTGTTAACATTTTTAGACTATGAAAATATAAAAAACTGAAGTCATAAAGTTGTCTGAAGTTTATGCGAGTAGTTTACATTTAAATATAACGGTTTTAAAAGCGAAATATATTAGTTAAGCTCGTAGTGAAGAGTGACATCATGAGTGAGACCCCAAGTCGGGTAACAATTAAAATAAATAAAAAACAAGTTAAACGAATATATTTCGCGTTTTAATCCGTTAAATGTGTCTTTTTATTGAGTCATAGTCTAACTGCCACTGCAATGAAATATCATTCGTGAAACATAATTCACTTTTATTGACACAAAGAAGCTACCGTTTGTCCTGAGACACTATATAAATTGGGCATAAGTGGGGACTTTCTGGGTCATGGGCCATGGGCCATACCTTGGCATCTAGGTCAGCCTTCTCCTTGTTAAGAGCTATCTGTTTCGCGTTTAGCTCCTTCACTCGAGCCTTTAATTGCTGCATCTCGGACATATTTGCGTCGCGATCCGATCTGTGATTAAACATTAACAATTTCGATAAACTTAGCATAGACGTTGACGACAAAGGAGTAAAAGCGAGTGAGCATTCACGTGTATTTGTAAACATTCGACAACTTATGAGAGCTGACACCCTTTTTAATTAGATTTATAATTTTTCAAAAACTTTATCCATTATCACTTTATAATTTTAGTCCCATTTATTGTGAAGCCGAATAGGTTTTATGGATATTTTAAATACATATAATGTGAAAGAAAACAAGAAATCTGAATACATTTTTTTTATAGGAATTAAAAAACAGAAATTTCCATTGTGGAGGCTCACTGCCCATTCCTTAATCGGTAGATTTAACGGTTTAAAATTTCAATTGATAGTTTAATAGTGGAAACTTTAATATTTTTTACATGTTATTGCAAATGACGGCATTATATAGATTAATAGTCTAAAACAGCAGCGGCTACTGCTCTAACCAATAGTGCTACCGCGTCCTAGTCTATTACCCGACTAGAAAATTATTTCAATTAATTTTCGAATTTAAATCAGTTTAATACAATATATTATTTTTTTCATAATTTATATCTTTTCTTTGGCTCCGCCGAACATTCTCACCTCATAGAGTCAATAGTGCACTTGGCCGTGGCTACGGCGGTTCTGGTCTCCCGTATGTCCTTAGCCAAATTGCCCGCCTTCAGATTGACGGAACTCAGTTCCGCCGTCAAGGCTTGGCTCTGCGCCTTGAGGCTCAGCACTTTCGTCTGCTCCTCTGTACGCATCGTCTCCAGTTCCCGAGTTCTAAAATATATACAATTCATACGTGTCTTGAAAGACCAAAGAACTGTGGCTAGTCACGAACGTGCGAAAAACGACTAACTGAAGTTTTCTAGACTGAATTAGGTTATACTTAGATGTATTTATTTTAAATATTAGGTTACAAGTGCACTTTACCACCCCTACCTCCCTTGCCCTCTTTTACCCGTAAGGTAATTTTCTGAAAAAGTTATAATAATTCATGAAGAAAGCCTTATCGCTGTAAAGCGATGTTTCTCAGGTAAATGTACAAACAAGCAAGAATAAATAAGTAAATAATACAAATATAATTAATAGACGGGGAGTACTTTCTATGTACGGTGGTAGCACATAAGCAATTCTGCATATAATAGAAATATATTGTAATTTTGCTGCAGTCGTTGGTTCGAGTCCCGCCCGTGATTTCTAATTATGTCTGTGTGATGAAAAATTAATTTTGTAATCGCTGTAATCTAAAGTGGATGTTTAATTTATGAAGTATTCCTTATTATTATATTCAAGCGTGTACCTTTTCTTCTCCCATTCCAGCTGACACTGTCTCTCCATTTCTTTGCGGGCCGCCTCGCGCTTCTCCTAATCATTTCAAATAATTACAATTTAACAAAATATTCTTTTTGATGGAGGAATACAGGCATGCATCGTGTTCACTTGGCGGAAGGTGATTGGATATTCGGAAATCCAGAGAAACCGAAACGCGATTAAACTTCACGGAATTTCATACGAGGACAGTGGTTCGTAACCCGCCGGATCTTCGATATTCCTACCACCTATTTAATTTCCAATGACCAGACAAAGTTCAACAATGTTTCAGAAAACATGCTGGACCCAATGGGCATCGAACCCAAGACCCGTTGATTATTACACCAGCGAGCCCGTCACAAATGTAATAGTAAAGTTTGGTTGACCTCATTCTGATTAAACGCCCCTATTGGTTAGTTTACTATTTTGTGTCTATATAACCCTCAAAGGACCAAACTAAAATGACCAAATACAAGGACGCGTAAAAATTACCTGTTCTTCTTTCTGCTTCCGCTGCAACTCTTCTTGTTCCTTCTTCTGCGCTTCAAGTCTCAACTTCTCTTTTTTCTCCGCTTCTTCTCTCTCCTTTCTTTCTCTTTCAGCCTGAATTTTATTTTCAAACGAAACAATCAGTATTCTTATACGGTTCTAAGCGATTTTGATAAAACTTCGTGTCACTGTAGGCGACAATTGGATAAAACCACTTTTTATCCTGAACAAAGTAAAAACATGGAACTATTTTAATGATCTTGAGGCCGAATTTAATTTATACAAAGTTATTGTCCGTTTAAAGTTTATTATCTTTTTATTGTCTTGTCTAGTGCTTAATTGTAGTATGGAAAACGCTGAGAGCCTAGCCAAGCAGAGATAGATACAAAATAAATATTGTTTAGTTAAGTAGCTACATTTTTTGCTCTTAAACAAACGATATTTTTTAGACACTTCCTGCCAGTAGATGGCGCTATGTAATCGAAAAACGGTTTCTACTCGTGCGAGAAATTCTACAGTGCATCTAAAAACTAGCTAATAACCAAACTTAAGTTCGATCAACGAAGCAGGCCGAAGATAAAGGTTACCGAAGTGAGTTTCTGTATACTTTATCCAGTTAGTTAGTCGAACTACAACTAATTAAATCCATCGGTAACAATAATCCACTACGCTCTAAAAATCTACTATAATCACCTCCTCTTCCTGTTAGCAAAAATGCAATTGACACGATTAAAAATAATATTTATGCCTTCATAATAAAATTAATGACGTCTCTGTAACTACTAAGCTGACTTGGATCATTCAATACCACGAAACCCATCTATTTGTAGGGGTGTAAACTCAGAAAAAATTAAAAAAGCTTCAACATAGTGATTTGTTGATATTTCATACATAGGCAATACATTAACACTTCGATTCAAAAAATGAACAACACGGGCGGGATTTGAACCGAACGACAGAACGGATAGCTGTGGATGCCCAGCTTTCCGTTTTGCTGCTATAACCAATTGAGCTAGATGAATCTCTCGCGCAATGTAAGTTCAACCATAACGCTGATATTTACTGTCTTTGTGTAATTACATACAGATTTGACTCGGCTCACCTTCTCCTTCATTTGCACATCAGCCAATTGGGACCTTCTTCTCTCTAACTCCGCTTGGCCTCGCGCTAAGTTTTCTTGTCTTCTCTCCTCGTAAGATTTCCCGGCGCTCGAATTACTCGTTACGGAGTCTCGTCTAAAAGTGGGCGGGATTAACTCTGGGGGGAGCTTCTCTGGTGGGGCTTCGCCCTGGGTTGCCCTTTCGCAGAGGTACATAGCTAAGACGAACTCTTCGCATCCTGCAACATATATTGTAATACAGCATTTCGAGAAGGTAAAGTGTGGACACCAAAAGGAACAAGGGTGATTACACCATATTACCATTACTGGAAAATGGGTGAAATGCCAACAGAACAAGGTGACTCTTGAAAATTTAAATATTTTCACATGATGGCACTATATAAATTAAAATTCGAATATATTTTTTTATGGCTAAAAAATGCTGACGGCCGTTTTAATAGAGAAATTAATTTACCCTGGTAATATAAAAAATGATTCTATATCTTCCTTAGTGGAAGACAGAGTTTATAATTTTTTCTTAATAACAATGGAAAATACAAATTTAACTGTCTCGCATAAATCTGCAAATTGGGTTTCCGAAACTGTCTTTTAGTAGCTGCAGCTATCAAATGGACTAAACAATATAAACAAGAAACGGTTTAAAACGCGAAATTTGTTTGTTAATTTATTTATAATTTTCAGATGCTTTGCAGCCAAGATCACGGCTACATAATTTATTAACCGTTAAAAGTATTGTACTATTAGTGTAAACTGCACACAAAGCTGCACTAACCAAGTTTCCCATCACAATCCAAGTCTGCAAGTGCCCAAATCAGCGCAAGAGTCTGCTGCGGGAGACGTGACTGCAACATGATGGCGCGCGCCTGCGCCCCCGAAACGGCACCAGCCTTCGCTCGGTCAGTTGCGTTAAAAAGTTGAGTATATCTAGAAGCATATTCGTTTACTTGATTTGACAAAACGTCTTTCATTTGTTTTTCGATATTCTTGGTACGATATATATTGACGTTAATACGACGATTTACTTGGCCAGATATAAAAATACGATTTGCTGTTTAAAAAAGAAAAAACTCACATAAAAAAGTTCAAAGTGGTCCAAGTAAATACATTTAAAATTTATTTTCAAGGAGCCCAAATCTCTATCATGAATTAAGGCCATATTTGTGACGACAGCAATACTATTAAAGTGATTTTTTCTAACTTGGCATTTTTGGTAAACATACACACAATTTAAATAAAACCCTGATTTTTCCAAAAAATTTAAATTGATTAACACTAAACACACTTTGAGACGCTTAAAAACGTCGAGTTAAATAATAATGACTTAAAAATAAAAGATCGCCATAAAAGTGACATTGTGGTCGTTTCGTCCATATATAATGATTATTTCTTTATCATCTGTGAAAACAAGTTACTCTATGGTTTGAAATCAGCCAATGTTGTGGTCTTTTGCCAAGTTAGAAAAAATACTATATATAAGGTATGAAGGTTGTAACTCACTTTAATTTCTGCGGTTGCGGAATGTTCCAGTCGACTTGCTGCGGGCTCATCACGCCCATGGGCAGATCCGTGGGACTCGTAACTCCTGATGCTGAAATCAAAATCTTTTGATTACTAGTTGTGTCAGCGTCTTCGTCCGCGTAGAATTGTTATTTTGGACATCCAAATTTCTTTTTGCAAAGCTCTTCCTTATCTTTATATTAATTAAGTTACAACGACGTCGGTCGCGACCCGTCTTTCTTGCAAGCTAATATTAAAAGATAGACATAGAGTGTCGCGGACATTTTTTTAGATTATTTAGAGAGGAATAATTCTTTCACAAATATTTTTTGCATATCATGAAACGTTTTCGCATCATACGGACGGGTTTTCCCGTTTTTTCCACATTTTCCGCTACTTCGCTCCTATTAGTCACATCGCGTTATGATATAGCCTTCCTCGATAAATACTCTAACCAACACAAAAATATTTTTTCCATTCGAACCCGTACTTAAAGAGATATGCGCGCTCAAACATACAATCAAACAAACTCTTCAGCTTTATATCTTAACTTCCAGAATCCACTTCACATACGTACGTGGACATTTTTTATGGTCCGTTAGACTGATCCAATTGTGCAGACTGCAGACATATGTCTGTTCATGTGCCTAAGAGAAAACGCACTAAATAATGTTTACTAAAAACATCCCTTACCTGGTTTCGATCCCAACGATTCGCGTCTTATAGCAGTAATCGGCGTCGATGTAATGGGTGCGCCAGGCATCGACCCTGCAGTCGTCGGCGTACCACTCTTCGGAGGACTGAAGGAAGAACTCACAGTCGTACCAGTGGGGAGAGGTGGTTGCGGCTTTGGTGGGCTCGTCATCGGTTGGACCCCTATTGGCGGACTTGTCATTGGTTGAGCGCCCATGGGCTGATTTGTCATGGGCGCAGTTGATTGATTGGCCAGCGGTGGAATGGCCATAGGTTGAGATGTCATTGGCAGTACTCCCATGGGCTGACTGCTCATAATTGGAATTCCTACAGGCTGACTCATAGTTGAAATTCCCATAGCCTGGCTTGACATTGGTAAAACACCCATAGGTTGAACACCCATGGACTGATTTGTGATTGGTTCAATCCCCATGCCCATGGTTACCACTGGTTGACTGCCCATGGGCGGTACGGCACTCATGAGTTGAGGTCCTTGGGAAGATGGTGGCATTTGGCTCATAATAGGAGCAGAATTGATCAAAGGCTGATTGGAATCCATCAAGGATTGACCCATGAGTGGTTGCGAGGATTGATGTAATTGGTTTGGCATCGGTACCATACCGACCAGCGGTTGGTTTACTATTGGCTGCGGCGGTATTAGCGGTGGAGTAGGTTTCACTCCGGAGATGAGATCGGGTACTGTAGGTTTAGCGCTTGACTGAGCTAGATCACCAAGAAGTGACTGCGAAGGGAGTCCGGAGATGAGGGGTTGAGACATTGCAGAGGGCATGGGGGGGATTGGGGGTTTTGGTGGTGGAAAGTTCTGTTTCGGACCTGTGAAGAAATAACATCCATTAACGATTTGTTTGTTGTATTTATGCCGTCGGCTATAATAATAGAGTCTCATAAGCAAAATCTGAGATTGACACATAATTTAACGACAACACATGTATCGACACTCTCAGAATACAATTTGAAACTCACCAGTGGGACTCAGCGAAGCCAGCAGGGATGGCGGAAGAGTTTCTGGTATTTCAATACCACGCAGTTTCAAATTAATAATCTGGAATAATAAAAATATTAGGGAGAAAACAGATTGCTCGTGTCAATTGAAAAAAAGAAACTTTCACCTAACAAGGAGAAAAATCATAAGCACAATGTCTGTTGCTGGTTTAAATCTTCTCAGTGGCTATATATTTTAGATATTTCATGAATACTTAGATTCAGAGAAATATTTACCTTACAAGCTATGGAAAACTCCTTGAGATCCAGTTTACCATCAGCATTAGTGTCGGCTAATGTCCAAATTTGACCCAAGACAGGTGGGGGAAGTCGTGACTGAAATAAGAATTTTTTATTGTTACATCAGTTATATAATGTACATACACTTTACACACACCCACTAAAAGTTCCTTGCTTAATAAAGCAACAAACCTTTTCTGATAACTGACACAGATACATTTGGTTCTAAAATAAAGAATTTCTATAGGATTAGCATTAAGAATAATAATATTATTATTCTCTTGTCCCTCTTTATAATTTTTTATTACTAACATCCTTTTCTACTATTAAACAACATAATTATTTCTCTTACCTGCAACATGAACCGTTTGGCCACTTCTCCTGTGAGGACTCCATTCACAGGGCCAGTACTTCTAAACAGCTCACCAAATTTTATATGTTCGTGAGGCTGTATCATCCACGGGTCGGCCATTTTGCTATAATGAAAATAATACCTTATGAATTCATTTGGTGTTCATTTTAACTAGAAGGGCTATGTGAATAAAATTGGATGTCATTATATAATATCAGAGCTTCTGTTGGAGCTTAAATATATTGACATTGGCTGGCAACACTTGATTTAAAAACATGTTCCATTCTCTATTTGAAATTCACAAGATGTTGTTTTATGTTGCAAAACAGGAGACTTTTCTCTTCTCGACACATCAAGGTTTTTGTATGGAGTCATGTTTATTATACCAAATTATGTTAAAAGTGAAATAGTGCAAATATATGTAAAAGTATCCATGGATGTTTTCAATATATATCCCTCCTTCGCCTCCCTGAGCCAAACTTCCACACGGAATGATAATAATCCAACAGCTTCAATTGTGTGCCTTGTCAAAATAGTACATAGAAATTATATATGAAATATATTCATCGATAAAATTAATAAACAGTGTATATTGCTTAAAAGATAAATGACACTTTAGAGTTTTATATCTTTGAAATGTAGTTTGTGTTTCGAGTCAAATTTCGATATTTTTAATACCAATTTTAGCCACAATGAAAAAGATTATGCCGGAAAGGAAGGACAAATAAACCCACTTTTGAATCTGTTATATTAATGCAGATAGTATTTATATGGAGAAATAATTTAAAAAAATATTTGTAATAATTATAACTCGGTATTCAACCAGAGTTCGCTATGGTTGATAAGATATTTTGTGTAGCACTAACTGATAATCATTACATACTCACAGTTATTTACAAATTTTAAAGCATTAATATCCCCGCCCCTTATTATAAGCACTTCTTCAATTTATAATGTCTAAAAGTTGTCTACACTTCTCAATATTATGTATTGATCTCAGTCCTCAGATGTCAAATATAACAGCGAATGTATTGATCGCGAAATGTCATTGTCATTTTTTTAATAATTTGACACACGGCCGCTTTCGTTTAAAAACATGTCTTCTTCCTAATTTGGTTTTCGCACTCGGTTGGAAACATGGTAAATGTAAAAAAAGCAAAACTTAAAACAATATTATTTGTCTAACAAAATAAATTATTAAAAAATAAGAGTTGATTTAAAAGTCATTTTATCAAGCCATGAAATTTATAACAAAAATTAGAGTTGGCTTAAAGGTTTCGTTACCAGGTTACAAATTTTATAAAAAAAAAATTGGGTTAAAAACCTTTGTATCAACCCGGTAAATTGTATAAAAAAATAAGAGTTGGCTTAAAACTTTTATTACCAGGCCATAAAAATTGTTAAAAAAACAAATTTGGCATTAAGGTCTCGTTACCAAGCAATAAAATTTTATATAAAAAAAATAAGAATTAGCTTTAAGGTTTCGTTATCATGCCATTAATTTTATGAAAAAAAAGCGTTAACAAGATAACGAAGATAATTTCACACCACTTTGCAGTGTTTTGGTTTTTGTGCTTGTTATTTTTTTATTAATTTCATTATTAATACAAACAAATATTTACAATGAAAGTGGCTGACAACATCAACCCTAATATATACGAAAAGGGTTCCGCTCGAGAGATCAGCAAAACCGATTTAGATGAGGATTTGAAAGACGACTTTGACCAACGCGAAATATTCGATATAATACGCAATATCTGTGACCCGGAGCATCCTCTGACTCTCGAAGAGCTCCGTGTGGTTGAAGAGAATAATATAGTTATAGATAATAAAAATAATACAGTGCATGTTTACTTTACACCGACAATACCTCATTGCAGTATGGCTACTTTAATTGGTAAGTCTTTGTAAACGAAATAATGCTCTATCAATAATGATTATATATGATATGCTTCTTGGTTTTTGACAGTTTCTTATTGAGTACTTAAAAGAAAAAGCATCACACCTATTTATTCACATTGAACTTATTGAGAGTTCAATAATTATTGTCATTAAGAAGTGTACAAGTTACAATTACAAGAAAGGACTTCTTTGCAGGTCTCTCAATTCGAGTGCAGTTACTCCGAGCGCTGCCAAGTAGGTTCAAAGTGAGCGTAGAAGTCACTGAGGGCACACATGTTTCTGAGCATGCAGTTAACAAACAGTTGGCAGATAAAGAGAGAATAGCAGCAGCTCTAGAGAATAATAACTTAGTGCAAATTATAAATCAATGTGTTAAATCTGTGTAGAGTTATGACGATTTTAAAGTGCATGACTGCATAATGAGGCCCATATAATCAAAGGCAGCCAAATCCAAGTATGTTGAATAATTATTATCCTAAATTAAAGATCTAACCTACATTATCTCAATTGGTCAGAGCAACGGCACAAAATGCTGTGGATAATGGTTCAAGTACTGCCTGTGCCATAAATTTTAATTAATCTAAAATCAATTTTTAATACCATCATGTGCAAGATGTGAAAAATAAGATTTGAAACAAAAAAAAAATTAATTACTTTTTGAATATCACTCATACAAACATTGTAACTGTAATCAAATATTTCTACCTGTCGCATGTTCTGAGTATAATGTTGATGCTATATTAATCAAACTAATTAAAATTGAAGATAATTCAGGTTTAGTCACATAATTTCACTGCATCAATCAATTCCGAGTATTAATGACATGAAAATTATGTCAAGGAAAGGATAGCACAGATACCCTTTTGGATTTAGGGTTAAGAATTATGACAAAATGACTATAGGATCATATTACATAGATAGGAAAATAGTTGTGACTTCTATTCCATAATTTCATCAATATTTCAACTTTATTGATAACGTCTTCTATACATATATGATGGCTGTGTTTGTATTAAAAATGTCTTTGAATTTTATTAAGAATAATTTACAGGCAGGATTTGAATCATTGTCTACAGCATTCTGATTTAGAATGTTTCTTTTTGTTTCATAATACTTGAGTTAGCTGTAAAGGTCATGTTTAATATCATCAGTCAGAATAAGCATTGTGTATCTGTGACAAGTTAGTCTTGATGCATCTTCTGTTTCACTTGGGATTTTGGTACACATCCTTGTTTCTAACTGTAACTGTCCCGTAACTGTATTGTATGGTTGATATTTGTTGTTTATTGATTAAGCAAGCATAAATGCTTTTATCTTTGTATAAATAAAGAAGTGTAAAGCTTATGTTATATGTCTGTTATTATTTGTAAATTTTGTTTAAAGTCTCTAACCCATAATAAAACCCCTTATGAATTAAAACGTTTTATTTTAATCAGTTTGTCAATAGTGTAATAAGGTAAAGGAAACTTGTGTTGATGGCGGCGCGTATTGCAGCATTGGGTGAATACGTCTGGAATGAAATATACCTTAAGTTTATTTAATTTGGTAGATGGGAATGTGGCCAGAGTAGCCTAACTGCAATTTTATGACTTGAATTTTTGTATTTTTATAGTCTAAAATGTTTATCTACAAGAGTATAGTGCCCAAAAATTGTTAACATAATTCTTACACAAAAAATAGTACAAATTCTTTTATTTAAATTTAAATGATTTCTTGATTGGGGAATACGAGGTCGTTTTATCGCTAATTCGCGTCGCTGGTTTCGTCAGACACAATAAAATGTCAATATAAAGTAGGAATAGCCGTAAGTCTTCTATATGCATCTATCTGTCGGAAGACTGGCAGGTTTGATTGCTGTAAATATTTATCTTCTACCAGTACACCGGAAGAAAAACTAAAAATGGGGCTAACATCTGCACGATCTCATAAAATTCCCAGCTGTGGGAATCGTTAATAGTGATGACGAGTATTACTAACAGTCGCTGTCAACTTATTTCGTTCGCAATTAATCTCGTCCACAGATGTTCTGAATTTTTCGATCTCCTTAGGATTGTTGGCGTTCGGTTGGAATTGGAAACTGAAAAAAAAAACATAACATGCATTGCCTGTGGTCTTCTATAAGGGCAGCACGAAATAAAATCATACCGATTTTGGTTTTATTTTGTGCTGTTTTCTAAAAAAAATAGCATTAGAAAGGACTTAGTAACGTCCTAAAAGTTGAAATTAGATTGAATAAGAATTTATCGCGTAACTTAAATTAGTACATACTTAGCTCGCACTCTTGCCACTGGTTTCTCCTCAAAATTAGTCGAATTATCGGTATATATAGTAGAGACTTCGGTAGAATTCAACTTTTCTTTCACTTCACTGCTGTCCGATGTATAATCTATGTCAAACAAGTTTTAGCGTCTACGCGAGTAGTATACTATAAAATAAAACGCATAACAAAGGTAACAAACGCACAATATATTAGTGAACTTTCATCGTCGTCGTTAAAATAAATTGTAAATAAGTTAACTCATGTACTTCGCGTTTTAAACCGTTCAGTGTCATATTTAAATCTGCATGAACATATTTTCGCCATTAAGCAGCTTGTTTAAATTACTTGATACACAAACAAACATTTCGGATCTAATTGACCAACAGTAAGCGGAAAATGGGAAATCGTCCATCGTATTAAGAAGAAGAAGGCATCAGTCAATACGACTATAAAAGAGTTTAGTTCTTATTGTAAATACCTGAAGAGTCCTTATACATTTCGGCTAATTCCTTCTCAATTCTTGTTTCCTCGTCATCTTGTTTGTCGATGTCGTCTACGTCTTTCCTTTTGTTCACTGTTTCCTGTATAATTAGGACATTAAATTGTACTATCCTCTCATCTATTTTCCGTTAATTCACTGAGTATTAGTATTATCTATTGTCCGAACTAAAAGAGGTTTTTACAAAAAGGTTAAACTTTAAAGCGCCATACTGGCCTATTATTCGAAACTTTCTGTACGAGTCCCATTAAGAAATCGTTATTTACCTGCGGTGTATTAAAGCTGTTGGAAAGTTTGCCTTACGGTTTAAAATACCAAAGTCGCGGGCGAACTCTACTTAGTAGGTAGGCGTATAATATTGGGATTGCAATTACACTTGTATATATTTTTTTAATTTTAAATACATCATCTTAGTCAATTATTTCTTATAGTTACGTGAAAAACACACTTATAAAACACTTTGACGGTCTAAAACGCCAAATGCCTTATTGACTTGTGTTTCGGCTGCTTACAAGCATCTTAAATGTCGGGCCGTATTTAAGACAATGTTAATACATTTTACGTTTTAAAACGTTGGAAGTGTTTTGCTTAAATTATGAAAGTTGAGCCAATACTTCAAATCTCAGCATTTTTTTTAAACTTAGATACTTATAACATTCCATACTGGCACTTAGACCTCTTGTAAAGGAGAAAACGGGCATAAATATATTGTGAAGAGAAGGCCACAGAAATATGTCTGCATTATTCATATAACTACATACCAATATCCGCCGTGTATCCTTTTTGGTTGCTACTTGTATCGTCGTAGACGTGGAGTCCTCATTTTCCACCGACGGCTCTTCGTCCAAGTCGGCTGGCAAATCTAAAGAGTTTACAGTAGAAAGACTATACGATGTCATCTAAACAACATAGTGTATTTAAGTATAGTTTTTAAATTAATTTATTTCTTAGGCTTATGTGGAACTTTTGAATTGTAATAACTTAATTTTGAATTGTAATAACTTAATTTTTAATTTGGACTATTTATTATGATAGAGGGGGGTGGACAAGATTCGGGTTCATATAATGATGATGATGAACGATGATACATAGACTATAGATAGTAAATAGACTGAAACCGAATCGCGATTAAAATTCACGGCTTTTCGTCTGTGTTTCTTGACCCGGACGGAAATTTGATATTCCTATCATCTACCATTTAATGTCCAGGTATCCAGGCGAAGGCCAACGTGTTGGACCCGGTGGGGATGTTTAAATCAACGAATCCATGAGAATAATATTAAATTAAAATAATACAATAAATTAAACAAAAAAATACAAAATTGACAAAATGCGTTATTTGTTTAGAGGGAACCTCTTAAATATGATTTTCTTTATAATCTTTTGTTTTCAAGGTCTAAGCTCCCAGTCTACGTCCCTTGATAGATTATTTACCTTTAACTGGTGCTCCGATTTCGATAACTTCTTGTCCCATAGATTCGGTTAGAGATTTTGTATTAGTTTTGCTCTCGGCTAAATAAATATAGCACAAAAGCACCACGACTAGACAACGCATTTTGTTCTATTGTTATATTGTTATTTCTATTGTTATAGAAGCGATTGTTCCTTGGCCAACTAGATTTTCAGTTTTCAAATGATTTATTAATATAACCGCTATAGTATGCCTTTATGGCTTACTCGTACGAATGTAAGCCCTTGTCTTAAATGCCGTACAGTTAGAATTGCGTTTTCAAACGAGCGCTCGGGATTTTGTCCCTTTTTTATGTAACTACAAATATTTTATTCGAAAAATAAATATAGTAATAATTTTTTACAAACGAATGTAACCAATTTATCTTCATTTCTTATAGCCCTTCTAATGACTCCTTTGTTGATACCGTTACGTTCACGTGTTAACCGTTTTATATAGCACTACAGCCACTTCGTCCGCGAGAATAGACATATCGCGTCGCGGACTTTTTTTACATTATTTAAAGAGGAATCATTCTTTTCTACATATTTGTATGTATTTCGAACCGTTTTTGCAGCGTGTACACCTCGGAAACCTATACTGATAAATATTTTTTTCATTTTTTTTCACATTTTTCGGTATCTTCGCTTGTATTAGTTACAGGGCGATGTTTTATAGCCTATAGCCTTCCTGGATAAATGCTCTAACCTACACAAAAAGAATTAATTCGATTGTTGAAATGGAACCCATAGTTTCTGAGATTAGCGCGTTCAAACATACTCTTCAGCTTTATATATTAGTATAGATATATCTTACTTTTAATATGTATTTGTTGCTATTTCTGTTGCCTCTGAAATTGTAACCCTCGAGCTTTCGCTCCTTTTGACATTAATAACATACCGCTTAGTCAGAAACAGACAGCAAAGTCTTAGTACTTACTACGGACCCTTGTACCTGTAGGGCTCCTTTTTAATCAGGTCGTAAACATCTAATAAAACGACATATTCACATTGTACACGCTTTATTCTCAAACCACATCTAAGTCAGAAAATAACAACATTTGAAAACTTTATTAATCACATAAAAAAAATGACGACGCGGAATATTTTTTAATTTTAGCGAACAACCTTTTATTAGTTAGAAGTAGAACGTGACAAGCCAACACAGGTGATAATTATAAGAGAAAAATTTCTACTATGGAACTCTCTATCTATCACTAGGACATGTTAAAGTTGCGTCTTGCCGCTTAAAGATGTTTCTTATTTTTCGCGGAATAAGCAGCACATTGAAACACGAAAATGAGATGAGACGCTAATAGAGCAAACATGCCTACTATAGTGTCCACGTTGACAGGTACTTCTCGCCACAAATAATTCAGTCGATATGGGCGATACTTCAAATACGTATGGATTTGCCTCTTCTTCTTCCAAAGAGACTCATCTGCAACCGGAGAAACCGACTCTTATGAAATAATCGTTAAACGCATGAATATTCATAATATACTGAAAATTTAAAGGCATTAAAAAAAAAATAGAAAATATATAGTTTCCTGGACAGATGGCGTACTATTGCTTTAAATTTCTTTCTGAAATATCACAGAAAATCGAAATATCGTTCGCGCTGAAAAGGAAATTGACCTTTGGTCGTTGCCAGTTGATTTCTCAAAATGTCCACAATGTTCTTGTACTCCGCTCTCACCATATCTGACAAAATGGCCGGCGTAAAGACCGTTAGAGAAATGCCGACAAAATGTAACACCAAGATCGCAATGGCGCTAGGCGCCTGGAACAAAAACTTAATGGTTATAGGAAGAAAGTAATTATATAATTTAAAAATCGAAAATAGATTGAAAACATTATCGACTCGGGCAGGACTTGAATCGGCATCGTCAGCGTTCCGCACTGTTGCGCTTTATTTTCGCTTCTTAAATTATATAGCGCCTGCATGTGCTATTATAACATGTAAAAAATAATAAAGTTTTCAAACATTGTAATTATTCAATAACCTTACAAAAGATAAGATATTATTAAGATTTTTTTGATGGATATAGCTATGCGGGACATCTGTTCGATGTGAAGAAGCCGTGAAACGAGTTGCCTGCGTTACGGTTTGGACTTCGAATGTCAAGCAATGCAAAGGGTCTCCAGAATGGTGGTTGAGGGCGCTTTTTCTTTAATTCATGCAAATCTATTTCCAATTATTGACGATTTTTACATTACCTTGTTTGTTCAATTAAAAACATTATGAAAACTTACGTAGGTGTCCAGATACAAAGTAATCGAAATCCACAAGACATTCAGTAGTTGTGCGTAGCTAAAGATTAAATTTGTAAAGAACTGCAACAAATAAATATTTCGCAGCTTAGTATTAATGTGGACAACATGTTATAAAATGATATTATTGTAAATATCACCTACCGTGACTTGAAGACGAGTGTAGATGTCTTCAAAGCGATTTATCAAGTCTTTATAAGCCTCCAGGCATTTTTGGGCATTTCGGATCTTGTAGGGTATTTGCGCTTGCCCGATCACAGGCGCCGTGACGTAAGGATATTGAAAAAGTAGTCGGACTTCCTTCATCTGATAGTACATTATCAGAAGAACCACAGTCGAAACAAGGTAACCCAACTCCTTGGAAATTATAATCCAAACGTAGATATACGATACGTAAAGTCCCTCTAGATAGAGTATCAATTCAATAATATGAATTATAACACACAGAGTCAAGATAAATGGTGCAATACGTCTTGTTAGAAAACCAGGGCTCGGAAGTTTGGCGGAGTGAATGAATTTCGTAAGACGTGAACTGAACATTGAGTTGATAATGGTGATAAATAACTCAGCAAAAAAGGACAAGGTGCTGAAGTCGAAGATCGTGTTAGTACAGAGAATAGTATAGCTGCTTACGAGGGTAGCAAAAACTACGCAGTAGGCGATCTTTAGGACCTTAACCGTCCTGTTTGGTGTACCGTACTCATAATAATGACCAAGGGCGAAACACAAGAGAAAGACAATATTAAGTGAGTTTGGTTTTTCCATTTTGGATATTAATAACTAAATTTACAAATATCCGAATAATGTGAATATTAAAATAGATTTCATGGGAAAAAATAATGAGCCAAATTCTTCAGTAAAGCGCTGATTTTCACTCGATACCTTTATTATGTATGTATTCATGCCTACATAATAAACTGCTTCAGGCTGAAGTTCTGCAAAAATTATACAAGAATATATAATTCGATCAATCCACTCATACTGCGATGTAAAGTTGGAATATCAAGTGATTAATAATAGAGTATCATGTAACGTAAAACTATGAGAACTATAAATAAATAAATAAATATATATATAAAACTGGGAAAAGGTAAACTTTAAATTTTTTAACGAAACTCCTAAATATTGGAAATATCAATGTTTTTAAGTTTTTAATCAACCGAAATTCAAAATAAATTACTATTTAACTAAAGGAGTTGAATGAAGTTATTTTTTGTCTTTTGTAGAAGTTATTCGTTGTAAAATAGTATTTTATGTAATTACAGCGCGAACCGCTGCACGGTCGTAATGTGAATGTGGAAAAACAAAACGCGATGTAACTTCTTACTTACCAGCTACTTATTCACGTCGAGTAAGTAAAATGTAACGCGGTAACATTTGTAATATTCTATTTCAGGTAGCTACAGTTTGCATATCACGATCGTATGAATTATATGAATTGAGTGCTTCGTATTCATTAAGAACATTGACGAAACGCCGGACCGACATGAAATAATTGGGCTGCAATGATGACAATTAGATTAGAAACTCAAAAAAAGTATTCTGGAAATCCTAAAGCCTTTACATTGTATACATAGAAATTTGTTTTGTTTAAATTTGTTTACTCACAAAGGCCATTATATCGTAGTACTTATATTAATTTTGTTATCATGTCCAGGATTCACGCTACTTTCAGAAAATTGGATTTAAATAATCTATTTATTTGTTTGATACGGTTAGTTTCCCTGGAGTTTAACGACTTCCGATGCCGCTACCTTAAATTCTTTAGGTTTTGTAGATGACGCGTATTCACTATATAAGTATTTGGTCGTTGAGAAAAAATATTTCAACTCGTTACACATTTTTCTTTCATACGACAACAATAATTTAAAAAGCTAATTACGTTGGCGAGTCTGAAACTCTCAAGTTAGTTTCAGGTACTTGCGGCTCGTTTAAAAAAACCAACCCACATTGTGGTATTTGAAGTGTTGTTATTTTTCTTCTGTAAATGTCTTTATAACTCTTTGTAATTCTAAGACTCTTAAGGTTACATAACTAAGAATTCGCTGTCTCTCTTACAAGGCATACAGCGTCTCAAAAATTGCAATAGTGTGTTGACATACTTATTAACAAATTATGTTACATAAAAATATTACATCAAAATGAATCTGGATATTATATGCATAATATTTCAATACTGTCCGAAGCATCATTTATAGATGGAAAAGGAAAGAAATAATTTCTTTATATTTATATCTATAGACATGAAATACGAAATTGACCCAATTGCCCGCATGGATCAATCTAATTTATTTAAAATATAGCGGAATGTATTCCAACCCGCTCAATAAATAAACGTCAGATAACAGTCTTGTCCTGCGCTACTTCTAATACACTTTTTATAATGAAGGACAAAGCCGCCGCATTTTAATACAAAAGTGTATTATCTTTTTCTACACAACATTATCGACATGTCACACACTGCGGAGACATCAAATTCAAAAGTGAAAATGATATTTTCAAAATTCACGACCTTTCACCCTGAAACAGTTTTCAAAGTGGTGCTGTACATTCGTCTTCTCCTCGGGCATTACTTTTATTCTGACGAAACGAAAAGCGTTTCAATTCTAAAAAAACTATATTGTATGATTTTCGCGATTTCATGCGGCACCTACTTGTTTAAAACGAGCGAATTCGATTTGCTCAGCTATGAATTTTACTTTCCGTATGAATTTGGGCTTTGCATTCTTCTTTCGTTCTTCTTCGAAAACACCATAATCAATGAAATCAATCTCGTCAACTCTATGTACCCTAAGTTTCACGGATTCGAAGGACCGATTTCTTACCGCATTTTCCTTTATTTGTTTTTTGGATGCATTTTTGTATTACTTCAAAGTGGCGTTTATATGATAGTTCTAGATTTTAGTTCTGAGATTCCTTTAATAGGCGTGATGATATTATCTGTTACTCTTTCAAAGTTCCCGACGGTTCTACTACTAGATCTCATATACGAGGATATGAAGGCATTGAGGAGATCATTCCAGGCGAAATCGTTGAATGTGATGGTCATCGGACGAGACCAAATACAATACGAAGTGATGAAGGTGAAGCGAGATTTAACTGCTTATAGGCGCCTGATGAATCGATTCGATACGGCCAGCGTCCAGTTGCAGATAGGAGTAAGTGTTTTTTTTTTCAAACCAAACTTGTGTCTGTCTTGACTAACAAACCACGTTTTGTTGTAGGTTTTGGCGAGTTATATAATTTCTTATCCGAGTGTTGTGACGCTTTTATACTTTGGATTTCGTATCTTCTCAGTCAGTGAGGTAAGGCTATTATCCATATTTTCGTTCTTACTTTAAGTTTAGTAGTAAGTCTCTGGGCTAGCTACCATGTCCGTCTAATACTGAAATACTTAACCTACAACTTTGGTATCCCGAAAATTTTCTTAAATTGAATGAAATATATTTCATTCTTAAAATTGTTATCTGTTTAGTATTATGTATTGTTTTAAAATAGGTTTCTCTTGATATTTTTTAAATTTCTCATATTCTTAAACAATTTTGTATCGATTCCATAGTGGTTAAATGTATTCTACATAAATTACAAGTTTAATTAAAATCTACATATATATATATATATATACTAAAAATAAGTATAACCATGTGTTATTTAAAAAATAAGTTTGAAAGCTGCTTAACTAAAGCAGGGTTTTGTAAATGTTTTCTGCATTTTTCAGGACACACTCAAAATGTATGAAGTGACAATAAATTTGGCGTTCCTACTGTTTTCTCTCTTCACAATCCCTTTACAAACAGATCTAATTGTGATGGAATATGAAAAAATTTTGGATATTTCGGAAACTCAAATAGCGACTTGCTTCGGTGAGTCATATACAGTCATTTTATTTGCTTTCATCACATGGTCAAATGTATTGGTATACTTTAATGTGCCCTCTAACATGCTCACTTGGCCCTTAAATGGTTGATACGACTTCTTATTTTTTCGACTGTATACTTTTTCTTGATGTTGATCGCCTCTGTAAACAAATGGTGAAACGCGTTGCGTTAAGCTCGAGAGGTCCTGGATTCGAATCCGGGCTGGGCACAGAAGTCTGATCAACTTGGCTGTTGAAGCCGTTCTTTCATTCATTATTCATCATTCATCAGTGAAATGTGTTCACTTGAAACGTGAAACGAGATTTCACTTCACTTTACATCTCTTCTCTTTATTACATATTGCATCTTCCGTTCGATTTAAGCATCTGTCACGTACTAGTCTAAACTTGTGTTTACTTCGTTTAAAACTATATATGACGAAAGAGTTTAATCGTTTGAGCAAAGCTTAAACAAGTACCGAATGTCACAAATTGTGTTAATAAAGAAAAAAATCAATACCGCAAAAAATTAATTACGGTCGCTTGAAAAGTTTTTTTAATAAATTCACCTTACGTTAGCGTATTCGCTCAAAAAGTTAATAATGATTTATTATTACCCATTTTTAGTTGTCGAATTTTTAATTTACTTTTCTACGATCCGACGTCTCGGACCTCTTGCATGAAGATGGGAGTCTCAAATTATCTTTGCCTGTTTCAGATGAAACGTTGGCCAGGGAGAAACAACGAGTCCGCAATTACATGAAACTGCGGCCCTTCCAATTCTACGTGTTTCGAGCCTGGGAGGTCAATTTAGTTATGCCCCTAAAATTTATCGCATTCTGCGTCAGTCACCTCTTGGTGATAATACAAATAAAACACAAGAAAGCTTAATGAGGTCTACACTAACATTACAAAATACTTGAATACTATGTACAGATTAACGTCAGACTTATCACATTAATGTATCTATGCATTAAATTCGCTGTAATAAAATTATTAAGTGATTATAAATTTTTCCATACAATGAACTGTTGTACCTAATTATTGTGATTAATTCTTGAATGTCGGTAGTGATAAACCGATGTTTTTTGATACTTTAATGAATTTTTGTCACAATCTAACAAAACTTATTTGTCTAGTCTGACGTCACCTGTACATAAACGCATAAAGCACACGCGTGTATAATTCTCACGTTATGATGTTAATTCACGTAGAAATTGAAAAACTTTGCACCTTTTGCGAATTGACGACTAAACATAAAACAGCACTGTACGAAGTCGGTGTTGGCTCGAGTCCCTTTTACATTTATATCTTCTTTTTCTACATAATAATTGGTCTCCAATCACTACGACTAGATGCAGCGCGGTAGACTTGCAGCAAAAATGCAGCAACGAATAGTACGCCGAAAACGGCGCACCAGCGCTAGACTGCAGCTACACACACTAGAATATTGAGGAGCGAGGACCAATTATTTATTAAAGTTTCATGAATACTTTTTAGAATTAAAAACCAAGCACTATGTTCAAGAATGTATATATTGATTATTATTGAATTCGCAATTAACACTGTTAATGTTTACATTAGAAGTGTCACTTGTGATTAATAAATTTACCGAAGACTTTGTTTTTTTTATTGATTTAGAATTCACTAAGTGCCATATGTACCAATTTGAAGATGCTCTGTTATATAGAGAATAAGATTTTAAACGCAAATTTTCCTTTTTTTTTTGGAGCTCGGTATGATAATAATCAACAATGCAACCGGTTTTATGCCTGCATCGTATATCAGATCAAGAACGGGAGCAATACTACTTATTATGAAGGAAATTTTATACACCCGGGAGGGCACTCGCATGCAAGCAGGAGATCCTGGCTGCGAATCCCGAGTAAATTATGAAGGGAAAGTAGGATTACATTTTATGCCACTCGAACCATCGTTGTTGCATTATCTTAAATATCTAGAACGTAATCAAACATATTTACAATTTACACACTTTATTTCAAACCACATCTAAGTCAGAAAATAACAACATTTGAAAACTTTATTTATCACATCAAAAAAATGACGCCGCGGAATGGTTGAGATTACATTATGCGAGAGGTGCGTGTATCGACGAGTTGAAGAAGTTCGACGATGACTCCGTTGGTTTGAGCGACAGCACGTGTCGTGGAAATTTTTCAATCTCAATGTTTTTTAATTTATGACAACAACGTTTTATTAGTTAGAAGTAGAACGTGATAAATGCCAACACAAGTGGTACTTATAAGAGAACAATTTCTACTATGTTTACATACTTATATGTTTTATACTTTACTTCAGTACATTCAATTTAGAGAAGCCACTGGGACATGTTAAAGTTGCGTCTTGCCGCTTAAAGATGTTTCTTATTTTTCGCGGAATAAGCAGCACATTGAAACACGAAAATGAGATGAGACGCTAATAGAGCAAACATGCCTACTATAGTGTCCACGTTGACAGGTACTTCTCGCCACAAATAATTCAGTCGATATGGGCGATACTTCAAATACGTGTGAATTTGCCTCTTCTTCTTCCAAAGAGACTCATCTGCAACCGAAAAATCGACTCTTTTGAAATAATCGTTAAGCACTTGAATATCCATAATATACTGAAAATATAAGGCATTAAAAAAAATTAGAAAATATATGGTTTCCTGGACAGATGGCGTACTATTGCTTTAAATTTCTTTCTGAAATATCACAGAAAATCGAAATATCGTTCGCGCTGAAAAGGAAATTGACCTTTGGTCGTTGCCAGTTGATTTCTCAAAATGTCCACAATGTTCTTGTACTCCGCTCTCACCATATCCGACAAAATGGCCGGCGTAAAGAGCGTTAAGGAGATGCTGACAAAATGTAACACCAAGTTCGCGATGACGCTAGGAGCCTGGAAGAAACAGAAAAACATACATCGGTGTTTATAGCAACATAGTTATAATGCATTAATATTACAAGATATTTGTCGTTCATTTCTCTAATGCTTGCAATAAAAGGCTAATATAATCAACAGAAATGCGTTGCGTTACGTTTTCTCCTACGTAATGTCCAAAGCCAAACTACAACGACATCACATCTTGTTGATATAACTGAGGTATTCCACCTTTCATCGAGTGAACCCTTGTCTGTGTGTAATAAGGAAATAAAACAATAAGTATTCGAATACTTCTGCAACTTAGGCAGGAGACGTAGTCAATATGCCACGTATGACACGTTATCGTGTCTAGAGACTGAAAATTTTATTGCAATATTATATTCAAGTCACGCGAAGCAGTGATCGAAAGAACACCAATTTCACTGTTAGCGACGACATTTCCAAAGCGTGGTAGAGAAGTTGATTGTGAAAATTGCGCCCTCAAATGCTTTTAATTCAGTTAAAACTAATTCTAACGGGTGACGATTTTCACATTAGTTTGTTTGCGTAGTTAAAATCATAAACTTACGTAGCGGTCTAGATACACAGTAATCGAATTCCACGAGACATGCAGTAGTTGTGCGTAGCTAAAGATTAAATTGGTGAAGAACTGCAACAGATAAATGTTTCGCAGTTCAGTATTATTGTAAATTACTACATGTTATAAAACGATACAGTTGTGAATATTACCTACCGTGACTTGAAGACGAGTGTAGATGTCTTCAAAGCGATTTATCAAGGCCTTATAAGCGTCCAGACATTTTTGGGCATTTCGGATCTTGTAGGGTATTTGCGCTTGCCCGATCACAGGCGCCGTGACGTAAGGATATTGAAAAAGTAGTCGGACTTCCTTCATCTGATAGTACATTATCAGGAGAACCACAGTCGAAGCCAGGTAACCAAAACTCTTAGAAATCACAATCCAAAGGTAGATATACGATACGTAAAGTCTCTCAAGATAGAGCATCCATTCAATGATATGATTAACAAGACACAAAGACAAGATAAATGGTACGATACGTCTTGTTAAAAAACCAGGGCTCGGAAGTTCGGCGGAATGAATGAATTCCGTGAGAGGTTTACTGAACATTGAGTTGATAATGGTTATATTGAATTGAGCGAAAAAGAACAAATTCATGGTCACGTGAGCACAACAAATAACGTAGCTGGTTACGAGGATAGCAAAAAGTACGCAGTAGGCGATCTTTAGGACCTTAACCGTCCTGTTGGGTGTACCGTACTCATAATAATGACCGAAGGCGAAACACAAGAGAAAGACAATATTGAGTGAGTTTGGTTTTTCCATTTTGGATTAAGTAATATTCTCAATCATAATAATATTTTTTTAGTCTTTAGTTTTTAATACCAAATAAGTTCGCGTTAATAATCTTGGAAGGTAATCATCCCTCTGCAGCTAAGTAAGCTAGCAGTTACTCTGTAGTTACATCATTGTAGGTTACCCGATGCGTACGCTGCGAAAACGGGTCAAGGCACACAAGTAATATTTATAACAGAATGATTCTTCTTTAAGTTATTATATATAAAAAAATGTCCGCAACAGTATATATCTATCTCTTAAGATGAACTCGCAAGAACGACGGGAACCGAACGACGGGTCGCAAGCGAAGGGACGCGAACGATGACGTAGGTATCAGTTTGAAAAAACAAATATGTTTTTTCGTAACCGTAAAACGTACCGACTTACTGAGGCGTTCATTTATTTAGGCGCGAATTTGACGCAGTTGCCTGCATGGATCAATCAAATTAATTAAAAAAACAGCTCTTTATAATTGACCCCGATCAATAAACAATGTCGATACCAGTGTCGTCCTGCGCTACCTTTAATACACTGTTTATAACGAAGAACAAAGCCGCGGCATTTTTATACAAAAGTGCATCTGTATATATCGAAACTGCTGAAGACATTTAATTCAAAAGTGAAAATGAATTTTTTATTTACACACACACACACACACAAATATATGCTGCCATTACCGATACAATCCAATTCGACAGTAATACACGATATAAGAAAAAATATGAAAACTAAGTTTTAATAATTATTTTCATTACATCTAGTAGCAATTACGTTAAGAATAATATTTGCTATTTCACTCCAATACCCCGTGAAAATGTCAACCCTTCGGTGTACAATATTAACCACTCGTATTGTTTGCGCGATAAGCTCCCTGGCCATCAAGTTGGAATGCGCGAAAGGCACAACCAGCAACGGTGGATGATGCCGTTATCCCATGTATCCATCCGGCACACGTTCCAAATTTCCCGATCATTCGTCTTAATACTATTTTCAATGTCGTGATGTACATTCGTCTTCTTCTCGGGCATTACTTTTTTTCAACACACTCTTCAGCTTTATATACTTGTATAGATAAACCACACGTGTTAATAATTCTCGCGTTATAATGTTAATGCTCATAGAAATTTAAAACGGCACGGTACGTTGATTGTGGTTGGTTGGAGTTCGTTTTAAATGTATATTTGATTTACATTTCAGCATTAAACATCCAAGATCCAAGAATGTATCAATCGTTTATCATTCAGTCTTCTATGAAAAGTGTTTTATGAAATTGTTATTTTACACGTTTAATTACAGAAGAATTTGTTCACTTCAATTTTTACTTTACTCAATTCTACCACAAAGAAATTATTTTTCCAGCCTATCTTGTTTGTGTTTATGTTTGTTATTAGTTAGTTTCGTTATAAATAAGTGAAGCTCGCATAATTGCACTAGATCATCTTTATGCTCCTAGGACCATAGGCCTAGTCCTACAACCTCTTCTCAGCAGTTATAACTTTGATAAGGGTTACAATTTTTCGATGTTATTTTACGCTGGAATGTTTAGGACATTTAACTTCAAATCGAAGACTCTGCGGTCGAAATTAGTGTGCGAGGTTGATTATAAGAAATTCGATAGCCACTGTAGCTCTATTAGTAGATAGACACGTTACGTTTTGTTGTCGGTTCGATTCTTGCCCGTGTCATATTGTTTCAATCTAGTTGAAGCAAATAGTATCTTGAAGTTTGCATGTACAAAAAATAGACAAACTCAGCAGAGGTAGCTTGTCGAACTATGAACTATTCAATAAAGACAAACAAACTTATAATTATATAAGCTAATGAAATTGTTTTATAGCATCATTGTATGAATATATGTTAAATATTACTTTGTTTTTCTATTGTATTGCGATGAATGCTGTTACCGTTAAATTATATACCACTACCTTCGTGGGACATACAAAAACATTAAGCCACTCGCTGATCTATTTTATTTTGCAACATTTAAGATGGAATGAATTACCTGCAAAAAAAACTATGATGGGAATATATGAAGATTAAAAAATAAATTATTATCATTTAAGCAGTGCAACGAAACGATTTTAGGAATATAGTATTTATTTAGAACATTTTGAAAATTTCGCCTTAAAACGCCAAATATACCTTATTCAGAATTATCCAAGCGTTAATTTGTAACATTATTATATTTTACGACAATATGAATGATTGTTACGCCTACGGCGTTGTCTCAACGAGCACTTAAATAAAAATTATTGTTATCATTTTAACTACGCTTTTCATAACATAAGGCTTTATTTTCATACATTTTCTAAATAGCTTCGGAATTATATACATACATTTACTAGGATCTGTACACAGTTCCTATGTTGAATTATCCATAACATTCATATGTGTATATTTAAGCAGTTTCTGACTTAACTCGCATACCATGGTTTGCCTTACACAATTGTAGACAATGGTGTGAACAAGCAATCGGGACGATTTTAATCGTCTTATTGTCACAAAATTACAATTATATTTACAATTAAACCTTCAAACAACCTACAAATCAACAAAGTCAAAGTCAAAATCATTTATTCATATAGGTTACTTACTTTACATTTACTACCAGTTCTCAAATCAAGGGCTGATGCACGTAATTGTTGTCTTACAAGTTAATTAAAATAGATATTACTTAGATACCTATAGTATGTAATGTTGTATTGAGTATAATAGTATTAACCTTCACTGTGTTTAAGTACAAACACAATAATTATAACATAATTATTTTTTTACATGTTGTTGCTATTGATTGTACGTCTGTTCCTTTGAAAATCGGTGTTTAAAAAGTTTACATTTTTCCATGCCACCGCTATTTCTATATATAATACTATAGAGTCCCTTTATATAGCAATACTATATGCAGTTACAGACAACTGTAGCTTACAAGTTGCAAGTAGTACATATTAAATAAAACACTTGTAAAGGTTCAAAACGTGAATTATATTAAGAAGTAAGTTTTAATGTTTTGCTTTTACTATCATTATTATTTTAATCGACGTCTGAAACTGCTTTTATAAAACCATCCATGTACTGGTTTTTCGGGTCGTACTTCTGTTGAAAGGCCAAATATTCACCCGGATACTCGTTATACAGTCGGGTTATGAATATTTTCCACATGCGCTTTTGTGGCTCGTTGCATTTCTTGCATAAAGTTGGGATTGCTTCCGGCATGTTTGCTGGAAAATCATAATAATTGTTCATATTGGTTTGAAACCTTTTTTTTCGGTTTGCGGTTAGACCAAGGATGCCCCGAGGGGGGCGTCGACCTTGGACCGCCGCAATGCGGGTGAGAGCTTGAAGAGCTGGACGGAAGCTCACCCGGGTGAGCGGTACGCGGAGCAAATGGCCTAATGGATAAGGACAATAATTTCAAGTAGTCATCTCGAAATTCAATAAGTTACGTGTAGTTGGGATTCTTAGACAAAATATAAATTTGTTAATTGTGCGAGAGAAATTCGTCTGCTAACGAATGTCTCTCCTTTTATTGATCTTTTTTAAATTGGGAAAAAGATTCTGCCATATTAGCTACGATATAACGCGAAACATTAAAACGGAATACAGCAATTTATCGAAGTGACTATTCTTGGCTGTTTGTTTGTCTCATGGATTCGACAGTTTTACAAAGAATAAATATTTGTACATGAAAACAGAAAAAATAATATTTAGGGGCTGCCGATTTTTTTTATAGAAAAGTATAGAGAAACTTTCCTCGGCGTAACCTAAATACCTAGTGTGAGTATATCCGCCAGAAATTTTGATGTCAGGACTTCGGACCCTTGGTTGTACACTTGTTTTGCCTGTTGCGCATGTTTTAATAGCTCGTCGGGTAAATACAAAATTATTATTTGCCTAGAGTTATGAGAATTTCTAACGTTGAAACTAAGGACACAACACAATATACGTTATTTTTAGTTAGCTCACTATTGTTAGGTTATTTTTCTATAGATCTACAAATAGTTTTATATACTTTAGTGAGCGATAAGGTGTCAATTCACTAATATGTAGAAATTAAAACTTAAACACTTATATATGTTTGGACTTGCTTACCTTGGTACGACGCGCTGAACGGTTCACATTCTCTGCGTCCCACGAAGCAATCCATGTACCATTTAACTTCCTCTGGGTCACTCATTACTGCCTGAATATCCAAGTAATCATTGGCTGTGGTGTATGCCTTGTTCTGGTTCAGGGAATGAGCCACGCACAGCCCCACCAGATACACCAAAATAGAGATCTTCATTGCTTTTAACATATTTGAGATAGAGGAAGTTTGTATTGCCAGCTCAAGTACTCCATCGGCTGTGTAGAATAAAATAACACAGCGTGCCTTATAAATTCGCCTCTTTAAATGATAACAATTAGTTTCCCCATTAGAATTGTAATTATTGTATTTTTTGTTGTTTGTGCGAAATTTACGAATAAATAAAACAGTTTTAAGCAGGAAATAGGACCTGCTTTTAATTGTTTCATTAAATGTATTTATTGCTACGACTCAGGGGTTCCCAACCTCTAAGTCATATTTTGAACGATTCTTATGTGTTCGCCATTATTCCATATAGACTGATTATTTTCTTAAACATTAATATATTTTAGGCTTAATGAATACGTGTGCGACATTGTATGTATAAGTTCCTATACTGACAGTAGTTGTAACAACTTGCCTAACGGCGAGCCGTATTGTCCCGTTTGTTTCGGTGTGGAAAAATCGTGTTTGGGCTGATGCACCTACATTGCATTTTTTTTAAGATGGGAAGTTCAAAAAGGTTGGGAACACTTGCTTTGTGTGCGTACATATGTTTGACAACTACGCGCCCTCCTCAAATTGCGACCATAAGGATGCTGACAGGGAAAATTTGACTGGATTGGGACTGCCCAAAGACGGGTTCTTAGTTTAGGTAATTTAACAAATATCTTTTGCGTTTTAAACCGTTTTACTTTAATATTTTAAACTCCCTTCTTAATGTTATATTTATATTAGTTTTTCATCACTGGCGAATAAATGGTAAATGAATAGGCTACTTAAATAAATAAATTTACGCCAAAAACGATTTCTTAATCAGCAAGTATGTATTACAACATCTTTCTAATCATATAGTTAAGTATCCCTCCGTTTCTGAAGTAGGTTAGGTCCACTTCGGTGTCGAAGCGAGCTTTCACTTGGAAGGATTTATCAGGAGACACCTGAAAAAATATGTATCAAACGTAAGTATCGCGGTTGTTTTTATTGTTATTATAACCGACCTTTTTTGTTTTTATTGTTATTATAACGATCAATCTTATTTTGGACATTATAAGCTGCGCTTCTGGAGCGTAAGACCATATGAAATGGTTCTTGACGTTACAAAAGTGGATTACATCTTCGTTAAGTCGAGGAACATCCTCTATGTTTCGTGTTCCTCGACTTAACGAATGCTTTTCTACTAGTATTTTACATTATGATCCCCTATTACTTAAATACGATAGTCTAACGTCTCGGAAATTCAAGTACATTTGCAAAATTAAAAACATTATACAATTGACAAGTAGCAAGAAGGTTAAAGCCGAAAAAAATGCATAGTCAACAAAAGAACGCCTCAAATACCTGTACAGTCAGCAATTGGTGCGTCTTCAAGTCTTCCGGCACATCGATTTGGTACGTCTCTTGTCCAGTGAGTCCATGTGTCTCCGCGTTCTCACCTGGCAGGAACTGGAGTGGCATGATGCCCATCCCCACCAAATTGGATCGGTGGATGCGCTCAAACGACTCAGCTATTATCGCCTTTATACCCTGAACATAAATAAATCGCAATTTACGATTGGCAGTTTACATGTGGAAAGTTGTGTTCCGTAAAGTGTATTACAAATAGTAATGTTCTATAAAAATATTTGTTAACACGATTCGTAAAACAACTATATGGAGCGCTGTCCATTTTATCGTATTTTATTATGTTTAAAATAGATTTTATTTTATGTAAAGGTAAAAAAATATATGTTGTTTAAAGCTATATATTATGTCACTGTTGCTTAAAAGTATTTTATAATGTAATCTAAATAAATCTTTCACCTTTCCGTAAGTATTGGACATATAAAACATTAACTGTCTCACCGACTTCGTCCGTAAATTTGTTTTTGCTAAACCAAAAATAGAAGACTTTTTCCATTCGAACCAGTAGTTCTCGAGATTAGCTCGATCAAACAAACAAACAAACTCTTCAGCTTTAAATAGTATCTTTGAGCCTATTTATTTGTATTGGATATTTAAAATATATTGCTATACCAATAGATAAGGTCCTTTTGCCGCCCAATCTCTGCTGGAACCCGTTCCGTAATCCTTACCAACGATAGCTATCAAGGGTATGTTCCCTTTTGCGTATCTGTTAACATCCAAAGGTCATGATCAGCACTTTAACAGTGACACAGACTTTCGCCAAACACTTTTCGGCAATTTTCGAATTTCGGACCAAGTTCACCAGGCTGTTTCATATTAGGTTACACATTTGAAATATTACATTTCCACGTAAGAGCATGGCGTTGTTTCTTACACGATTGTAAGGCCCATAATTTCAAAACTACCCAGTTGAGCAAGAAGAGAGTTTGTCAAACTGTCAAGATATAAGATAACCAAAATAATAAAAAATATCAAGTCTCACCCTTCACCCCTAGGTAAACAATGCTGTTGTTATCTAATTATAAAAAATGCTATTCCTTAGGAATATTATTAATTTCCCCTAATACCACACTTACTTTATTCCCTGTTGCATATCTATACATAGCATACCACATACATACAAAACAGTCCACTAACCTAATTCATCCACACATTGTCATGCATCACAAGTTCATTGTAAATACCTTAATTAAAGAAAACTTGGAGTCACACACGACATGACTGTTCTCGTGTGGGAACTAAGCATGTATGTATTATGGTACAGATGGAGTGCCTCAGGTATATTGAAACGTAATAAAGAATTTTAAAATAAAATACGTGGGTCACAAAAATGTGTTCGCCCCATGTCCCGCAAGGGGAATGGGGAAATATTTCATTAGCCTTACGATACAAAGTACATATTGAACTTACCTATCAGCAGCATCAAAAACATCCATAATGTCCCCACTCGGGAGATGTTTGGTCTTAGGACCAGGTATGTCAACCATCCTATTAACCAAACGGATATTCCCAAAAGCGCCACAAACCATAACTGCGTCGTGGCCGCGTCTCGACCCGTACGTGTTAAAGTCGCGAAGCGTTAACCTAAAAAAGATAAAAAGTAACATTTAACGGTATAAAACGTGAAATTTAAACTATAATTTTAAGCACGGCCCGACATTCCGGATGTATGGAGGGTATCTCTAATGTCAAAGCATAAACTGCCAACTTGTGCCATCTGTTCCGAGATACAAAAGAATTTTCTTCAATTCAGCAAACTTTGCTTTACTTTAGCTTGAAAATAAGTAATGATTTTGATGAGTCCTATATTACTTGAAATTATACATTTTTAAATATCTTGAGCTACTTAATACTATCAATAGTGCAGCAATGTAGCATGAATCTATACGATTGAAATTATAAAAATCAATTTTTGGGGCTAAAGATCTTATATTAAGCTTTTTAAAGCTGTATGAAAATTATTTCAAAGGACCTGACCCCTTTTCAGAGAGATATCTGGCAGCAGGAGAATTCCTCGCGATGGAACCGGCTGGAGAGATATGATCTGTGGTCACTGAATCGCCCAGGAGAAGAAGACATCTGGCATTTTCTATACTCTTCGTCGGTGGGACTTCCTAGAATTTTAGTGATACCAATTTGTAATAGTATAATAGAGTGTATCCACATAAACCGAGAATGGGTGTAAAAATAATGGATTTATGATTGACGACGCCTGTCTCTTGGTCGGGGATCCTTCTCCGTCCTTTTCTATAATTATTTTTATGGCACTTTACAGGGTTAAACTCCCGTACACCGAACCGCTTATAAAGGCTGATACACTTTCGACAGCTGCTTCAAAAAGAGCTCGTGCTATTAAATCCCGACGCTTAGGCTTGTACCAACCGTAGACGCGGGAGAGGAAAAGGTTTAGGGTAATAGACTGAGGGATGGGAGAAGTCTTTGAAGCCAGAACAAGCAGTTGTAGTAATATTATACTACTAGTATACTACCTTAGTAGTCGTTAGTTATTATATTATGTAGGCCTGAATTAGACAATCAGAAACTTGAAGCTTTAAATAGTAAATACATAATATTTAGTAATACACTTACTCTCGTCATGCCATCGAAGAACGGTGGTTTCTTAATATAAGTGGAATTGGGATCCCATTCGTATATCTTGCCTTGAGGAACATCCAGAGCTTGCCATGATGGTGAACCTTCTTCGATCTGGGCGTAGACCTGAAAAAATATCATTGGGTACTCCTAACTGAAGTCTTATTGGTAATGTCCTGATTGAGAAGTTGTACCAAAAGAAAGTTTGGTGCATTTTTTGTTAGACGAGTTGTTTATTAAGAAAACAAAAAACAGTCTGTAATAATCATAGTACTGAGGTATGTGAGAAGACTTACTTCTTTGAACATGCTCGGAATAACATATTTGCTTTCAACTTCTTGAACTTCAGCGCGGGTGGGCCAAATGTCACGGAGGAAGACCGGAGTGCCGTCAGCTTTTTTACCTACACATTGGACCAAATACAAATATTATCGAATGCCACAAAACAAGAAACAGAATATCGTCTCCACGTAACACGGCTGCTGCAGCCGAAAGGTCGGGCGCTTTAGAAAAAAGAAAAATTTAGTGTTTTTTGTTTAACCAAACATAACACAAAATAAAATTGATAAAAACACCGTAATAAAAGAGGTAACAGCAGAAAAGGTACTTACTTAAACTTATAATAACGATACTACAAAAGTAAGCTTAATCGAAAATATTTTCATTCTATATACTAACGTTGCTTAATTTTAAAAACACGAAGACAAAAAGTTATTGTAGGTAGGTATACGAATGTTCTTTGATAGATCAAAACAAATCCATTAAATAAAATATTAAATTATAAGTGAACTACATGCGCTCACGTAAATAAAGAGCCTCGAACCCACTACTGATGGGATTTGTTACTTACCCAGGGGTTCCGTCTGGAAGTCAATATCCACGGTGCCAGCCAGGGCATACGCGATAACCAGCAGCGGGGAGGCCAAAAAGTTGGCTCTCGTATGAGCGTGGACGCGTCCCTCAAAATTTCTGTTCCCGGATAATACTCCGACGCATACTAGATCGTTCTATATGATAAAATTGTGAAATTATATTTTCGTGTATATAATACGCAAATATAATTTTGTTTGTCTTTATAAATCTAACCAGGGCACAACGCAACGTAGTTAGCTATAGTGAAACATATGTATGAAACACACATCCTAAGAAAGAAAGAATATTACAAATATTGTTTGTTCATTCATTAGTTCTTTCTTTATATATGAGACTACTAGAGGCAGAGTAGCCTATCTGCAATTTTATGTCTAGAGTTGTTTAAATCGTTTAGTCTAAAAATGTTAATCTACAGAAGCACAGCGACCGAAAATTTTTAACATAATTCTTACACCAATAATAATATTTTCCAATCCAGTCCATTTTCGCCTAAGTTATTTTTTTTACTAGGCCACTGCCTCTAGCAGCCTCATATACACTACAGTTACAGTTAAGCAATTAAGGAATCCCGGAGAATCGTGCTAAACACACAACAAATGTACTTACCTGATACTTGCCTGAAAATAGGCTGGCCTACAAAGAATATATTAAATTTCTCAAAATGTACTTACATTTTCTATAGTATTAGCAACATTTTCATCAATTGGACCCGAATTTCCAATACAAGTCATGCACCCGTATCCGACTACATTGAAGCCCAACACTTCCAAATAAGGTATTACACCAGACTCCTGTACATAAGAACCAAATAAAATACTTTAATGGCTTATAATGTGGATTATAGTACATATTTTAAAATAACGACCTAATGAATCTGTAAATCGCGTTTTAAACCGTTAAACTGCTTCATTTGTAGTGAAGACACAAGCGTAAAACAATAAAATATTTATAAATAACATAGATTAAAGTTGCACATCCTGCAAACAAAGCATTTAATTTTTTCGCTGGAAAAAATCGTCCATTTGCGACTATAACGCGCGAAGATCTTTGTTCCAACGTCTATGTTGTGTTATAAATTATAATTTATTTGACATATTTTCATAGTATTCCATCTTTAAATAAAACATTAGTTAACTTTTTCCAATACATCTGCGAAAGTTCTAAAATATGTTTTTTTTCTGTACTTACCTTAAGATAGTACGTGACAACACCAGAACCGGGAGATAAAGATGTCTTTATATATGGCAACACGTTTAGACCGCTCTCTACCGCTTTCTTCGCAAGAAGACCTAAAACATAACAATACGACTTGTGTGTTTAAATCGTCAACCTAATAGAATAGTGCACATCTTCCTATAAGTACAAAACAGATCAGGATAGTAGTATATTTGGATGTTACCATATAATAATAATGTGTTTTTTATTTTATTGTTAAGACATTCACATTTAAATAAAACTCTTTAACGCGAAATATATTAGTACTTGCAAAACGTCGGGCCGTAGTTAAAATAATTTTCAAATAAGTTTAACCAATATATATCGCGTTCTAAACCGTTAAAGTGTTTTATTTAAATGTGTACTACTCGCGTAAACTACAGACAGTATTTAAGGCATTCACGCTTACCAGCTCCAAGCATAACGCTAGGATTGGATGTGTTAGTGCAAGAGGTGATGGCTGCGATGATGACCGAGCCGTGGGTGATAGAGTAGCTGTTGCCATCACTGAAGGTGAATGCACCCGAGGATGACAGGCTATTTGGTGATAGTCCAAAGCCTTTGAAGCCGATCTGGGAAGTAAAATTAGTTGTAAATACTCGGTTCATTCAGGACTATTAAACAGTTAAAAGTTATGTTTATACAACTCTAATATATAATTGGTAACCATTAATTTGGACCAAAATTGATTACCTTAAAAGATATTCTTATACTGTCGCGGACATTCTTAGATCATTTAAGGAGGAATCATTCTTTCGTACATATTTTTTCACGCCACCGAAACGCTCAAAATATTGCCCGCGATTTCAATATTTCCAACTGTCTCTTTGCTCCTGTGGGTCGCATCGTATAATATGGTCTAAAACTTTATAGTAAAACTAGCTGTGCCAGCGATTACGTCCGTCCAAATCCGTTTTTGTAAACCCCTTCACCTTTATAAACATGAGCTGTTTAACACACGACATCGGTCGCGTCCCTTCCTGTCGTTCTTACAAGTTAATCTTAAAATATAGATATATAGTGTCGCGGATTTTTATTAGATCATCTTTCGTACATATTTTTTGGGTATCTTGAACCGTTTTTGCAACGTAGGCCTCGGTAACCCATAATGATGAATATTTTTTTAACTTTTGTTTCACATTTCACGCCGTATCTTCGCTTGTTTTATTCACAAGGCGATATTTTATAGCAAATGCTTTATATAGCCTTTCTCGATAAATGCTCTAACCAACACAAAAATATGTTTTTGATTCGAACTCGTAGTTCCTGAGATTAGTGCGTTCGAACAAACAAACAAACTCTTCAGCTTTATATATCATTATAGACAACGAAAAAACTTCAGCTGTCCCTGATAAATATCATCTATTTACCACAAAAAGAATATTTCGAACCATTACTTCCTGTCATTAGCGCGGTTTAACAAATAAACAACCTTTCTAGACTAAAGTTCATAATCGTTTGTGAAGCTGCGAAATTTAAGAGGATTTTAAATCGAGGATTTAACATGCATTAAAAATGTGCAATTTTACTTTGAGGCAGATTTTCTATTGAATTTGGTCGTTATGCCTGCTTGGTGCCATTGCCATGCATTCCCAGAATAAATTTAGCGAATAAAATATATTTATATTTAGACTTGAACTGATTTTTTATTTATTTTACGTAGTTTTGCAACGAAATGTATATCTGGTAGTAAATCGAATACTGAATATTCGGTAAGATTTTTGCTCTAAAATTTAAACACATGTGATTGTTTTAATGTTCTCGACGACCCCGCACGTCCCCTTTTGCTCTGCCTGTTTCGATAAAAATTAGTGCACCACAAACTTTCCCTTTAAAATGTTGGTTATACGAATTCAAATACGGAGATTGCTATATCTATGTTATATACAAACAACTATTGCTTACATTATTGTAATTCGACGGGCTCGTTGGTGTAATAGTAGCAATGTATCTAATGTATCGCTAATCATCGACGGGTCGTGGGTTGATCCCCATCGGGTCCAAAATTTGTCAAATCAATTTGTAATTTTTCTGAAACATTTTAGACTCCGTCTGGAAATCTGGATATTAAATGGATCGTAGGATAGGTCCGGGTCACGAACCACCGTCCACCGATGAAAAAGTCGTGAAGTTTAATCAATTTAGTTTCAGCCAGCGGATCTCCGAATATTCAAAGCCAAAATAAGTCAATCGCATCAGTCGCGCATCTTGTTTAGGTGTTAAAGGTGCCCCTCATGCGTGTCCTCCTCTATTATAAAAAAAATGTACGAGAACTGAAATATATATTTAATGAACTAATTCGATTCAAGTCCCTATAACAAAATACACACTTAGACGTTTGCTATACGGCATTCGGCCGAATAGAAAGCAGTTACATAATAAAAGCATGAAAGACGCCGAATAGGCCGAATACCGAATAGTAACAATATTCGTTACCCGATTTTTAAATATTGTAGCCCAGCTTTGCGCGTTGCCACCATTGCAAGTACCTTATTAGTGAGACACTCTTTGAAGTCCTGCTTCATGTGAGACACGGAGACACGATCCTGGGGCCTCTTGGGCCCGCTCACTGACGTCACAACCGTTGACAGATCTAGCTCGACCACCTGAAGGATATAAAAATAAATTAATATTCTCTTTCTATAGAATGGTCTCTATGTATTTACATGGCCAACCGTCTCAGTTGCTTAATGGCTATGTGGTTTTGACGTGTCAAAGTGCACTGTTTGTGAGTTCTTGGGTTCGATTCCGGGATAACATAAAACATTGTTTCGATAAAAGAAATTAACTAGATATGGATATCTGGATATATTATAGAATAGAATAGTAACATAGACAAAACCATATGGCTTAGATATAAGATATAGAAGATTAAAGCTTAGAGCACTGAACATTTTATTCGTAAAGTTCTTAATTATAGGGTCCTCTTTAAATAATTGCTCGATCGTGTAATGGCAGCGTCATATATGGCTGATAATCAACGGGTCGTGGCTTCGATCCCCACTGAGTCATTTTTCAAACAAATTTATATTTTTTTCGATACATGGCTCTCGTTCGCAAATCTGGATATTATATGGGTGGTGAGTATATCGAAAATTCCGTCCGGATCACGAACCGCCATCCACAGACGAACACGGCGTAAAGCGTTTTTGTTTCAATCTGTTGATTTCCAAATCTAAAATAGATTTACGGCTTTTTAAAATGTTATATGGCTGGGATATTCCACCTGCCTTCAAGTGAATCCAATAGTTGTATGTCCTTCTCTATTTAAAAAAAAAGTTATCTCTCTCAAAATACCTCAGAAAAAACGGGATCTTGGTCAGTATTATTGTAATCCCTGAACTGTTTCGTCGCTTGAAGGTATTGTCTGATGATCTCGATGCTGTCCTTGGATCGATCTGAATGAAAATATATCTTTAAATAAACGATTTCTTGGTTTAAAATTCGAAACATTAGTTAACTTATTCACTATTCATTTTACGAAGTTTTGAATGCTTTGAAGCAATCGTGGTCACGGGGGGGACCGGAGCCAAATTGTACGTAACGTAACTAATGTAAGTTTACCGGAGTAGTAAACATTTAAATAAAACTGTAACGGTTTAAAACGCGATATATTTTAGTTAAACTTGTTTGAAAATTATTTTTAACTACAGCCCGGCAATGCAGCAGCCGTGGTCACGGGGACACATAAGATGGAGTTTGTCTCTGACGTCAAAGTAAAAAACTGCTACGCATCTGTTCCGTCGAAGTTGGTATTTGGCATAAGTGGCCGGGTCCTAGCAGAATTATTGACTCACGGTGTCTTCGATTTTGCCGCCCATGCTGTTTATTGGAATCCAGAGTTTTTATTATGGGATCCCAGGTATATAATCGGACGGCCTCAAATTATCAAATATTGCGTTATAAACCGTTTTAAATCATCGCTTTATTTAAATCAAGTCCCAAGCTATGTCATATTTATTCTGGTGTCAATCTTATTTCACTTTATAGGACTTCCACTTACTAGTCTGTTCCAGGTAGTCTAAGGAGCGTTCGTCTACTGGAAAGAAGGCTACTGTGGCCCCAAACTCGGGACACATGTTAGCCACAGTGGCTCTGTCCGCTATGCTCAGTGCTGCCACCCCCGGTCCGAAGAACTCGACGAACTTACAAACCACGCCCATCGAACGCAGGTGCTGGAATATAGGTTTTATTTCCTTGTTTTAAGATCGAAATTACATCGAATCGGACTATATACTAGTCTATTTCAGTTTCAGTAGACTTAAGAGTACATACTTTGTCCAGTACTACTGAAATAAGTTTTAAAAATTAAATAATGAGACTATGTGGTGGTTCATATACAATAGTTTTGACAGGTCTAATGGTAGTATGGCTAAATAATCAACGGTTCGATTCCCACCGTGTCCAAAATCTTTCTAAATGCTGAAAATCAGTGTTGCAGCATAACCGTGCTGAAACTTATGCTGACGCAAGACCCTTTTGGCGTCACTTTTATTCAAATTAAAAATTAAATTTAATCTTATTGTATTACTTATTTAATTGTAATTACATTTCTTCTACTGCTACTAATGAATGTACTGAATGAATGCCAAATAAAGAGATTTATCGCTATTATTATAGATGATTTATATTTTCCTAAATCACATTGAAATTCGTTTGGAGATCCAAATGTTAAACGGGTGGTAGGTATATCGGTATAATTCCGTCCGGGTCACGAAGTCGCGTTTCGGTTTTCATTTAATGGAATTTCAGACATCAAAATCTAAAATAGGGCGACAACACAATATCTTGTGTAGAACGACCATTCCGCTTACATTAGTAATAGTGAGGACAAGATCGGTAGAAGTGGCCATGGGATTTAATTCACCAATCAACTTGTACCCGACAACTTTTGGTAGCAGCATGCTTATAGCTTGACCCAGCATGACGGCCTCCGCTTCGATGCCTAAGAAATAAATGACAATTTTTATTAGTTAATAATCAATTATAGATTGAAAAAATTACGACACAAGCACGACTTGAACCGGAATAGGTTTGTTTAATATGATAAGCCTATTTTAATAGACAAATGGACTATCGTTTAAAAAGATAACTTTAATATAAATAAGACTTACATTATAATTTATACCGTTAAAACGTTAAAGATTCGAATTATACTACTTTACCTCCAGCCCCCCACCCGACCACGCCCAACCCATTAATCATAGTGGTGTGACTGTCTGTCCCCACCACGGAGTCTGGATAAAGCAAGTCATCTGTGAAGACCACTCGAGCCAAATACTCTATATTCACCTGGAATTTAATACATACATAGGTACTGTCTGTAGTTAACGCGAGTAAAGTCCAAAATTAAAGGTTAAGCATGAGATGTCCTGGACACAAATGACAAGGTGATATTGTTTCGATCGGGCAAGGCACAGATGATACCTGTAAATAAAATTGATCAGTAAAACGGAAGGAATTTTTTATAATCGTGCATTTCACAGGGTACATTTCAAAAGTATGTATTAATGTAAATAAAATGGATTAAAACGCGATTAATATTAGTTAAACTTATTTGAAAATTATTTTTAACTACGGCCCGACTTTTCGAATGCTTTGCAGCAGCCATGGTCACGGGGCCATCAAAACTTTAGTCGCAAAAATAAAAAAAATTTAATCGCGTTTTAATCCATTTTATTTACATTAATACATACTTTTGAAATGTACCCTGTGAAATGCACGATTATAAAAAATTCCTTCCGTTTTACTGATCAATTTTATTTACAGGTATCATCTGTGCCTTGCCCGATCGAAACAATATCACCTTGTCATTTGTGTCCAGGACATCTCATGCTTAACCTTTAATTTTGGACTTTCACAAGCTTGGACTGGATTGTTGGTGTAACGGTAGCAATGGTAATAAACAATTGGTTCGACTTCCGAAACATTTTGGACTTCGACTCGAAATCTGAATATTAACTCAGTGGTAGGAATCAAAATTCAGTGCGGGTCACGTACCACCGTCCACGGATGTAAAAAACGTCAGGTTTAATCGCGTTTCGGTTTCAGTGTGTGCATTTCCGAATATCCAAAGCCAAAACAGGTGGTCAGCGCATTTTGTTCAGATGTTATATGGCTGGGGTATTACCAACCTCCATCAAGTCAACGTCATGCTTCTTCATGTTTGTCTTCATTTATTATAAAAACACACATTGTAAAGGTATAATAGCTTCTTGGTTGAATAAAAAAGGGACGAAGAAGATAACCTCGGTTCTCATACCGGGATATCAACAAAGAGATCGGAATGGGAGTCTTATCAACTCTTTGTAATGAAAATCGATTATAGTGCATACACAAGAGAAAATGGGAATTCACTAATCTATATATCCAAGGAATCTAACAATTCAATATAGTGAAGTTTCTAATACTAATCACATAATATAATATGTATTTAATAAAACTTACCTGATGTATTATTCCGGCTCCAGGTGGGACTATTAGCATGTTATTGAACGTATGCGCACCCCACTGTAGTTAAAAGGAAATATAAAAAAAACACATAAATATTGTATGAATCTAACGTGAACAGTACACATTTAGATGAAACATTATAACAGTTAAGATCGCGAAATATGTATTTTTAATTATGAGCCGGTGTTGGAAGCTTTAAAAACCGTTAAAATTGTTTTATTACAACTACTTAACGTTACTTATGCATAGTACGTAGGTAACACTGAATTTTAGTGTGGTTTTTGACAAATGTATAAATACATAGATCTGATTGTACAATGTATCAACCTTGGTTTCATTTTCTAATGCTGTTTTATTGCAAAATTCATTTTTTATTCAAAATTTTAAATTTTAAAACAAATTTACATCGAAAAAAGTCTCTACAACACGGGCTGGATTCGAACCGGCATCCACAGGGTTCCGTTCAAGTTCAAGTTCCGCCCGTATCGTATGTTTTCTCAATCCAAATTAACTTTTAATTTATACAATGCCATCATATGCAGCATATGAAAATTTTTCAAATTTAAAATTTACTTTAAGTACTTGTGCACTTTACCAATTATTTACCTCGTGTAGGTACACGAAAATAGGTAAGTAGGTACTTACCTTACATTATTTATCCTTACCTTCATGAACTGAAACCTCTCTTTGTTCCGTACGGATTCTATTTCTTGATTCTTAAACAGCGAGTCGGATCTACAAGGAAGAATTAAGGCTTGTTGGTCTAATGGTAGCGACTTATGGCAAACGACGGATTGTGGGTATGATCCCCGAAGGATTCAATATGTTAAACACTTAATATCCAGATTTGCAAAAGGTCATGTTAAAAAAATTTCACCGATCGAACTCATTGCTTACTAGCCATACATTGTTAACAACCACCCGTCAACGACTAATAGCTACGATAAATTTGAAGCACCTTAAAATAATACTATGTCCATCTTTTCAGCTTTTCTATATAAAAAGCTAAGCAGTTATTTTACTTACATAAAAGTTTACGGTGATTTAGTACCTAAAGCAATGCGGGCACCACCGCGGGCGATACCTAGTTTATAATAATCTTATTTTAACCCCTTACGTCCTTGAATAGTCCACCTGCACTGAATGGTCGATCACCAAATGGGCTGGGCATATCGGGTTAATTTTGTCGGGGTCACCGCCCAGAGTCTGGACAGCATTTCGCATCGCTGCCATATCCACCACTGCTGGTAGGCCTGTGTAATCCTAAAAGGCATACAAGGTGGTTCCATGTTTTAACAAAGGCCAAAAATCATTTATACAATATGTTGGCATCTAGGTACACTTATGAACGTCACAAAATTAAAGAATTTAACTTTACATTTACTAGTTCTCAAATCAAGGGCGTAGAACTAACGAGAAGAATTGGCAATAAACTCGCCGTTATTCCTTTTATCGCCAAGTTTCATTTTAGTCTTTAAGTGTACACTACATATTTTTTCTAGTTAGAGCGGGTTCCTCCAAGCATTTTTATCATTTAAATATTCATTAACGTCAAAATAACCCCTCCCAAGCAGTTTTGTTTTACATACGCTAGCATTTCCGAGATCACTTGCCGAGAACTACTATTTTTATTTAATGAGATATTTATTTATTTATTACAGCTTTATTTATCGAACGAAGTCGCGCGCACCGCTATTTTTTAATGTCCCGTGATTTTATTTATAGTTACAAGAGAAGAAATGCCTACATACATGCAAGATAACTCTAGCCGGTTTGAAGGCGACCTCCACGTCATCGGCTGTCTGGTTCTTCTCCCATTCTAGAACGTTCTGGACGTCCTTCTCGAGCACTTGGAAGTTGTCGCAGTTTCGAACGCACGACTCCAGCAGCACTCGAATGCTGAACGGTAGACGGTCTGAAAGAATATGCTTAAGTCTTTGTTCTAATAGAGGAGGATAGATGAGCATAGGGTCCATTTGATGGAAGGGGAACACCCCAGCCTTAATATATCTGCTAAACAAGATGTGCTGTCGAGCTATTTTGGCTTTAGATAAAGTCTATTTTGTCCAGATATATGGTTATTACTCACTTGTAACATTATACATAATTATTTAGTTTTCTATTACCATACCATTTTGTACTTTTAGTTTTTAACTTACTTTTTATTTATTTACACTTTATTGCACAAAAAAATGAACAAAAATATAAACTAGACTTATATACTAAAAATATGAAGTGCAATGGGCGGCCTTATCGCTAACGCCATCTCTTCCAGGCAACCCAAGATGAAAGAGGAAAAAGTTTACGGGAAAACGAGATGTGGTGAAACAAGGTGGGCGAAACAAAATGTTTATTATATATCTCTAAATTATTTATTAGTTATTCGATTTTATATTCTTAATCTTAGTGAAAAGAGAATTAATTGTCTTTAAGTTATTTATGAAGTCTCTCGGATATGTAAATAAAACACGTGTAATGGTTTAAAACGCAAGATGTATCAGTTAACTTACTTTTTTGCATCCGAAACGTGGGAACAGAATAAGAATAAGTTAATGCAATTTGTTTCTTGATCCGATAAAAATGTTTTAATTAAAATGAAAAAACTTGCGTACAACACACACAATACAGTAAGTAGATATTTTAATTCTAAATCAACGTTTAGATTATTAATGATATAACTGTGAAAAGTTAATCTAACAGAACCGTTTGAAATTTCATCGCTACCACGATTAAGTAATCCTTACCATATTTGTCGCCTAGTTCTGTGATATCGTAGTATTTATAACTCTTTCCATTTACCTCCAATGTCTTTAATAAGTTTTTGTATGGGTTTTTACCTGAAGCAAAAAGATAAATTAAACAAATGTCTAGACTAAAGTCCTTTATAGACTCTTTTAAATGGAATCATGGACACCCAAATAAAATTTTGCACCTCCAATAATTTCTACAAATTTTTTATTACCATTTTTCGTATTTGAGAATGTTTCAATTCGAACGAATAGTTTCTGATATTAGCGCATTCAAACAGACAAACTCTTCAGCTTTATTACATTAGTATAGTAATATATACTACTAGCAAATGCGTGTAAAAATTTAATTACTATAGAAAAAAATATGGCGAACATTTTGTTGAAAGTTTTCCTTGTAAACCGCAAAGATTAGATACCTACATAATAACTCGCAGTGTATCGGGCCATCTATAAATTATAATGAGCAATTTTTCTACATTCAGAAAGTCACAATCTATACTAATATATAAAGCTGAAGAGTTTGTTTGTTTGAACGCGATAATATCAGGAACTACTGGTTCGAATTGAAAAATTATTTCTTGTTGCTTAGAACAATTATCGAGGAAGGGTTTTATAGCTTATCTATAAAACATTGCGCCGTGAGTAATAGGAACGAAGAAACGGGCAATATTATTCATCCTCGTAGGTTTCCGATGCGTACGCAGCGAAAATGGTTCAAGATACCCAAAAATATGTAACAAAAATGATTCTTTAAAAAAAAACCCGCGATGCTATATGTCTATCTCTTAAGATGAACTCGCAAGAACGATGGGAACTGAACGACTTATTTTAAAGCTATTGAAAATGTTATATGTCAATCTTATAGTGGTTAGTAATAAACTGCCAATGGGCTATAGTAGGCTTAACACTTTAGTATTGCATAAAGCATGTGTTTCATGATAAATATATAAAACTGCATACCGTTCATTTTGGTCACGTCTATCCCAATGTTGCACTTGAATAATAAACCTCAGATAAAATACATAAAAATAAATACGCCTTTATCTTTATCAGATGGAAGGGATTTATCCGTCAAACTACATGGAGCAAAGTCGAGAAAATATAAATATTGTCATAAAAGTTTGATAACGTTAATTTATTTATTATAACGTGAAATTTACTAGACAAAAAACGTGGTGATTAAAGTCTCCGCGTTCGTCGAGTGTCCATCAAAAAATAGTCAATCCATTCGAGTGTGCTAGAGTAACAAAACATAACGTTTCCTATTAAAAAAGTTAATGCGTATAACTCATATTTTGAAATTTAAAATAACAAACCTACACTCCGATTCACGTATTGTATATACATGATATCTAGATAATGTGTCGTACGAATACACAGTGTAGGTATATTACGAACAACCTTCAGCTATCTTTACGTTAAATATATCTGACGGTTTTTACCAATACCCCGACATACATCGTGATTGTTAAGAAGTATTAAACAAAAAATATGCTTCCTGTTAAACATTAAAGACTCTGGACCATTTCTCAATGTATTGCGCGTTTTAAACCGTTAATTTTGTGTTATCTAACATAAGAATTATATAATGAAATAGATTTGTCATCAAAATGACACTTCGGAGGGGGGTAAATATGTGTGTCCCTACAAATATATCGAATTGCGAACACATCTATAAAATATATAAAGCTGAAGAGTGTGTTTGTTTGTTTGTATGTTTCAAACTTTATTTTTTTCACATGTTATTGCACATGGAGGCACTATATAATTTAAAAATAGAAAATAAATTGAAAATATTTTCGACCCGAGCAGGACTTGAACCGGCATCGTCAGCGTTCCGTGCTAAAAATTTGAACGTCAGCGTTTCGTGTGAAAATAAATAAATAAATACTTTATTAATGTGAAAAAAATTAAGTTTTCAAACGTTATAATTTTGTAATTTCTACTTCAATGATTTCTTAAGTTGCATAAGACGTTGAACCTTTAATTTTTGTTAGTTAGGACATTTATTGAGGAAGGCTATAAAACATCGCCCTGGGACTAACACAAGAGAAGGTACAGCGAGAAATGTGAAGAAATAATTCATCGTTCTTGGCTTCCGAGGCAAACGTTGCAGAAACGGTTCAAGGTACCCAAAAAGTATGTATGAAAGAATGATTCCTCTTTAAATTATCTAGAAAACTCCACGGTGCTATATGTCTATCTTTTAAGATTAACTTGCAAGAACGTGGCCGACGCCGCGGGTCTCAGCTTAAGTTTAATAAGGGGTTTGCAAAAACGAATTTGGATGCCCAAAATAACGATTCTACGCGAAGACTCAGCTAGTAAGCATATATTATTATTATTAACATTTTTAGTAGTGTTGCCATTTAACTTAGTTGTCTGAATAGTTGTCCTCCTTCTTTCTTTAGGATAATAATAATAGTAAGAGCATAAAAAATACAACCATTTAAACAAAATAATTTATTCAATAAAACGTTACATATATCAACTTATTCTAAACCCTAGAATCCATCAAATAAAATTACCATTAAACCAAATTAAGAGCACTTGATTTTGCAACAACACTGAAAATAGAAAAGTAAATTTTCTGTAGTAACTAGTGTGAGTTACAATCATTATTTTAATCTTAAAAATGATACAAGTTTGCGACATAGCACATACATTTTTTATACATAGTGAAATAAAAGATTTTTTTCCAGAGACAATTAACTTGATGGATAATGAAATCCCTCAGCTCCATAATAAGATACGTAGTCGACCTCTTTTGGCTTTGGATATTCTGAGAAAAAACCTCGATCATAGAAAAAATTGTGTAACGAATATAACACCTTTTCGTCGATTTTATTACTGAGATTATAATGGAGTTTGTAAATACATATTGCTTGGTAAAGATATTGAATATAGCGTCATCTATTGACAAAAGTTTGAAACTATAAATAAATGTCATCACCATAAAATGTCGTTGCTATGGAAACTAAAATCTGACAGTCGTGGCAAAAGTATATAAAAAGAAAGCTAGGTACAAAAAGTACATATAATATTTCTCTTGTATATAATGTATATAAAAAGTTTTCTCTTTAGGCTGTAATTTTACACAAGTCTACATGTTAAAATTAAACAACTTGAACCCTGCTTGCGGGTGAGGTCGTAGTTAGTAATATTTAAACAAAAATTATAGTCATTTATGATTTACATTTTTTGCATATTATAAAAAAACTAGTATACTTGTGTTATAAGACAATCCCAAATAACGACACGACACAAGCTGGGGATAACCTGAGAATTTAAACACAAGTGAAAACTGTCCGTATTGTCTTGTAAAGAACGGAGTGGTTTTTTTTTTGTTTTATTACAATTTCAACAATAAATTAATTTTAAGAAGTGTATAAATGTGAGAGCATTTGTTTGTCTTTCACGACCAAACTGAGCAATGAATTACTTGACACTTTGATCGTTAAGGTTAAGCGTCGAGGTCAATTACTGGATGCCTCACAGCATCCCCCTGATCATGTAGTTAAGTATTCCACCGTTCCTGAAGTATGTTAGGTCGACCTCTGTGTCGAAACGTACTTTCACCTGGAATGATTTGCCCGAGGATACCTGGAAACAGAAAAATCTTGTTGAGAGAATGTTCGAAAGGTCGAAATTACATTACGCGAGAGGAGTCGGTATCTGAATTGGTTGGAGCAGCATCGTGGAACGCTGTGGATGCCGGTTCAAGTCCTGACCGAGTCGTATTATTTTTTCAATTTAAAATCAATTTTTAATTTAACGTGTAAAAAATATTAAAGCTTTTAAAGTGTACACCCTACAAAATTAATAACCTTTAAATAAACTGTAATCAAAAAGCAAGAGTTATTTTTCCAATCTGTGTGTGGACAAAATAAAAACTAATTAATAAGTCTTTGAATTTATTGTCTTTAGAGGTATTTTGTTTCTTTTGTTTACAGGTCGTAAAACCACTTAATAACCCTTTTTTTTCTTTTGTCCTGTGAGATCGCTTAGCGATAAGGCCTCCTTTTATTCATAAGTTACGTAATTTTAAACCTTTTGTATGTTTTGTGGTAAAATATATATATTTTTTTCATGGGACAAAAAAAAATAATTACCTGTACAGTCAGCAATTGATGCGTCTTCAAGTCTTCGGGTACATCGATTTGGTACGTCTCTTGTCCAGTGAGTCCATGTGTTTCCGCGTTCTCACCTGGCAGGAACTGGAGTGGCATGATGCCCATCCCCACCAAATTGGATCGGTGGATACGCTCAAAAGATTCAGCTATCACGGCTTTTATGCCCTGTGTGAAAATTAAATTATAATGAGTGTAATTACCCAACAACAAAATGGGTAGTAGTTTTATTTACTTGCCACTGTAACCTCTAAAAACAAAATTAAATAAGAAGTCCCATCTTAGGTTATCATAAATTAGCGAAACCAAAAGAATTAATCCTGAACGCACGTGGCCTATGTCGGAAGACGAGCGAGCCCAAAAGAAATATTTAAATAGCTAGAGAGTCAAAGTTTTTATTATTTATTACTTTGTTAGTTGTCGAGATATTAGTTAGTATCTAATTTTAGTAGATTACAGAATTGTAACAAATAATTGTATTTTTCGTTCAATGTTCGTAATTCCAATTTAATTCATTGACGTATGATTGGAATCGGTGTGTTTATATTAATGACCGATTTTTTAACCAAAACCGAATAATCGGTTTTTGACAACGTCTGAAGATATAGGCATATATATTAAAAAAATAATACGATATACGAAATAGAATTAAAATAGAATGCTGAAACAAATATATCTACACGATGTCCTAATAACGAAAACGAAATTTAAAATATCAAAATTTTACGACAAGGTTAACTGTTAAGGTTGACAATGACATTGCGCGACAGGTATATGTATCAATGGCTCGAAGAAATTCAGACCACGGTAGCTCAAGTGGTAAGAGCGGCAGCACAGATCGCCGTGGATGCCGGTTCAATACAAATAGAGTTTTAATGTACAAAATGCCATCATGTGTAATAAATAACATGTGATTTTTTTTTTAAAACGGATCATTTTTCTTTTGTGACTGAAATAGGCGTTGGAATGAATGGTCTTACCAGCAAAAACGGGCCTTTCGCTGCCCAATCTCTACTTGAGCCGGAACCGTAGTCCTTTCCAACAACAGCTATCAGAGGCACTTTCTCGTTCGCGTATCTGTTGATTTATTACAACACATGACTCAATAACACTTCTAAACTCAAGCATAGTAATAATCAAAGAAATACCAGTAATATAACATCAGACTGGAATAGTTTCTTTTTGTTTATTAAACTTTACTTGTTGGTCTAATGGTAGCAGAGTATTGATATAATAATCAACGGGTCGCAGGTTTGATCCCATCGGGTCCAACATGTATCTAATACATATTTTTATAACATGTTAGACTTCGCCTGGAAATTTGAAATCTTCAACCAGCATGGGGCTTGAAGCCTATGTATACTGCTTCAATCTGCGCATTGCGTCTTGAGAAGCGTGTCTACAGTGACTACCTACAGTGGGGCACATCGGGAGTTAGTGCAACATCATTTTTTTTCTTACCTCTCAGCCGCATCGTATATGTCCATAACATCCCCGCTGGGGTAATGTTTGGTCTTGGGACCTGCGCTGTCCACCATTTTGTTCACTAGACGAATGTTAGCGAACGTTCCTCGCGACATTATTGCGTCGTTGCCTCTCCTTGATCCGTACGAGTTGAATTCGCGGGGCGTGAGGCTAAAAATATACATACATAGAAATTTATACGAACTTAAAACAAAATTATTTGTCCATTATCGGTGGCGCCAGGAACACTTGAAATCTGTGTTATACTGTGAGTGCTAGGAGTTGTAAATGCATTCGGTTGCGTTGTGAGTAAGAGATATTAGATCGAATACCCAGCGACGTTATTAAAAGTTTTTTGCGCTTGAAACTTATTTAATGTATTGACAATACCGCTACGTATGTACAAGCTTTACGGGGTGAGTGAGACAGTTAATTGCTGAAGCAAAATGGGCATATTAAAAATAGTTTCTTGTATGGGTCCATAGATGGCGTTGTTCGCAAAAACACTTTAGAAGTTCACATAATCTATAGTATACAATAATTATTATATATATAGTACGTTTTAGTGGAATAAAAAATCTTAACTTGTCTTAGAAAATAAATTGGTGGCTTTTACTTCTTTTGTCAATGGCTTAACTGTTCCTAGGCTATTGTTATAAGAAATAACTTGGGCTTTACTAAGGGGTTATAGGCAAAACATATACGCTATAGTCTCACCCTCTACCAGCGAGGTATCTAGCTGCAGGAGAATTCCTTGCGATAGACCCGGCTGGGGAAATATGGTCTGTGGTCACCGAATCACCCAAAAGAAGGAGACATCTGGCACCCTTGATACTCACCGCGGGGGGGAGATCCTATAATTGGAAAAAGAAATGTTCAAATAAATAAATATTAGTTAGTGGGCGTCACCCTTTGATCTATGTTTCCAATATGTAAAAGTACCCTTGTCATGTCATCGAAGAACGGTGGCTTCTTAATATAAGTGGAGTTGGGATCCCAACCGTATATCTTCCCTTGCGGTACGTCCAGCTCTTGCCACGATGAAGAGCCTTTCTCAATCTTGGAATAGACCTGAACATGACGAAAAAATTAAATTTTAAAGCTTCTACTATAAACATAAAACGAACTAGTTATTAATGTAATTGAAGTACGATTTGGTATTTGTTAAGACCCGGGTAATCAACTATATAATACCTCTTTAAACATTCCCGGGATAACATGCTTGTTCTCGACTTCTTGGATTTCGGCCCGGGTAGGCCAAATGTCGTTAAGGAAGACAGGACTGCCGTCAGACCGCTTGCCTGCGAATTGTAACGCGGTTAAAATTACAAGAAATACAATATACTTATAAAATTAAAATCGATTCTGATTGATAAAATACACGGGCGAGACTTGAACCGTCATCCGCAGCGGGGAGAAACGACGCGACGAGGGCAAATAACTCACCAAGAGGTTGTGTTTCAAAGTCGATGTCCACCGTCCCAGCGAGAGCGTACGCTATTACTAACAGTGGCGACGCCAGATAGTTAGCGCGGGTGTATGGATGGATCCTACCCTCGAAGTTCCTGTTCCCGGATAGCACACCGCAGCAGACCAGCTCGTTCTATAAGAAATTATTTTTACGTAAATTACAAGAAAATGCTTAAAGGGTGGAGACTAGGTAAATTAGTTTAATTTAACTCGAATTGTTTATAAGTTAAAATATATGTAGTTATATGGGTTCCTTGGCATAATGGAGTTTGGTGTATGGCTCGGGTCGAGGAATCGATCTCTACGGGGACCAACATAAAATTTCTAATCAATTCATAATTTTTCTATAACATTGGACTTTGTCTAGAAATATTAAAAGGGTGGTAGAAATATCGTCCGCGTAACGAACTAGATTAAATCGCGTTTCGGTTTTAATCTGGCGATTTCTTATTGAACCGAATTTTTTTAAATTACACTAACTTAACTATGTAAAACATTATAAGTATAGAATAATAAAAAACAAACGATACCAAAAAGAGGACTCGAATCTGAGTCTAGTTTTATTTAATCCATAAGTACCTTTTCGATAGTATTAGCAATGTTGTCATCTATCGGTCCAGAGTTTCCAATGCAAGTCATGCACCCGTATCCAACAACGTCAAAGCCCAACTTTTCCAAGTACGGTATCACTCCGGACTCCTGGAATAAAAGATATCAGCAAAAAATTAAATGAGAAATTACTCTATAATTTATTATAAGTGCGGTCCAATGTTTCAGTTGGCTTGCAGCAGCCGTGGTCATGGAAGATCTGAAGGTGGGCCCTAACGTCAAAGTCAAATCTGCTACGCTAGCGCCATCTAGTCGTAGTTAACAGTTGGAGAAACTTGCTGGGTACATACTGGGGAATATGGACATAACTGGATCAATCAATTGTAAAATATTGTAAATAATTAATTATATTGTGTATTGTCGGGTTAAAACCCCTTAACTACTATATATGTACTTGAATGATAATATAAATCAAACAGACTTGGACGTGTGTATGTAGTAGAATACCTTGAGATAGTATGTGACAACACCAGAACCAGGAGACAAAGATGTCTTTATATATGGCAACACGCTTAGACCGTTCTCTACTGCTTTCTTTGCTAGGAGACCTGAAGTAAAAAATATTGCGTTAAACAAAACATTTTAAACAGTTAAATAAGTATTTGTTAACTAGGACCCGACGTTTCGCATGCTTCACTCAGGGTTAAATAAATAATATCTACTTCACGTTTTAAAGTTTTCGTTATAAGTGTTTTATTTAAAAGAACGAACACAATATAGGTATAGGCTTGGTGTTTTACCGGATATTGAACCTAAATCAGCAAGGCAAATATATATATATATATATTATAATATGTTGCATCGAGAGCCGGTTTTTTCCTATCAGACATAGGGCAAACACATCTTTGCTTACTGGTGGGATTTAGAGGCAATTTAATTGGACAATATCAAATGAATATTAAAATAAAACACTTTTAACGGTTTAAAACGCGGAATGTATAATGTCTATTTAAATCGTTAAGTGTGTCTTTAAATCTGGACTACTAGCGTAAACTACAGACAATATCGGGTGACAATATAATATATTTGTATGTAGAGATATTTCTATGTCTTACCAGCTCCTAGCATAACACTAGGGTTAGATGTGTTAGTACACGAGGTGATCGCCGCGATGATGACTGAGCCATGGGTGATGGAGTAGGTCTGGCCATCACTAAAGGTGAAGGAGCCGGATGATGAAAGGCTGTTCGGTGATAGGCCAAATCCTTTGAAGCCGATCTGGAAGTAATTTATTTAATTTAATTATTAAACATCGATTATAAGAACATCTCTAGAGCAACTAATCGTCGTAATTTTTGTTTAATTTATAATTGATTTTTATGTTTATATAGTGCCATTATGTGCAATAACATGTGAAAAATATTAAAGTCTTCAAGTTTTATTATTTACACATACCACAGAACAAAAAGCGTAAGAGAAAAAACTAGTATGTACTAACTTATAAATAAGCGGTCTTATTTCTTAGCAGCTATCTTTTCTAGGCTTGCTTCCAAATTATAATTTTATACATAAGCTTTGTTTTATTAAAATATTTAGCAATAATTTACTTAAATGTTAAAATGAGAGACAGAAAAAAATTGTCTACCTGAATACATTTTGAATCAAATACTGTCTACAGTTTACGCGAGAAGTACACATTTAAATAAACTTTAACGGTTTAAAACGAGATATATATTGGTTAAACTATCTCCCCGTGGTCACTGCTGCAAAGCATCCGAAACGTCGGGTCGTAGTTAAAAGTTCAAATAAGTTTAACTAATATCGCGTTTTAAACAGTTAAAGTGTTTTATTTAAACATTTTGTATTGGAAAATAATATTTATCCCAAAAACCAACCAGAAGCCGAAAGTTATCTGCGCAGACAAAGTCGTAAACGAAACGTAGTCTAATAAAATAACTCGTCTTCAAAATGTCAAATCATAAGTAAAAACAACGTCAGGTCGCCCATGACATACATACGAAGAACAGAACAAGGAAGACACATATATGCTTAGACGACAATTTCTTTCACCTTGTAACGAAAAGATGCATACAAGCTGTTTCATGCGACTTCTATTCGGTAATTATTAATTTACATAAATTAAAGGAAATATAATATCGTTTTTTAATGCTATTGGAGGACAGACAAGCACGGTGTTGACTTGATGGAAGGTGAATACTTAGGTTATGGATAATCGGAAATCCACAGACTGAAATCGAAACGCGATTGAAATCCACAGCCTTTTCATCTGCGGAGGATAGTTCCTGACCTGGACGGAATTTCGATATTCCTACCACCCATATAATATCCGAACTCGACTCGATGATTTTTAGCAATTACTACGATTAGACCGGACCGCCTCTGTAGCCAAATTATTAAACGTATTGCCTAGCTGGTCCTGGGTTCGAATCCTAGGAAAACAAAAAAATTGTTTCGGTCAGGCAGGGCACAGAAGTCTGATCAACTACTTGCATGTTAAAGAAAGAATCAGTGAAACGGACACAGAAATGTGTTCGCCCCATGCCCCACGAGGGGGAAACGGGATTTCACATATACGATTAGACCAACGAGGTCGTCAATATGGTGAAACATGGGGCAAATACACTTTGATTGTACCCGACATGGTTCTGATATAAGAAAGACTAAATATGTATGTGTACACATAGACATAACAAACATTTTACATGTACGTATAGAATTTGAAAATCGCTGAGTATTCAAAAACGTTAATATAACAATCTCGTACCTAAGAATTAGTTTGATTTTAGTCTATATGTAAAATGGTGGTAAATATGGAATAATTATGGTGAGTTTATTTTTTTATTTTTTACCTAAATACTGTCTATAGTTTACGCGAGTAGTACACATTTAAATGAAACACTTTAACGGTTTAAAACGCGATATATTAGTTAAACTTATTTGAAAATGATGAAATGCAGCAGCCGTGGTCACGGGGAGACTCCCCGTGACCACGGCTGCTGCAAAGCATCCGAAACGTCGGGCCGAAGTTAAAAATCATTTTCAAATAAGTTTAACTAATATATCGCGTTTTAAACCGTTAATGTGTTTTATTTAAATATTTTTTACCTTTAAAAATTTAGGAATTTAGGAGTCTAAATACCATAGACTACAGGTCTCTTTATTTGCTATGATCGCAGAAACAGTTTAAAATAAATGTCAGTACATCATGATACTGTTTATCTATGTTGATAGGCTATGAATAGCTAACTAAGTCTTTACTGTTATTAAATTCAGTTAAAACCGTAACGTAGCGTTCAACGTAATTTGTCGTCAAATATATTTTAACGCTTATCAGAGTGGTTTTAAGAAATGTATATTTACGCGCGAGGTGTATGTATCAGCTTAAAAAAAACGACGATGACGTTTAGGACACGGTAGCTCTTGGTTAGAGCAACAGCACGGAACGCTGTAAATGCCGGTTCAAGTCATGCCCGTGTCGTGAAAGTTTATCAAACTAAAGTTGCTTTTAAATAATATTTTCTTTATAATAAAACAATATTTCCCTTTAGCACAAACGAACTCGGGCGAACTAAGCTTACATCTATGTTGTTGATAAAATTGCTGTTTTTCAATTCTTTAAATAATAACAGAATAGTAGCGTTGTTGTATTTAATTATCATGTGAAAATAGATAAACACGCTAATCCACTAACGAGCTTGTTAGTGATTTACTATTTTCGCAACATTCATTAGTTGTCACCAATATTAGACACAATAATCATTATTAATAATTACCTAATTTGATTAATGAGATAGATTTAACTCCAAGAAATACGTATAAACCAAATGAAATATTAAGGTAGTGTTGAAAAATAGGAGACATGGAAAAAGACAAAGATGAGGCTAGTATGTTATATGATAGACTAGCTATGCCCGCGACTTCGTCCGCGTGGTATAGTGACTTGGGGTAGAATTTTTAATTATTTAGTCTGTTTATTAATTTAAGTAGTTGCGCATTTATCCCAGCCAATCTATGTTGTAAGTGCTACTTTGCCGCAACCCTCACCTCACATCAGTCCTACTCTAAATCCCACTCTCAGTCCCAGTCCCACTCCCATTACCAAAAAGCCCATAAAGAAAGTTTCATTGTTCTAGCTTCAAAAACCACAAATTTCCATACAAAAGTTCACCCCCCCGATTTAACCCCTTTTCACAATAAAAGTGGCCTATGTCCTTTCTCAGGGTCTAGACCATTTGTGTACCAAATTTTATTCAAATACGTTTAGTACTTTCGGCGTGAAAGAGTAACAGATAGCCACACAGACAAACAGATTTACTTTCCCATTTATAAATATTATAAATGCGAAAGTAAATCTGTAAGGATACTTCGCTGTTCATGCAATTCTACTAATGTTACTACATATTATAAATTTTAAATAAAAAAAAGAAATAGGAAGGATCGATAAAGAAAAGGTTTGTGTAGGGAAGTTTGTATACACGAGTATTAATAGTTAATTGTATCGTCGAATTTTCAAACGTACTTAAAGATTTTTCGTGCGAAAGCGTTTTTTAAGTAGATCATGTTTCTCTCAAAGATGAACTTTTTAAAACCCTAGGGTCAACTGGTACGTTTGTAAGACTTTCATTCAGTACTTAAGTTCTACTAAACTAACTAAAGTCATTAAAGTTCCTTGTATTTGGATTTCTATGTATAATTCGATAAATATTCTCCAACTAATTTTGAAATCGGTGACAAGTAAGTGTTCCAACAACTTTACTAGACCGAGTTCAAAAATATATTATAAAATAAAAAAATAAATAAATTACTTCGGAATCAAAATACTTTGTGTGATTTTTTTTTCTAGTGTACTGTCCGAAATTGACTATTTATTTTATATGAAGGAATGGTGCATGTTTGTGCTACTCTACATTAACCACTAAAATAATGTAATTGATAAAGATTTTAATAGCTCTATCAGTTAACCATATTTCGAGTTGCGGTTGAAACTATCGATAGTCTAATAATTTGTTACCGTTAAATTCCAGTGAAGTCACATCGCAGATATACCTATGGCGTGGAAATGATTTTTGGATCTTTTTCTTTTACCATTCAACTCATACATAGATAAATAAGAAAAATTCATTTCCCCATCGTTGAAAATGGAATTATTTTTGACTGTGACAGCTGATCTTCACTGCTAGGAGGTTTTATATTAACGACATAATATTTGTATTGAAGCTTAGGGTTACTTCTTTTTTTATTTATATGACAGAATGAAAGAGATGACTGCGTCTCAACTTATGTTCAGTGAAAACAACATAAGTTATATGCTTAAGTTTGCTTTTAAAAAACCTTTTACTAGACAGGCTTGACAATAAAATCCTGTTAGGATAGAATATGTAAATAAAAAAATAAAATAAATTGTTAATTCGCATTTCACTAATAATTTTACCTGCTTTACAAAGAGCAATAAACAAAGTAATTAAGACGCAACACTCATAACATTATAACATAATTTACTAATAACATTGACTTAATTACATCCCTATAAATACCTGGATACAGACATTTTCAATTCAGTCAACAACTTACATTTGAACGTAACAGTGGTTTGTGTAAATTGTGTTGTTATACACAGAGTGCAGTTTTGTTTGACTATGTATTTTATACTTTGTTACAACCAACTTTGGAAAACAGAGGTTCGATTCGTCTGTGTTTTTTTACATGTTTAGAAAAGCTAAAGGTACGTTACGTGTACTTGAAATGGTGCTATGTTTTTCGCAAAATTATTTAACATATATTCATCTGACAGACGCAGTAGTCATTTCTCAGTAGACATGTTATTATTCTGTCACTGGGAGAATGATTACTGCTACTTCAAGATGAATACGTCGATTTTTGTGTAACAGTTTTATATTAAAGACATTGTATCTCAGAGAGGCAGTAGTCATCTCTTCAGTAGACATGTTTGTTTTCTGTCACTGGGAGGATGATTACTTCCACTTAAAGATGAGTATGTCGCTATTTGTGTAACAGTTTTATATTAAAGACATTGTACCTGAGAGTGACGGTAGTCATCTTTTCAGTAGACAAGTTATTTTTCTGTCACTGGGAAAATGATTACTCCCACTTAAAGATGAGTACGTCGCTATTTGTGTAATAATTTAATTGAAGAGACGTTGTATCTGAGAGAGACAGTAATCATCTCTTCTGTAGACATGTTATTCTTCTGTCACTGGGTGAATGATTACTGTCGCTTAAAGATAACATCACCACAGTGGTAGTGGGCATCGTGAAGATTGCTCTGCTATTTTGGGTTATTACTTTTTACAAAAGTTAATTTTTTATAAGAGGCAGTCGTCATTCATTCGGTAGACATGTTACTTGATAACTGTAACTTGAAGTTAGACACGCTTTTTTGAATATATTTTTTTTCATTGATGTCATCTAAGATCCACAGATATTATATTAGGGTTACGTAATTTTAATGAGTTTCTGATAAGAGGCGGTAGTCATCTCCTCAGTAGACATGTTACACTTCTGTCACTGGGTTGATGATTACTGTCACTTGCAGATAAATGCCGCCCATATGTTATACAACTATTAATATAATATATTACTTGACTTATATTTGATGTTATCTAATAGAGGTGGTAGTCATCTCTTCAGTGGACACGTTCTTTTCTGTCACTGGGATTACAGCCACTTAAAGATAAATTCGCCATAGATTTAATTTGTGCCTTTTACAAAACATTTGTTGTATTGCGGTATCTGATAGTGGTAGTGGTCATCTCTTCAGTAGACAAGTTTTTTTCTGTCACTGGGAAAATGATTACTGTCGCTTAAAGATAAATTCTCCATTAGTTTTGTTTGTGCATTTTAAATAACAATTGTCGTTTGCGATATCTGCGAGAGGTAGTGGTCATCTCTTCAGTAGACAAGTTTTTTTCTGTCACTGGGAAAATGATTACTGTCGCTTAAAGATAAATTCTCCATTAGTTTTGTTTGTGCCGTTTAAAAAACAATTGTCGTTTGCGATATCTGCGAGAGGTAGTGGTCATCTCTTCAGTAGACAAGTTTTTTTCTGTCACTGGGAAAATGATTACTGTCGCTTAAAGATAAATTCTCCATTAGTTTTGTTTGTGCCGTTTAAAAAACAATTGTCGTTTGCGATATCTGCGAGAGGTAGTGGTCATCTCTTCAGTAGACAAGTTTTTTTCTGTCACTGGGAAAATGATTACTGTCGCTTAAAGATAAATTCTCCATTAGTTTTATTTCTGCATTTTAAAAAACAATTGTCGTTTGCGATATTTGCGAGAGGTAGTGGTCATCTCTTCAGTAGACAAGTTTTTTTCTGTCACTGGGAAAATGATTACTGTCGCTTAAAGATAAATTCTCCATTAGTTTTATTTCTGCATTTTAAAAAACAATTGTCGTTTGCGATATTTGCGAGAGGTAGTGATCATCTCTTCAGTAGACAAGTTCTTTTCTGTCACTGGGTAAATGTTTACTGCTGCTCAAAGATAAATTCACCATTATGTTTAATTTGTGCCTTTTATAAAACATTTGTCGTTTGCGATATCTGTGAGATGTACTAGTCATCTCTTCAGTAGACATGTTCTTTTCTGTCACTGAGATAACGATTACTGTTGCTTAAAGATAAATTCACCATATATTTGATTTGTGCCTTTTATAAAACATTTGTCGTTTGCGATATCTGTGAGAGGTAGTGATCATCTCTTCAGTAGACAAGTTATTTTCTGTCACTGGGTAAATGTTTACTGCTGCTCAAAGATAAATTCACCATTATGTTTAATTTGTGCCTTTTATAAAACATTTGTCGTTTGCGATATCTGTGAGAGGTACTAGTCATCTCTTCAGTAGACATGTTCTTTTCTGTCACTGGGATAACGATTACTGTTGCTTAAAGATAAATTCACCATATATTTGATTTATGCCTTTTATAAAACATTTGTCGTATTGCGACCTGATAGTGGTAGTGATCATCTCTGCAGTAGAGATGTTCTTTTCTGTCACTGGGATAATGTTTATTGTCGTTTAAAGATAATTTCGCCATTCGTTTTGTTTGTGCATTTTACAGAATATTTTATTAGTATTCGGCATCTGAGAGAGGTAGTGGTCAATTCTCTAAAATCTAAAATTCCCACTCATAAGATTCATATCTAATGTTTGCAGTGGTAGTTTTCAGGTAATCGGTTGAATTTTAATACGTCTCTGTCGTCTGATAATAATCAAATATCTGGTTATTTGATTATTATCATTGAAACATTTTACAACAGTTATTGAAAATTTGATTTAATTAAATAAGCGAAATTTAAAGTTTTAGGTGTCAGTCGTCAGCCACTCAGGGGACATGTCAAAAATTCTGTCACTGGGTATCTGATGACTGTCACTTTAGACTATTTCTTCTAAAAAAATATTTACCACTTTATGGTCCTATTGCGGAATGATTATGTTTTTAATTGTAAGTCCTCAGTCAGACAGTTGACACGTATGAATTCTGTCACTGGGACTGATAACTTTCCCTTAAAAGCATCATTTAGCAAACATTTATATTCTAAAACATTACCGCATTTTCAGCATTGCACCTTTAAGAGTAAGTCATCACTTACTCAGATAACACGTTAAAAAATTCTGTCACTGGGTGTTTGATTCCTGTCACTTAAGGTCAAATCTTCAAAATGTATCTATATATAGATTATGACAGCAAAATACAAAATTTTCTACAGAAATTAATGGCGTCAAAGTAACATGACATTGGAGTTAATAATATTTTCAAGGTAAGATTTTTTTATAGAATGCCTTTACAGACGTTATTCTTACCTTATTAGTGAGACACTCCCCGAAGTCTTTCTTCATGTTAGAGACTGACACTCGATCTTGGGGTCTCTTGGGCCCGCTCACTGATGTGACGACAGTAGAAAGGTCTAGCTCTACCACCTATAAAGAAGAGAGGAAGAATTTAGGTTATAAGAGGTCTCGGAAAGTTTGTTTCAATATAAATAACTAGCTGTGTCAGCGACTTTGTCCGCGTAGAATATTTATTTTGGACATCCACGACGTTGGTCACATCCCGTTGTTATTGCAAGTTAATCTTTAAGGATAGACATACAGTGTCGCAGACATTTTTTTAGATAATATTGTTTTCGTACATATCTCTTAGGTAACTTGGACTGTTTTCGTAGCGAACGCATCTGAAACCTAAAGTCAATGATTTTTCCCGTTTTTTTCCACATGTCCCACTGTTGTTTCGCTCCTATTAGTCACAGCGCGACAGTTTATACAGTCCACGATAAATGTTCTGACCAACACAAAAACAACACATTTTTTTAAAATTCGAACAAGTAGTTTCTGAGATTAGCGCGTTGAAACAAACAAACTCTTCAGCTATATATATTACTATTGAGAGAGTATAAATAAATTGATGATTCACTGAAATGCTATGTGCCACTTAGTTACCAAATGCAAACAAAAGTTGATGCAGACATATTCTTACCTAATGTAGGTAATAACTAGCTTTTACTTACCTCAGAGAAAACGGGATCTTGGTCAGTGTTATTGTAATCTCTGAACTGTTTTGTTGCCTTGAGGTATTGTTTGATGATGTTGATTTTTTCCTCCGAGCGATCTTTAAAATGAAATAATAAAAATGTTTAGTAAATTACATTGAACAGACATTGTTTTGTGTTTAATGGAACGCAAAGATTAAAAGGGAATTTTCTCAGCTTAATTGTAAAGATAGAAAAAGACCGCCTCTGTAGCTAAATGGTTAAACGTATTGCCTAACTGTGCGTTTAATCTCAAGAGGTCCTGGGTTCGAATCCCAGGGAAACAATAGATAATTGCAATCGAGCAGGGCAAGGAAACTGATCAATTATTTGCATGTAAGTAAAGGCGATTAGTGAAACGTGCATTTCTGTCTTCACTCCCATGCTTCACGAGGTTGTTGTTTGTACACTTTGTAAATAGAGAATTTTCAGTTTTTATGAAGAATTGACCCTGAGGGTTGGGACTCAGCCATGTTTTTTTATCATAAAGGTCAGACAAAGGTAAACAAGATGTGCTGTCTACCTTTTTTGGCTTTGAATATTCGGAAATCCACAGACTGAAACTGACGGCTTTTTCTTCTATTGGTGGTTCGTGACCCGAACTGAATTTTGGTATTCCTACTGCCCATTTAACATGCAGATTTTCAGATTAAGTCCAACATGTTTGAAAGGACCCGGTGGGGATCGAACCCGTGACTCAATAATCATCGCTGCCATTACACCAACCAGCCCGTCAGCCTCGTCCCATGTTCAATTTCCATCTCAATATAAAATACAATTTAAAGGCTTTGATGTTTCTCACTGGTCTGTCCTAAATAGTCCAAAGAGCGTTCGTCGACCGGGAAAAAGGCGACCGTTGCACCAAATTCTGGACACATGTTGGCCACAGTCGCCCGGTCGGCTATACTGAGAGCCGACACTCCTGGGCCGAAGAACTCCACGAATTTACCCACCACACCCAGTGAACGGAGGTGCTGGAAGGTATTAGTTTCATTTTTGACAATGGCTAGCAAATTAAAATAAAACAAAGCATCCGAAACGTCGGGTCGTAGTTAAAGTAATTTCCATAAGATTATCAAACTAATATCAAATTACATAATATAATAGTTTTATTTAAATGTGTACTACTCGCGTATATTACACACGGTATTTAAATACTAAAGAATTTGCCACAAAGACATTTACATTAAAATTACATGAAAAGAAATTTAACACTGTCTGTAGTTTACGCTAGTAGTACACATAATTTAAAAATTGAAAACAAATTGAAAAAATGTTGACTAGGGCAGGACTTGAACCGGCATCGTCAGCATTAGGTCGAATTCCGCGTTTTAAACCATTAAAGTGTATTTAATAGGACTTGAACTAAGAACATTGATTCCGTCATCGGCGAGATCACTTTGGTATTCACATGACATCACATGATGACATACCTTGGTAATAGTGAGAACGAGATCGGTAGAAGTGGCCATGGGATTTAATTCACCAATCAATTTGTACCCGACAACTTTTGGTAGCAGCATGCTTATAGCTTGACCCAGCATGACGGCCTCCGCTTCGATACCTGAAAAGAAAATCATTTAAAATCTAAATGGAAATTAAAAAAAAGGTTAAACAATGTTTTGCTCTTGAACTGATATCCTTATGGCAACGTGAGCATAGACAATATAAATTGATATTAATATATCGATAAATTACTATATTACTTTTCTAACGAGTCCAAAATAACAAAAATGCACACCGTTAATATAAAAAAAAACATGTAACGGTTTGAAACGCAAAATCTATATACTTATTTACAATTACAAAATACACTTTCGGGTGCGTTTCAGCCGCTTTCACGTTTTAAACTGTTAAAAATTATTTATTTAATGTGTACCATCCGGTAAACTACAAACAGTACCCAGCGTTAATATTGAAATTTCCACTTCTGCCAGCACTACCAAATAACCGATATTTTACATATAAAATAAATTTTGAACTGTACTAATATCTTACCTCCAGCGCCCCATCCCACCACTCCCAACCCATTAATCATGGTGGTGTGACTGTCTGTCCCTACCACGGAGTCTGGATAGAGCAAGTCATCCGTGAACACCACTCGAGCCAAATACTCCAAATTTACCTAAAATTAACAACAAATTTAATACATCACCCTAAGACAGATCATCATCATCACATCAGAGCTTTAGCAGTGTTTCATGTATCGGAGTTAAGATAAGGTAAGCCTTTGTTATGCAAACGATGTTAAAAACAATGTTAAACTTATTATGCAGTTACATCGTTGTTAATTGTTAACGCACCGGAATAGACTAGCCGCCCACGACACAAGGAATCCTAGATAATAATATAATCAAAAAATAAATAATTTGTAAAGTGTGTATAGCTTTTACGGCCTTCGTTCAGTGTATCATTGTTTTTCGAGCTGTTTAATAATTCTTCGAGAAATTGAGGAGATAACATCTCCCGATGATGCGTCCGCTCGTGATGGCGAAACGTCGAGGTCTTCTCGCTCACGTCGGCCGAACAGCCCGCAAAACAATGATATGCTAAGGAATTTCTATTTGAATTACCTGATGTACTATTCCAGCACCTGGTGGTACTATTAACATATTGTTGAAAGCTTGGGCACCCCACTGTAAAAAAAAATATCGGTAAGTTAACGAAGATAAAATGTGCGCCTAACCCACAATGGACGTTATTATAATGATAAAGGATACATTTCCTATAACAAGTCTGGTGGTGGATTGCTAAGTAATGTACAAGACTGTGTGATTTTTCAACATTCCATTAGACAAACTGTACATAGACGAACACGTAGACGGATAGACGTACAGTTTGTCTAATTTAGTTGAGGTTTGGCAAGTAATTTAACTGAATAATTAATCCAATGATTAGTAATAATAATATTATTTATTCAGATGCAAATCAACTTTTTACACAACCGTTAACAAAAACGAAAGAAAAGCATTTCAACTATTTCCCGTTTCCGTCAGCGCGTACGCAGTTTATTAAAATTGGATTGTTTATGTACTCATAAAGCTTTAATGATTGAATATTTTGGAGATCCTTTTCTGCGAATTTGATAGGATGATATGACAAGATATATAAGTGTATAAGGGTGATTTTACTGTGAAGGATGGTATAAGAAAATTCCCAATATGGAGGGTAACGATTATGGTTGTCATGGCAACCTTTCGCAAATCCAATTAGGTTCTTCTTAGGTTAGATTTATTACCTTTTTATGTATCCATTATGTATTAGTTATATATAATTATCCTCTAAACCATCGGTGCACATACCAAGGCCAGTCGGTCGAATACAAACGGCCCGTCGACAGCAAAAAATAATAATTAAATTAATAAATACTTTTTCAATTTTAATACATTATCGTCAATTCGTTATTGTCTTTAATCACCTATACTTCTGGCGATCAACCATCAGTTCATGATTAGTCTGAGTGACCAAGTTAGTCTTAATAAGTCTGTGCATTCCTGCTGTAAACACCAACAAAAGCTTACCTTTAAGAATTGAAATCTCTCCTTGTTCCTTTCAAATTCTAATTCCTGGTTCTTCACCAAAGCATCTGGGCTGTAAAAAAAGTAAAATAAACATGAAATTATGAGAAAACGGATGTTCTTTATTCTCTTAGACAAAAATTAAAAAATTGGATATTAGTGAAACTAACTAGGAATATTAGCTTACGTCAGCATCGTAGCCATATAGGATACAAACTACCCTCACCTTCTAGAGAAATCAACCTGGACAGAATGGTCTATGACAAGATCAGCTGGGCATATTGGGTTGATTTTATCTGGATCACCACCTAAATTTCGTACAGCATCACGCATAGCTGCGAAGTCTACCACTGCTGGTACACCAGTAAAGTCCTGAATCAAATTCGTGATTTTTAATACGAGGTATAACAAACAACAGATTTTTAGGCAAAACCACTTAGTTAATTATTTTTACTTGTATGCAGGGCTCATATCTATATGGTTATATACTCGTTGCTGTAATGGTACCAATGTACGGCTCATAACCAACGGGTCGCGGGTTCGATCTACACCGGGTCTAACATTTTTCTAATCAATTTATAATTTTTCTGAAACATGTTGACTTTCGACTGGAAATCCGGAATCTTCTTGGGTAGTTTCCACCACCACAGATGAAAAAGCCGTGATGTTTAATCACGGTTTGGTTTCAGTCTGTGGATTTCAGAATATCAAAAACCATGACAGTTCGAATGCGCATCTTGTTTCATGGTGTCAAGTGAATTCCTCTATCATTAAAAATAGGTACTTACACAAATAAATCATTTTCATATTTAATTTACATGCGATTGTCTTGATTATAAGAAGAAATAGTCTACTCTACCTGTAAGATAACTCTAGCAGGTTTGAAGGCGACCTCGACGTCATCGGCTGTCTGGTTCTTTTCCCATTCTAGAACATTCTGGACGTCCTTCTCGAGCACTTGGAAGTTGTCGCAGTTCCGAACGCAAGACTCCAGCAGCACTCGGATGCTGAACGGCAGACGGTCTAAAAAAGATAAGTTACTACCAGTTAGATATTAAAGACATTTTTTGCATATGTCCATTCTTCAATAAAGATAAAATAATACTAATAATACAAAATCGATAAAGATATAATATTCTCTTCAAATAATAGATAACTAAATTATAATTTAGGAAACTAAAAGAGCTGCGCAAAAAATCTGTTAGTCGCAAATGATCGTCGAAAATAGCGCTCTTTAGTCGGGGTTTAAGGTTCAGATTGGGTCGCTACGCTAAGTATTTAAAATTATTATGAGGATGGAAATATGTTAATATAAGTGTGGTTTGCAGGTTTTTAGTTTACTATCAGTAGCCGCGACTTGGTCCGCGTAGAATAGTTATTTTGGCCAGCAAAATTAGTTTTTGCACACCTTCTCCTAAATTAACCACAATGTCGTCCGCGTCCTTGACATATACTATCGCGGACATGCTTTTAAATGATTTAAAGAGAACTCCTTCATATTTTTTTGGTATCTTTCATTTTCGCAGCGCACGTAACGGTAACCCTCAAAGATGAATATTGTGCCCCGTTTTTTTCTATGTTTCCCACTGTGTCTTCACTCATATTGGTCGCAGCGCGATTATAGCCTATCATTCCTCTATAAATGTTCTAGACAAAAAGAATTATTCAATTTAAACTAGTCCTTGCCGAGATTAGTGCGTTCAAATCATTCGGTTTAGACTGCACATTTGGAGAATTCTGTTCCATTCCATAGAACCTCGGTACACATTTTCTATATCAAATGATGACTTTTTGTCCCCATGGGGTCATCCCCTGATTTTACCAGCTCGAAACTGAATTAGCGTTGAAAAATGGCCGCGAATGCCTTATATAATTTATAAGACTAGTTTATAACTTAATCACTCCATGTGTAACTTACCAAATTTTTCTCCAAGCTGACTAATATCATAATATTTATAAGTCTTTCCGTTTACATTGATAGCCTGTAGCAGATTATTGAATGGGTTGTTTGCTGAAATCAACAAAATCAGTTATTTCATAACAATAAAACAAATAAATATTTTTTATTAACATGTGCCACGCCTCCTTCAATTAACATTTTTTTGTAAGGGTAATAGGACTGTGTTTTTAAGTAAGCAAAACTTGTTTAGCCCATTCTTCTCATTCCTTCTTTACCCTAAACTTCAGAATAGGTAGTAAATATCAGGCTGCTAGAGTCAGAGGCCCAATAACAAAAAACATGATTTTCAATAAGGAGGATAGGAAATACACAATTAACTCAGGTGAAAATGAATTTGTACTATTATTTGTGTAAGAATTATGATAACAATTTTTGGTCAGTGTGGTCTTATTAAATAACTCAAGTCATAAAATTGCAGTTACGCCCCTCGGGTTCTACTGATTTCATATATATCTCGAGCATTTCGATTTTATTGATTTGATGTTTATCAGTTTATATACTTGTATATGTCAGTTATATAAATCAATCTTCTTATTTTTATTTTACAGTAATAATATAGTTTATAATTTACTTCTACCCTTAGATGACTTGCAGGAAACATCAGTTAAGTGATTGATAACATATTTTATTTCCATAATTGATTTAAATCAAATGTGATATCAATTGTTATCAATATATTTAATATTTAAAACATGTGAAATGTACTGAATAGAGTTATAAATATTATCGTGCTTATTAAATTTTTTAATTTATTCAAAAAAAAATCCTAAAATAACATTTAAAGTTGATTTAAATCTTTAATAAAACACCTTTTGGTAACGGAACATTAATAAGCCAACTCTATCCATCAGTCAAATGTGTGAAATGATCAGCAGATTGCCTTTATTTTTTCTCCAACAGAAGAATAATAAGTCATAGTTTAAATTAATTAAAATATAAACTAATAAGAATTCAAATAAATCAAGGTTATTGAGTAATAAATAATGTATTTTAAATAACGTAATATGAATAAATTACAAAATCCACGCCTATTAAAATATTTAACTAGAAATACAATTAAAAATTTTAACTATGCATTTGCATAATTTAAATTTGACCTTCACTTACTTTAATACTTTTATTTAAGATCAAAGGTTAATTATTAAGAAGATGGCTTATTATTAAAGTCAGAAATAAACAGGTTTGTTATCAAATGATAGGTTAACTGCGATATATTTGTGATAACAGTGTTATTTGTAAAAGATAGAGAGTGATCTTTCTCATAACTTTGATAGAACATTCCAAAGTTTTAAATTGAGAAACACTCAAGTTGAACTGTTCGAAATTCGAAAAACATACCCGCCATAGCTTGCCGGTGAAAAGTCACGTACACGCCGGAAAATTGATCTGTTGTTACACAGATTTAATTAAACGCAAATATAATTTTCTTTAATGAAAAATATTAGCGCACGTCGCGCACTTATCGCGGTTGCCCACAGACTGAAACGTAAAAAGTTATTACATGTCACAATACGAATTGGACAAAAAACAAAAAAAATGACATATACTTTCATTTATATTATTACACTTTATATATGAATGAAATTGATTTATGAAAGAACTGAATTCTTATATTTATATAATATTACAGAGATGTATTTTTGATTTTGTGAAACTTTGACGTTGACATACTCATAATCTGTGGTTAGTCACGAAAGTCAAATTGATGTTTTAAAAAGTCCGTTGCTTTTCTATTGTTATCGTGATCGATGTGTATCACTTTACGCTTTTTTATTTATTTTAGTATATTAAACACGTGTAAAAATGTCTTCTTTTGACTTAAACTCCATCACCTCAGCTTTAAACGATCCCGGAAGGACAGTGAGTGGTGTAGATTTTTCTGGACGTTCATTAAAATTGGATAGCGCCGAAGATGGTTTGTTTTATTTCTCTCGTAAATACTGTACTAAAATCTTTATTTTACTTTATTAAGTAAATATATACTTCTAAATTGTTATATCTGTAGCATGTTGTACTAGTTACCCATTTATAATCATTATTTACGTTTGATGTTTTTAAATCATAACCTCTAAATGATATTTATGCCGATATTATTCATGAACATACAAATGATATATTTTGTTGTTGGAAACTCTAGTTTATTTATTATGTCATGAATTTTAAATTTTCAGCCAAACCAATTGTTGACGCCATCAATGCCTGCCCTGATCTTCAGTACCTCACACTCACGGGGAACACCCTGGGTGTGGAAGCGGCAAAAGCCATTGCCAAGGCCTTAGAGAACCACCCAGAACTAAAGACAGCTCGCTTTTCGGACATGTTTACTGGTAGAATGAAGACAGAAATACCACCAGCTTTGGTAAGAGATATTTTGGCTTACTAGTATGTGGAATTATGCAAATCGGTGATCGTCTTACAATGCCGAACCCGATTAAACAGATTTTCCCCAAAAGTGGTGCATAGAAACTCTAGTCCTTGAAGTGGTAGCATTGAAATAGATTTTCCTGAAGCATACAAGTATATATCCAGAATAGATTTATTTTATTTGTAATGCAAGTGAATAAAATATATATTTTTTTTATATACATATCAATAAGGCTAGGAAATTTAGTTTAGTTTGTCAGGCCTCTTGAATAACAATATCTCTTATAGCCTGTTGATTAAAATTATATAACATATATTTGCCTATGTTCTTAATTTAGAGTGCCCTCGGAGATGGCATGATTCAAGCTGGAGCTCGCCTTAACACATTGGACCTAAGTGATAATGCATTTGGCCCGATTGGTGTGGAAGGACTTGCTAAGCTATTGCAGAGTGATGTTTGCTCACAATTACAAGTAAGTTGATATTTTTATAAATATAACTTTTATTTTATTTATAGGGTAGCTGTTGATCATCCTTGCACTGCACTATGACTCAAAAAATCAACTGGTCATAGGTTTGATCTGTAACAATACAAACTTGTTTTATTCCATTTATACTATTTCTATAACATGTTAGACTTCATCTGGAAAGATGGATACCAAATGTATCATAGGAATATCGTAAATTCCTTCCGATTTACTAACCACCATCCACAGATGATAAAGTGTAATTGCATTTTGGTTTCAACTTAGAACCAGTAGTTCCTGAGATTAGCGCGTTCAAATATACAATTTCTTCAGCTTTATACATTAGTATAGACATATCTTCTTCATATGTTTACAGGAGTTGCGTTTAAACAACAATGGATTAGGAATTACCGGAGGAAGGCTTTTGGCCAAGGCTTTATCAGCGAGCCCAAAAAAGCTAAAGGTCTTCATAGCTGGAAGGAACAGGTTGGAGAACGATGGAGCGATAGCTTTAGCTGGAGTGTTTCAGGTAAAATAGATAAATGCAAAGCACTATTGCAGGGTTGTGGATATATAAGAATACACACACGCCTACAATAAGAGGATGAAAGTAGTATACAAATAAAGAAATCTAACATCAATTACAGAGGTTATTTGTGGGTATATAATATAACAGTACAAACAGTCTATTTTTCTTGTCTTATCTCTTATTCTTCTTCTCAGGTACTTATTTTCCTGATCTCAATGAAAACCCAAATTTGGAAAAAAATTACTCTTCAAATATCTAGTATTATTTAGCAGTGTAATGTTTGTTTTATCATATTTAACCCTCTTAGCCCCAATGACTCTCACTTGGGCGATAATACAACCATTAATTCTATTAATATCTTGTTTACAGAATATGGGTACACTAGAAGAACTAGCCATGCCACAGAACGGGATATACCACGCCGGTATTTCTGCGCTGTCGACCGCTTTCACACAGAACCCTAGACTAGCATGTCTTAATCTTAACGACAATACCATTGGACCTAAGGGTGCCGCTGCTATAGCCACTGCTTTGCCCAGGTAGTATTTTTTATTGAATAAACCCTATTATGGTTTGAAGACAAATAATTTGTTTTAATGTAACATTTCCATCTACAGATTGAATTTAGACTTTCATAACATAACTTTAGGGTCCAAATTTCCAAACTTTAACCAATAGTTTAAAACGCGAAATATATTAATAAAACTTATTCGAAAATTATTTTAACTAACGTGCCGTACGTTTCGAATGCTTGGAGCAGCCGTAGTGACAGGGAGACTAATATATTTCGCGTTTTAAACCGTTAAAGCGTTTTATTTAAATGTGAATTACTCGTGTAAACTACAGACAGTGTTTTGAACCAATGGGTCCGGTTTGATTCTTCTGTTTTTTAATCTTTCATTTAATTTACACTGACCTTATGTTTAAAAATATTTTATTTCAGTTTGAAAAATCTAAAATCCATCAACTTTGGTGATTGTTTGCTGAAGAGTAAAGGTGCAAGCGCTCTGGCGAAAGGTCTCAAAGATAATTCTGTACCATTAGAGGTAAGACCATAATCACTAAACTAACAAGCTCTTAAAATTTTGTCAGATTTTGATATTCATTAAATGAATTGTGTAAAGTTAACTATACATAGCGCTCTAAACTGTCGAAGATTTAACTATTTTATTTAATAAATTAATTTTGACTTTTAGTTCAATTCTAACAATTTCATTACAGCACAGCCTAGATTCAAATTCCTGAGTGCATGATAGAGAAATTAGGTGCATATTCCAATCGGTTTTATTAAAATTAATAATGTGAATTTTATCTCGAAACTGGAAATCAAAGTAAAAAATTATTTATTCATGTACAATGAAGAAGACACTAGTTTTACTACCAGGTATATTTCCAGAAAACTCACGGGAGAACCATAAGACAAGCATATAGGGTTCATATGGGGTTAGTAAATTGCGCTGTCTGGATGTTTTGGCTGTAAATATTTGGTATTACTTCACAAATCAAGAGCGTAACACAAACGAGAAGAACTGGCGATATATTGGCTGCCACTATTTTTAAATACTGTCTATAGTTTACGCGAGTAGTACACATTTAACTAAAACACTTTAACGGTTTAAAACGCGATATATTAGTTAAACTTATTTGAAAATGATTTTTAACTTCGGCCCGACGTTTCGGATGCTTTGCAGCAGCCGTGGTCACGGGGAGAGTCTCCCCGTGACCACGTAAGTACGTAAATAAACGTAAGTTTAACTAATATATCGCGTTTTAAACCGTTAAAGTGTTTTATTTAAATGCCACTATTTTTATTTCGTGGTTTTACTAACAAATTCTTCTCACCTTTATAGTGATTTTTCCTCTCGAAGTTCGATCAAACCTTAATTTTTTATTATTTACATGGTCCCAATTGACCACTGCTGCCAAGCGCCCCAAAACTTCGGGTTTATACTAAATTTGAAATAATTTACATTATATATTTCGTGTTTTAAACCGTTAGAAGTGTTTTATTTAAATTTGTACTACTCGCGTAAACTACAGACAGTACTTAATATTATTTCCTTTATTTATTTGCCTTCCCAAGTAGCTGATTTTTTCATATGATTTATTGATAGTGTTTTAAAGTAACAGGAAATGTAATTTCGATTTCTAGTACTAACTTTCTGTTTCAGTCACTCGATTTGAGCCATAATGAAATAGGCAGCGCTGCCTGCATGGAGGTTGTGGATGCCCTAAGCGCATTGCCCGACTGTACGGACAGACTCAGTCGAGTGGTGCTAGCAGGTACTTTGCTCTACTTGTCATTTATAATGTTTTATTTATTAACTCTTTATTGCATACACGCAAAGTATATACAAATTTATCTTTTAAAATACACATATTAGAGAAAATATATAAATATTATTACTACTTATGGAGTGCAATGGGTGGCCTTATCGCGAAAGAGCGATCTCGTCCAGGCAACCCTTGTTTGAAAATAAGATAATATATATATTTTTTATTTTGGTATGGATTTGACAAGCTCACATAATATGAGCTGATTCATTTGATGAAATTTGTTTGACCCCGAAAGAGAAAAATGTTTAACAAATATTTCTGTGTCTGTTATTTTATATCATAAAACTCAAGTAAGCATTCTAACTATACAATTTATACGGTCAGTTACTATAATACACCATAACAGTTAACATACTAACTGATGTTGTCAACCTTTAATATAAAATTGTTTTATTTACACTGCTACACAGCACTACGCTTACATACCTTTTTACGCAAGAAGTATGTGTTTGTAAGCAATTGAACATATAAATAAAACATATTATACTATTTTTCTCGTACTAATATAAGTATTATTCCGAAAAAAGAAATGCTTACTTATTTAAATATTTATTTTCTTTCTATTATCTATCACAATCTCTTTTTCAATAACTTAAATGTATAAGTTATGGTGTTGGTGTAATTGGTGTTTTCTTTAAATTTCAGGCAATAGCTTGGGCGGTGCGTCAAATAAGAAAACGATAAAAGACAAGTTGGGTCCGTCAGCGGAGCTTAGTGACGGCGAAGGCAGTGAGGATGAGTGTGAGTTCGTCTATCTATTCTCTTCTAAATGACGATCATATAAAACGAAAAATATTTAATGGATGTTTTACTTAATTTGATGAAGAATCTATAATTTTTATATAAGAAGCTGTTATGCGCTTACCCGACATCGTCCGCGTAGAAAAATCATTTTAGGCATCCGAATTTGTTTTTGCAAACTTCTATAATTCCCACTATGTCCGTCGCGTTCCGTCGTTTTTTAGTTAATCTTGAACAGTTTTCGCAGTGTAAGCATCGAAAACTCGCAAAGGTTTCTACATATCTCGCTATTTCTCTGGTCCTATTAGTCACAGCGCGATGTCTTATATGCTTTCCTCGACAAATACTCTAACCAACGCATAACCAGATATTTTTTATTCGAAATAGTAATTCCTGAGATTAGCGCGTTTCAAGCAAACAAACTCTTCAGCCCGTATATGTTAGTATAGATTAATGAGTTGTTGCATTTTTGGCAGATGTATCCGACTCGGAAGATGAAGAGGATTCAAATGAGTCTGAGTCGGAAGGTAGTTCTGAAGACAGTGCCACAGAGGATGCGCAGCATATGGAGACGATTCTTGATATGGGCAAGGAGATAGTCCTGGATAATTCAGGTCGGTCTTGCAAGGGTTTGACAAATTTTACTTGGATTTTTAACTTTGCTTGCATTCTTTTAGACGGATGTTAAGTTGGTATCGAGCTCTCTTATGATAAAGTCGTAATATCCTAAACTCTTAATTTAGGGAAAACATGATAAAAAGACTGATCATAATTCTCTGTCACATATATCAATGATTAAGTATGTTGCTTATTATTACAAAAATCAGACGTCCTAAATTCGAATCCCCAGGAAACATTAATTTGTTATAGCCAGACATTTTTATCAACAGTCTGAACTATTTCCATGTAAATAAAATCAATCAACAAAAAATTTAGTTTGTCCCATACCCCACACGGAGGCAAAAAGAAATCAAGCTGTTTTTAAATTATTTTAGACTGTAGTTTCATTCTATACATACCAACCACACGTTATTATAGTTCATTTTGAAACAATGCTTAAAAGTTTATAAATGTGTAAGTTAAGTGTTGTAAGTATTTCTTACCATGTTGGGATTATTATTAAATTATAATTAAATTCGGTTTTACTTTCAGGCGTGGATGAGGTAGAAACAGATGTAGGGAAATTCATACAAGAACCAACCGTCGAGAATTTGACAAGATTAGGTCCGAACGCGGCTCACGTTATTGACACTCATTTCCAGGTATATTATATAAATATTATGACGAGGACAGATAAGCAAAAGGACTTGATATAGGGGGAAGTGCTCTCTAGGCATATTCAACCAATTTTTGCTTGCTATATAATTTACAGAAATGTATGACCAAATTTTTATAAATTGGCAAAGCCACTTTAAAAGTTATAATAGACATTTGATTTGAGACTGAGACAGAACAACAACATGGCATGTGGTATGACATTATCTATTAATGTATTATTATTTCTTTATTACTCCACAGACTATACACGACCAAGAAAGCCTTATCCAAGCGTACGTCGAGGCGCTGTGTTGCGTCTCAGGCCTGGCCAAGCAAAGCCAGGTGGCGGCGGATGTCGCGCGGGATCTGTACCCGATGCTGGTGAAACGGGCGAAGCAGCAATGGCTGCTGGCTAACACGGTACTGTCAGCGCTGCAATTAATCAAGGTAATTCAAATTCATTTCATTGCATATGAAATATTTTAATGGTTTTGTACAAAAAGGCAGACAAAGTCGCACTTTAAACCGCTCATTGTTGAAAAATAAATGTATAGTCTGCCATATTAGTGGGGAAAAAGAGGGGGTTTAATTTTTAATTGACCATCAAGCGCTCAAATACATAAAAATAATATTTACTCTTCCAGTCTGAGAACAAAAACTTCAAGGTGCGTTGGAGTATACCTCCATGTTACAGGTATGTCGACTATATTTGTCATACACTTTTTGACTAGAAGTTCCACCTATGAGTTCTATCCATTATATTTAATGAAATTAATTATTGATGACAGCTTAAAGATAGAATATTAAAGAATATCGAAAATATTTCTGAGGGTCGATCTAATGAAATATTTATTTCGTTCTCGCAATCAATGCTCACTCATTCTTTGATTTTCAATCACTCCTAATTTACTCATTCACTTCTTTCGTTCACAGCGTCCTCGCGTCGCAGATTGATGCGCAATACTTCCCAACTGCTCTACGCGACACTTTGCGGTTCTTTATCAGCAGCAAACTGCAGTCGCTTCCGCCAGAGATCAGGGCAGTCGTGGATATGCACCCTAACCTATATTCTTGAATAAATCATTTTTGTTATTTACTACTTCTTTCTTTCTACTGCTAGAACCAGTATAGTTAATAGAGATTGTAATATTACAGTCGGACATCGTATTACATCAAATCTTTATAAATATTTCAAGAACGAAAAATAAAATAAATTTTGGATTTTTTTCGCTGTCCTAGGGAACCTATATGGTGGCGTTATTGTTGTTGTTTTCGGCCCGATGATACCGCCCCTCTCCCGAGTTACAATTTCGCTTTACTGCCGTAAAAAATGTAATGATGTTAAAATTTTCACTATTTCCATCGTTTCTGAGATTAGTGATTTCGAATAAATACATAACAGTTTTAAGAAGTTTGTACGAAATAATGTTTCTGTTTTCATAAGATGTAGCATACTCTGTTATTAAAATTTGACAGCTTTTAATGTCTATTTTGACAGATTCCGTCGGTCAAATTGACTTTGACACTAATCAAAGCAATAAGAAATTAGAAAACGTTTTTAGGGACAATTCGTTTATGAAGTCTTAATAAAATTTAGATAACAATTTTATAAAATTTTAATTAGTTAAAACAAATCAAAATTTCATCAGGTTAGTCAAGGAACAGTAGGCGAGAATAAGTTCGTAACAGGCATAATCTTATGTTTCGGTGGTAAGGGATGCAGGTTCTTTCATAATTTTTAATTAATTTTTATACAAGACACAGAGTCTAAAGCCAATATATACTGAAGCAGTATGGCTAATCAGCTATGAGAACTGCTACTTGTCTAGTAGCAGGAATGAGATCTTGCATATAAATCATACTTAAATATTTATTGTAGACAATGACATTGAAGCTTCAAATACAATTTGGAGGAGGAGCAGAATTATTGTTTGATAAAATAAAGAAGAGAGATATTGAATTGCCAGTATTAGACAAGTGCTTTCCTGAATGCCAGAGTAAAAATTGGACCATAAAAGAACTATTAGTATGGCTTAAAGATAATTTACTAAGGGAACGACCAGAATTATTTTTACAGGTAAATTATTATCCATGTACTGTTTAATAGCTTAATAGTTAAATTTGTTGTGTTAGAAGCCTGGATGTTATATTATAACAGTTAGTTGCTGATCAACTTTCTTTAAAATAAAATTGATCAATGAAATAGACAAAGTATATCTCTCACTTCTACCAGAAAATGAGACTTTACTATACAATTTCCTATTCTTACAAAAATGTAGTTACATAAATCTTGTATAAGTATGTTTTTGCCCTATTTTCACACGGCTTTCCGATTGATTTTTGTTATACAGTAACTAAGTAAAAATAACACAAAATAATTAATACAATAATATTATTAGAACACTCTAATATATAATATTTAAAAGTTAAAAGGTATTAAGTATTAGTAAAGTAAGCAAGATAAGCTTTTTCTCAAAGCTATTCTTTTACATTTGTCCCATTAACATATGGATGTAAATAATATAAAATACCTTTGTTTCAGGGAGATACAGTCAGACCCGGAATCCTTGTTCTCATAAATGATGCAGACTGGGAACTATTTGGAGAATTAGACTATCAATTAAGAGATAACGATATTATAATGTTTATATCTACTTTGCATGGTGGTTAGTTTTATATAAATAAGATATAAAAAAAAATTAATAAAATAAAGTATTTTACTTAATGTAATGCCTTAAAAGTGTGTTTAAGTTATAATTGCTTTACTACCCAGCAAACCAATTATCTATTACAAGCTGTGTCCGCGACTTCGTCCGCGTAGAATAGTTATAGCATAGAAATTCACAAAGATGAATAATTTTCTCTGTTTTTTTTTACATTTCCATTTGCGGCGTATTGCATATGCAGAGAATTCGGTAGAGGCAGCGGTTTACAAAGACTTGGAGCATCTGCGAGATGTCCTTAGTGATCTTCCACGTTTCACATCCATATAGCAGCACCGATTTGACATTGGAGCCGAATATTTTAAGCTTAATTCGGCAGGTCAGTTTCCTTGACTGCCATATAGGTCGAAGTTGTGCAAAGGCCTTGGCGATCCGTGAAGTGATGTCATCTTCAGATCCTCCAATTTCTGACACGTCACTTCCGAGGTAGGTGAATTTGTAAACACGTTCCACAACCTCTGCGCTGATCGTTAAGGGTTTGGGGTTACTCACTCCAGATCTTATTTCTTGAGTCTTCCGAGTGTTCATTCTAAGACCCGCGGTGTCTGCCTCTCTACGTAGGTCGTCTAGTTTGGACTGCATGTCACGGTGTGTGTGACTGAGCAGGCATATGTCGTCTGTATAATCCAAGTCTTCTAAGACGTTTGTTAGGACCCATTCTATTCCACGTCGCTTGTTGTGGTTTGTGTCAGCATTGTATATTAGTACAGATAAATCTGGAGAGTTCTGAATTACAGATGATACAAAAAATAATAATTTCTAGGTATGAAACTTTGAATTTAGGCTGTTGTGCTTAAAAATTTTACCAGGTTTTGTCTTTAATGAGAAGAAATAATAATTAAATTATAATAAGTATATACACAAGGCTTAACAAAATATTTTAATTTTAGTACCTAGCTCTAGAAACGTGAATAGTTATTGTGATAGTCTCATTTACACGTTAAAATTTCACCAGTTCGAATCTAGGCGAAAACATTCAACATCTATACCGATCCATTTATTGATATCCCATGAACTAAAACCATTATTAATATTCTGCCCCCACGCATTAAATTTTGGGGTCGAAGTCATATTGAATTTTTAAACTTGGTTCTACAAAGCACCCCTTCACATAAACCAATTACAAGCAAATTGCATTTTGCTTTCAAGATCTTTTATCTGACTACGAGGAAAGGATAGGAAGGTAATGATTTCGGCAGCGCACCTACTATCCGGATCGGTCGATTACCTATTTTTTAATGTAGATAAGGACAGACAAGTAAATTCACTTCATGTTAGGTGAAATTCCCTAGGCACATAAAATATATCTAAAGATGAAAGCGTTGTTGACTTATTTTGGCATTGATTATTCGGAAATCCACCGACTGCAAACCGAAACGCGTTTAAACTTGACGGCTTTTACATACAGATGTCCAGACAAACTGCATTATATTTAAATGCTGTCTATAGTTTACGCGAGTAGTACACATTTAAATAAAACACTTTAACGGTTTAAAACGCGATATATTAGTTAAACTTATCTGAAAAATTGTTTTTAACTTCGACCCGACGTTTTGGATGCTTTGGGTTGTTTTTTTTCTCCCCGTGATTACGGCTGCTGCAAAGCATCCAAAACGTCGGGTCGAAGTTAAAAACAATTTTTCAGATAAGTTTAACTAATATATCGCGTTTTAAACCGTTAAAGTGTTTTATTTAAATGCATTATATTTAAAAAATATATAAATTGATTAGAAAAATGCTGGACCCGGTGGGGATCGAAGCCACGACCCGCTTATTATTAGCTCCAGCAACGATCCCATAATGCATTGTCTGTAGCTTACACGACTACTTATATTTTAAATTCGGATTGTTTTTAAGATAATATGATTTAAATTCATAACGGGATGCCCTTAGCATAGTCGCATAATAACATTACGTTACGATTTAATCCAGTTAGTACTGACGCGTAGAAAACTCTATTTTTATATCGACGATTAAAATGTTTATTATGTTGAACGAGATGCGTAGCGTTAAGCGCGAGAGGTCCTGATTTCGAATCGCGGTGAAATAATAGATTGATTGATTAATTAAATACTTTATAGTTTACGCATTTAAATAAAACAATTTAACGGTTTGAAACGCGATATATTAGTTAAACTTATTTGAAAATGATTTTTAATTAATATATCGCGTTTTAAACCGTTAAAGTGTTTTATTTAAATCGATTGATTAATATTTTTAACATGATGGCACTATAAATTAAAAATCGATTATTATAGATTGAAAAAAAAATTACGTTCAAGGCCTGCCCGAGTCGAAAAATGTTTTCAATTTATTTTCGATTTTTACACACCCGGGTACACCCCGTGGCCCAAACGAAACGGATTTCACTTTTATGTAGTATGTAAGAGTCTGAGTTTGTAAACTATCTCGAGAGATGTGTTGAGTCGCTGTAATGTATCGGGCAAAAACAATAATATTATGTTGTTCTAGAATATCGTTTTTGGAAAAAAGGGGAGAATGATCGTTCATAATTGGTAATGCCTAAATCATTCCGCGATTGCAAGGAAAGGGTGGTTCAGTGGTAACTACTGTAGTTATCCAGTTATATAAGAAAAAAACTACTCCAACACACACCGGCAATCGCGTCCCTACTAATGCACAAAAGCAATCAAAAGAATGGAATGTTCACGTGATGTAGGATGAAATATCGCAGCCAATAAATATTCAAACTGTCGACTTATTGTGACTTTGGACAAAGACTGCAACCGAATGGCGATAACACTTTATGGCTTATTTATTCGTGGTCGGCGGTTCGCGACCCGAGCGGTTTACGGAATTCCTGCCACCCAGTTAATATCCAAATTTTCCACATGTATTTTACAGGTTTTAAAAAAATGCTTTAAGAATGAAATTACACATGTGAGAATTGAACTCGCGACCCTTATAAGTTAATTTTGTATTCAGCATTAAAAAAGCTGAAACTAAGTTTATTTCTCAACTTATAAATTCAAATAATTTGGTTAAATAAAACAACCGTTTAACTACGCGATTGTACCATTTAGACAAGGGTGAAAAGGGTCGGCACCCCATCATATTCTTGACATTTCTGTCTGACTGTACATGCTAATTAAATGATATGACATTCAAGACTAAAACGTGCCGACAAGCTATGCATTTGACGGATTCTATAGGATACTAAGCGCTCCGCATCGGCATTATAATATTTCCCACAGCTGGGACACACAGGTGTTTTATGTCTAGTCTATCCATACTAATGTATAAAGCTGAAGAGTTTGTTTGTTTGAACGCGCAAATCTCAGAAACTACTAATTCGGGGAAAGTATTCATCTTTGTGGGTTTTCGTTGCGTACGCTGCGAAAACTGTTAAAGATACTCAAACAATATGTATAAAAGAATTATTCCTCTTTATATCATCTAAAAAATGTCCACAACTTCATATGTCTCTATTTAGATTAATTTGCAATACCGACGGAACGCTTACGACGTTGTAGGTAACAGCTTAAATATAAATAAAGAAGAAGAAGAGGTTTGCAAAAACAAATTGAGATGCCGAAAATATACAACGCGGGCAAAGTCGCTGACGCAGCTAGTCTACAATATAATTGAAAATTTTAAACATAGGACTCGGATGGATATATTTTTCTCGAGCGGGTGTCAAATGTACTTACGAGATAATAATTTTTATTGCGTTACTAGGATTCGACCTCCCGCCCTCATAAACGAAACCCTTGACCAAAACTGATTTATGAAACTGTAAAATTTAAGTAAATATTTTTCTAACAAATTAACGTTCAAATAAAACACTTTAACGGCTTAAAACGCGATATATTATTTAAACTGATTTGAAAAATATTTTAACTTCGGCCCGACGTTTCGGATGCTTTGCAGCAGCCGTGGTCACGGGCAGACTTATATCGCGTTTTAAACCGTTAAAATGTTTTATTTAAATGTGTACTACTCGCGTAAACTATAGACAGTATTTAAATTAACGTTCGTTTTTTAAATAAAATGTAATTTTAAAAATGCGGATTTGCGATATCAACTTGGAAACACATCAGCCCCAAAATAACTTTCTATCCTTTTTTATCCCCGCTTGGGGATGAACTTCAATAAAATAAAAAACACGTCTTGCATCAAATAAGATTTATATTCAAAATGTGTATGTAGTAAGTCGAACAAAAGCATCGCTTTGTTAAAGAATATGTGACCGGTAGGCATTTTCTTTTATACCTAAACGGCTCAACATGTTTTGATACAATTGGTTACAAATATATTGTATAGATAGTTTTTTTCGATCAAGAAAAAGTATCGATGTTATGTTTCACAAAGTATTGTTTTATGATTATATGAATTATAATAATAGTTTTAATCTATAGCTATTAATGTCAAAATTTGCTACTACTGGCTATTAATTACTACTAATACTGGCATATCAAAAGACAACACCTACAGTACATTAAAAACCGTGACTTGGTTTCGTATAAATTATGCGACAAACAAACGCCCCTTCGAATGTAAATTTTAAAACGATAGTAAAAATAAACAATTATTAATACGATTCCTATGTTATATGCTAAGGCTTTTACGGGGTGTTGCTGTCTCTGTCTAATTAAGGCGCGATCTTTATCCGTCTCTTTCGCACACTCGCCGGGGTGAATATTGAGCGTGCGTTGCTACCGGGATGGGTTGAAGTGTTGTGGTATGAGTCGATAAGTTATATCGATACTTTTAAATAAACGTTAGTCTCGTTCTCCAATGTGGCTGTTGACGGGCTCGTTGGTATAATGGTAGCCATGTATGGCTAATAATCAACGGGTCATGGGTTAGATCCCAACTGAGTAGTGTTTTTTCTGAAACATGTCCGACTTCGTCGGAAAATCTGGATGTTACATGGCTGGTATGAAAAAACCGTCAAATTTAATCGCATTTCAACTTCAGTCTGTGG